TAAAGTCGGTGTTAACAAGCCATATATTAGTGACTGGAAAGGCACTTTACCAGCAAGACAGATTTGAGGAAAGCATCAATACGCGTCCAAGGGCACAAGTCGCGTAAGTCGGATCCAGTGTAATTATACATATCAGTACACAGCATTTTAGTGCTCATGGACCCCCGGATATAGACTACACTCAGTGTACCTTACAAGACGAGAATCGGCCTCGATTATACTAACAAGCAAAACAGGGCGAGGCAAGGGCCAATCTTTCTAGATTCACGATAGACCAGCTTTGGAGAAGAGGCTAACCGTATAATAGGTTGAAATCTAGATGATCTAGTCTGAAATCCACAGGTGCACCGACTTGGGAGGGTGTGGGGAGGCGTGACTTTCACGGCATGCGAATGCCTTCGGAACTATCAACATCAGACTACATAGTTGCAGGGAGCATCCCAAGACGTTGGGTCCATCCAATATTAAACTAGTTCCATAGGTTAGTTAGCTACCTTGTATGTAGCTCCGTTGAGTCCGGTAGATGGGTCCTAGTTGAATAGTTGAACGGTGAAAATAAATGGCTTCGATTTGTCTTCTGTTAGGTTATACGTATTTGGAGCAGAACTAGCTATTTCAAGAAATGATGACATTCTCTTCAGCAAAATAATCATAAAAAGAAAAGCAGCTGGTTGCACAAGATGTGAGGCGCAATGGCGTATCATAACTTCTAAATATGCAGGGTCGGGGATAAGATACTACCTCACCCATGAGACAACTCATCGCGGACCCAAGGCCTACATGAATCCGAGTTACCAACGGACCGATCAGTGATCAGGGTACGTATGAGAAGGTATCATCAAAATCCATGAGCAGTGATGGTTGTGGGACAAGACAGAAGGAAGACACATGTGGAGGGGCGGCACAGATTGTGTGGATATATTGATTGTTTGGCCCGCGAATGCACCCTAGCTAGATTAGTATGCAGTCAAGCAGGACTTGCGCGCCGATGATGATGGGGCATCCTCTCATAGGGTGGAAGACGGAGCCGAGTATGCCTTGACGGCAGCTTTAGAGGACAATTGCGTCTTGAAGTGGCGGATTTATTACCATGAATTTCCTCGCATACTTGATGCCCCCCATGTTGAAATGAGCCAGTCAAACTCATACAATACAAAGAGCCCTAGTCAATGTTTCTCATATATGGTACCTAGGTGATTAAGACCATGAAAATTAATGATGACCAACCTTGACACCTTGGACATCAGTTCGTCGGAGGTTCATGCGGTGTAAGTTGGATGTAAATAGAATTAGCGACCACGTCCGTAGGGCCTGCGTAACTCTTCTCCATTTGTCATTTTTATACCAAACCCAAGACATGCACAACATCCCGCAACCCGGCCACTACTAGTCTAGCCAACGCCTGTGGCAAACTTACACAATACACCCGCGTCTTCAGCCGTAATAGCTACCCCTTGCGCCGATGTCAAACTCCCTTGTCCTTATCCTTGTTTTGCTGTAATTAGAAAACTGAATCTGGGAAACTTCATAACTATGTGTAGCAAGGGATCATGCGATTTTTCCAGGTTTCGGTATTCCCGGACGAAAAGGGGAAAAGAGAGTATATAGGCGAGCCAGAGAAATCTTAAAGCAATGTGAGGTGAGTAATCTTCCCACGCCCTTCGACCGTGATATCTAGTCATAAACCGTCTACCCAAGCTAACCTCAAACCTATAGCCGTCAATTTCCCTCCCCTTCCTCTAACGCCAAATCCATTACGCCCTTGTACAAGAGCTTCACTGTCTTATCGATTTTTCGTTTACCCAAAGAGCTTAAGGAAACCCCAGATCCCGATACCACTGAGCACGGGAATCGTAAGATTATCATCCAAACCAAAAAGGTCTATCACTTCACTACCTGCCGCAGTCAGACCCGACCACAAGCTCAACAATACAACGGCAACTGGGCCATCAACAACACTCTGAGATTTGGGAAGACTGAGAGCGTTCGAGATAAATGCAGGCAGTCGCAATATCCCTTTGAACATAAAAGGATGCTGTTCGTCTCCGGGAAAGGGGCCAGTTCTCGGTGCAAGCCAACCCCAGAACCAGCCAGCCGTAGCCACCCCAACCAGGAATGCGGCTGAAGACCCGGCCAAGGACTTGCCCCGTCGGATTCTCGGCGTGTATCGTCCGTAAAGCCGGCCAAAAGTACTGGCAGCAGTATCGCACCAGCTTAAGAGCATAACAGCTACCACGGCGACATCTTTAGGAAAGAAGTGAAGAACAGTCCATGCACCGAGCAAATAAAAGACGACGCCATTCCAGCCGGAATATTCAGTCTCGCGCATCAAGGCGCCAAGGCACCTAACATAGAAGCGATTTAAAGAAGCATTTTTATGACGTAGATAATCCGTGGCCGCAATAGGGATCAGAGCCCCCATTAAGAAGGGGGTGACAGCTGAGGTCTGCGTGCCACTGACGTAGAGCCAGTAGACGAGAAACCCGATGGATACATGTAACGCTTTTCTCGGTACCTCATGCTTATGGATGAATATCTTGAACTGCCGATGTATCGGAATAAGGCCTAGAGGACTTGGACTCCGGCTGAAGTCTCGCCAATCCCATCCGGATATGGTGGGCGTCGGTAGTGCTAGATGGCCATTTGGAGTTTCCTCCTTGACTTCTCCCTTGACTTCTTCTTTAAATTTGACGTCCTCTACCTCATCTTCTTCTTTCTGCTTCTGTTTTTGTTTCTGTTTCGACCTAGTAGCGCGAGGAGTCTTCGTAGATGTGAGACTACCCACCTTGCGAGATTTTATGGGGCTTCGAGATCTTGTCCGGGCCCTCCGGAGCTCCGGATCTGAATCTTCGTCGACATCTTCGTGGAGGGTTTGCTGTTGTAGCGCAGCACCACCGGCCTGTCGGCGTCTAGCAGCCGAGCGCGTAACCGGACCGAGGTAGGAATCTTGAGAAGTATCTTGAGTTTCGGATGGTGTAGGGCTTGGTGATATAACACGAGGTGTTGCAGGGATGATAGGCTTGCCGCGAAAAGACATATTATATGGAAAGTTGGGAAGAGGTGGGGAGGAGACGACACCAGTAAAGATCTGTCGCAAGTCGTAGAATCGCAAAGGCCAAAAGAAGGAATGAAGTTGTTTATCCCTTCTAGATTCACGAATAGTGGATGAAGGGGTGGTGGTGATGAAGGAAGTGAGAAGCGCTACCGAATCCAGATTGAAATGTCTTGATGCAACAGAGCTGTGCTCCGCCGCATTGTGATTTTTCTCGTTGCTTCGATTCGGGTCGTGGCTCTAGCCTTATAAACCGAACTTGGACAGATGTTGCACACCACATGGAATAACGATGGCTATACAGTTTAAAACTGATTGATGTATGAACGTATGGATGGACGTATGAATGGACGTATGAATTGTATGAATGGTAACGATAAGCATTTGGTCGGCGCAGTCAGGAATGCTATAAATGATAGGCTCGCATGATGTGTTTGAAAATTGACCGGGTTTCAATTTTGCACGGCCGAAGAAAACGAAAAAGCCGTCATACAAAAAGATCCTGGCGTTTTTGTCCCTCAGTTGTCTCTTAACCCCCACGTGGCTCGTGCTTTCCTTCACTTCAATGTACTTAGGTACATTTAACTATGGGTAGGTACCTAGGTACCTAAGTAGTCTCTTAGGAGGTAGGTATGTTTTCCAACTCCTCGACTGGCCTCTATAATTTCAAGTATTACAATGCAAACTAAACCCTCATTATCATCTTTATTAATCATCTCGTTCTCTCCAATAACACCTATTGTACCAATATAGATACACAAATAAGTTCATACCTCGGTCCTCAAAAAGTCTACAAACCCAATTAATATGATGGGCATATCAGTTCTCATGACTCTTACACTCGTCTCAGCCTCATGGGTATATGCAAGCAAGTACCAAAGCCTTGGATCAAACTCTAGCCAACCAATCACTTCACGTACCCGTATGTTCAAGATCCCCCAAGGCAATCTGGAGAAATGTCTCATGCTAGATCACACTGTCTAAGTCGATACGCGCGTCAAGTGTCACCACTTTGCATCGCTAGTCTGACTGTATACAAGGCTGCCGACATTTGCATACATTCTCAGTGCTGTAATAGTACGAAAGTCATGCAGGCCACCGGAATGCATTGAATTTCTTTTCTGGCTCAGATTCGGTTTCTAACTCTAGTTTCTTGTTACTGAATCATATAACTATAAGTAGGTGTTTATAGACTAGATACTTATAGGATAATATTTATAGGGTAGTTACTATTAGCTAGTATTATTAACAATTCACATCAAAGTAGGCGCCAGTTAGAGATATTAAATCTACCTAGAAGAAGAATTAGAAAAGGGACGAGTTTCAATATAGTTAAGATACTTACCTTAGGTATCTAGCATATTGCCTGTTTATAAACAGCCAAGTGCTAATTTCCCCATAACCTTACTGATGCCGCTGCAAGATTTGAGTAAATTTATAGAAAGTAAGCCAGCTATTAAAAGAGAAGAAAAAAAAAGCTATCATCATATTTAACGTTCAACTACTGATACTGCTTCAGGCTCTGCGTCTCCAATATTCTAGGTAGTCAGAAGATCCGATAATGATCATTTAGATTGAAACTCGAGCACTCGTAAAGAGGTCTCAATAATGCTAATATCCTGCTAGCATCTTATAATTAACTTGATTTCTAGCACGACCAAGTGATATTATTAGAAGCGTGTCACTAAGTGGACCAAGAAGTATAAAAACAACTTTGTTGTTCCGCGAAGAATTCCAAGCTAGCTATAAGAGCCGACCGCTATACATATTGAAAGTGCCTTTTGTTCTAGATATCTCATTTATAATCCCGATACTATTCTACATAATCAACTTTAGTTTATTAGGAGTCTTCTATTTTATCCAACTAGTGGATGAGTATACTTCAACACGCCTATATAGGCAAATCGTAACTGCTAAAAGTTTGGATAGATATTGTATTATAAATCTCGGCTAAATAAACTCACCGTTCTAATACTTAGCTTATAATTAGCGGTGTTGAAAACGCGAGCTTCCGTCCGTGATTAGGAATCATGGTTACTTTACTTTGATATAAGTGTGCTGGATCGGGATTGGGGTAAGGGATTCGGTGATAATGGTTTCCACAGCGTCAAGTTACAACGATTTTCAACCCAGGTTGTATCTCGCCGATAGGGCGATAATTGGCGCGTTCCAGGTGTGATGTGTTCGTTCATGGGCATACAAGCCGTGATGATCATGTGGAAAAGGGAAGCGCAAATGGGTAAGTCGGCCCCTCGTGTTCCCGACCTTGTCGTATCTCCGCCTCATCGTTGCGTAATCTCCAAATAGACGGGCTGGCCTAAATTAGGACGTGAAGAGACGACTAAAAACGCAAGTCTTACCTTCGGAGGTTATAAATAATGCGCGTAACACGAAGGTGCGAGTATATGGTTCCTAGTTCCTCACATCTATCTCTTATTATCACAACTGCAACTTTTCAAATCTCTCCCAAAGTAGTCGCAAAACTCATAGAATGTCTCCTCCGTCGTTCGCAATCACGCTCGAAGAGCACACTGCGTTTCCATCCCTCGGCACTGAAAGTGCATTCTACGACGACATATGGAAGGTATTCCCACAGACGAAAGAGGCCCTTGAAGACCACTCGACTGGTCGCTTGGCAGATATGGACGAGGGCCATATATCGTACCAAATCCTTTCTCACGTTACGGGTTTGAGTAACTACAACCCAGAGGGCACTCGAAAGGCAAATGACGAGATGGCCGAAGCTATTAGGAAGAACCCAAGTCGTTTGGGTGGCTTCGCTGGCCTTCCTATGGCGCATCCTCGAGCTGCAGCTGCAGAGCTAGAACGGACAGTAAAGGAGTTGGGATTTTTTGGTGCCATGATTGATAGCCACCTGGGGGACATGACTCACTACGACCACGAGAGATTCTGGCCTGTTTTTGAGACGGCTGAGCGTCTCGATGTACCCATCTATATTCATCCGGCATTACCCCCAGAGTTCATACAGAAAGGGCTATATAACGGCAACTACTCCCCTGTTCTTGCGCAAGGGCTGGCAACGGGCGGATGGGGTTGGCACCAGGACGTCGGGATCCACGTCCTCAAACTCTACTCTGCGGGCCTATTCGCCCGCTTCCCCCGGTTGAAGATTATAATCGGGCATATGGGCGAGTTGCTCCCCATAATGATCGACAGGGTGGATTCGATCCGTTTCTACAAAAAGAGCGGGTTAGAACCATTCCGTGACGTTTGGGACAGGAACATATGGGTAACTTCCAGTGGTATATTCAGCGTCAGAACTCTTGAAATGGTCCTGAAGATAACAAAGAAGGACCGAATCTTATATAGTATCGATACACCATTCAGCAAGAGTATTGAGGGGTGGAAGTATCTCCAGAGGCTAGCAGAAGAGAGTTCGCTCTCGAAGGAAGAATTGGATATGTTTGCGTTTGGAAATGCTAAAAAGTTGTTCAAACTGGACTTGGAGCTCAAGCAATTTTGAGTATGCAATTCCCAACAAGTAGTCAATGGTTATAACGAGATCTATAGAGATGATTGGAACTTTCACTACCCCATAATTCTCAATGGAAGCTTCAACAATTTTTCGGGTAAATAATAATCCTCAGACACGCCTCCTATCTGTCATCAGCGTTACTACCAAGAAAAACAACGGGACATGAGAAAAAAAGAAAGTTACATTAATCCAGAGAAAGTCAAGAATTGGACCGATGTTACTACTGGTGACTTGTACAGTTTTGCTTGAATTGGCCACCCACCAACACAAGGTCTAGATCGGCCGCCGACGCCCCTGAAGCCTCCCCAACCCCTGAATCGCTCCAGTGTGATCAACATGTGATAATAAGCGTTGATGAAGACTTAAGCAGCTGCCAATAGGGGTTTCGGGTTACCGGATACATCAGCGCGGCTTGATAGCCTAGGTAAATCATTAAAGGGTTAAGTTGATGTTTAAGGGCTTAACGCTATGAATTTCATTAAAATGGGGTTTTGCAAGGGTATAAATAGCTTCATAGTTGTTAGTATCCATTCAAAATTGAGGATAGCCGACTTTTATTGGTCAAACCTTGCGAGACTTCATGGAGTATTATTCGGTTAAGATAAATGTCAAACAAAAAATCTTTTAAGTAGCTGGGAATGCTGTTTGTCATAGACCCATCTGAAGCTTTAGTGCTAGTTGATATTATAAGAGAAACCTAAAGGTTGTAATACTTGTGAAAATCGTCCAATACTACCACTTAGCCTTTTAACACCTACTAATATAAACGAAGAATGAACGTAATATTTTACCGGAGCCTTTATTTTCTTATTTTATATAACTCTATACTCGCTTACTTTATGTGACGTAAGTATTCACAGAATTCTATTACTTTTTAAGACTTTATTGTTTAAAACTAATTGCAAAAATCGAAAGATTACTTTGCCTCGCTGCTCTAGACATTTTCAATCTTATATAGAAATATACATTTAACTCATTCGCAAGTATTTTATACTTGTACTTGCCAATACTGTTATATGATTACGTTGCGAGAAAGGATTCATCAGTAACTTGGATTATATAATTATAATACATTGGTGATTAAAGACCTTAAGTCGATAATACTCATGCTTCGAATTACGTGCCGCAGTCGTACCTTATCTGGGTATTGCTTTACAAGCGCCCATGCCTCAAAGGGAGATTCCGATTGACTCAATGACAACCTATAACTATCTCAAGGCTACTACGGTATATATTAATATAAATCAATGGGGTTAATTGATCGTTGCTATGCAATAAAAAGAAAATGACATATGGTCGCGTCATCTCAATTTTTTGGAAGTTCGTTTCTCAAGGTAACACAAAGCGGCTTGCATAAAGAACGACAATAGGTAGTAGTTCCGACGGAGTAAAGGAACTCCACATTACAAAGAAAAGCAACAAAAATCATTAGAAGACCCGACTATAATACCGGTCCTTCCAAGCAAGCGGGCCTTTATGCTAACGCCATCTCCTTCCTACGAACGTATCATGGCATCTACGGCTAGCAGCTCCTTTTTTCAGCGCATACCAGCTGAGGTGCGCCGGATGATTCTCATTGAGGCCTTTGGGAATCGTACTGTGCATCTAGATCTTTGTTTCGACCACCCTATGGTTTATTTATCCGACGAGGAGGCGCAGAAGCAACGTAACCATTATACTATCGACCCCGGACGGGCCCGCCGCCCAAAGCGAGATACCACACGTCCTAAGGCATGGAGGTGGTTTAGCTGCGTATGTCATCGTGACGCTGAATTTCGCATACGGGGGATGGGCAGCAGTTCGGAACCATATGCTGACATTTGCCTCGGCGGTACCGCCGGATCCTGTCGTGGATGGCGCGGAGAAATCCCCTATAGATGCTTTATAGGCGTTATGGGATGGCTTCTGACTTGTAGACAGGCGTAAGTCTTTCATCCTCACGGGCTATTCGGCATCCATTCGGAGTTTGTATCGAACCTGGCAAGGTAGCTTACGTTTTCTTTTGGGTTTAGATATACAGAGGGCATTGAAATCCTCTACTCTACAAATAACTTCCATATCTCTAACGGCGATATGATTCATGCCTTCCCTGGTTTAATTAGAGCTGAACACCGAGCCATGATCACCTCCGTAGAGATGATGTGGCAACTCAACTTACACACAAACGCGGCGTCGGGCTGGGATCATCTTACCGCTTTGGTACGTGCGGTTCCAAATTCTTTTTCTGGGTTGAGGAAGCTTTATATTTGTCTCGGTGGTTCTTGGAAACCACCAACAATTAGTCCTGATAATTGTATAGGGGAGTTGGAAACTAGTGTATTAGAAGTTATGGATGAAATGATAAGGAGTCTTGGCCCGCAGTTGCAGGAATGCAGCATTGCGGTACCAGCTAGTATATTCTGGCCCCAGCGAGAGTACGGTATAAGGCAAGGGTATAAGTTTGAATCTGGCCCTGGATATGTGGCTGATCGTGTCTGGCGGCCACTCGCACCTTTGCGAGAGTCTGAAAACGAAGAGGAGATTGAATCTGGGTACTGGATTAGAGAAGGGCCTGACGACATACCTTATCCATTCGCACATATAATTGCTGGCTAATTTCGATTTTCTTTAGTTTCGATCATTTGATCGTACGTCGATTAGCATTTCTAACGAATAGAGTAAACTCTGCGTGTGAAAAATCTATGATTCATGAAGGACTACCGCTGTGGTAGTCTAACCCTGATTATTGCTTTTATTATGCGATCGGGAAATGGGAAAACCATTGGGCATTCGTCCTATCTTTATTTAAGTATTCTTTTCCCTCCGTACATTGGTAGTATTTAAAACAGCCTACTTCTATCAAACCACAATTTCGTCGGGATATTCGATGTTCCCATGTAATCCTTTAACAGTCATTTTGAGCCTCTTGCGGATCTGATGACACAATTGCAATACAAAGCTGGTTTGAAACTCTAGACATTCACCTAGGAAACCCTATTGATACAAAATCCGGGAACAAGTTGATAAGAATCGTCGAACTTCTGATTGTTGCCCTGCACCTCGGGAAGAAGGTCAACAGCTCGTGCGCATACATACTCTTGTCTACTACAGAAGCTAAGGGCAAACTGAATCATAGAATTATCTCTGAGTCTTTGATGTGAAATTTCCCCCACCGCAAGATATATCACGTGTTCCGTCACGCCCCTGAGTTGAGCTGTCAGAACAAAAAGCCGACCCAGTTGAAGACCAGCAACACATACCTTGAACTTAACTCGTTGCCGAACCATCATATAGTGGGTGCTATATTACCGCCACCTAAATGCCACTCAGCTGCTTCCTTCCTTCCTTACTCCGTTTATGTATTCCAGTGCCGGCCTATAGGGATGTAAAGCTGTTTGATCCCACACCAGTAAGCAACACGGACGCTTTGGCGAATAATGTAAGAGGCAAACAGTTGGAGCCGGAGCAGAACTGTGACTGCTTATAGATTCGACGTTATCATTATATGAAAAATGTGTGGAAATAACTATGATATCACCATTCCCCTTCCACCTAAGTGACTGGCTAGTTGTGTTATTGCTAAGACCGCTCGGCGGTCGATAAAGGGGTTTACGTAGTACCACAGTGTATACAGCGTCCGCTTTCGTACAACTACGATACTTCGATACTGTATCATCCCTATACAATGAAGTTTTCAGCCTCCGCATCAATAGCAGACTGGCTTGTTTTTGATTCTAGAACTTTTTCTCCCTAGTATTTGGGCCGACCAAATGATGATGCTCGGGGTGCAGGTTAATCCAACGTAAATCAACTGACTTAGATTAAGTGATACTGAAGACTACATAAGTTGTGATAAATTTAAATATTTTAGGAGCAATGAATAAAAAGGTTGAATAGCTATTACTCAGATACCTCGAAACGCAAGACCTTTTTTCCTTTTTTTCCTAGTTATCACTTTATTAATTCTCTGGAAGGGAAGAGCAATTGAAGTACCTCACGTACACCACACGTTCCTCATTAGGTAGAACTTCCAAGTTTGTTAAGGGTACCTAACCTACAGTATACCTAGGTAGGTACTATATGAACTATTTCGGGAAATTGTTTCTGTTCCTCTAGAAATGCCATCTTGAGCAAGTTTTACTCGAGCCGCCGTTAGGTCAGCAGCTGCTCCGGAAATTAGAACCGGGTATGTAACTATTTATAAGCAACTACGGCTCCGTTCCCGACGTCTTCCACCGCTTTCGTACGATCCCTAGACGGAAAGTACAGAAGATCATCTTAGCCACCCAAGAAAACTATAAAATATTCGATGTAATCACATTGAAATTTTAGAAGCGGAGATAGGGGGAAAAGGGCCGGATTTTACCAATCACCCGTCAAGAAGTGGCCGATGAACTAAACGGCCCTTTTAGTACCCCGAAGAGAAGGATACTTGTTTATAGCTTTAACCATGGTAACTATCACCATTGGCGCCGCCGTTGGCCCGTTTACTGGCGGCTTAATCGCTAACAAGTCGATATGGATATGAGTTTTCTATTGTTATGGAAGTCAACTACTACATAAAGAATGACTAAATAAGATATCATCCCATGCTCCTCAATACATAATACCGTAATCTTTTAAAACTTCATATTCTCTAACTTACCATAGTCGAGATGGCGCCTATAATAATTATAAATTAGACTTTATCTGGTTAATCTATTCTACTGCACTTGTGGCGCGTTTGTGCCTTAAAGAGGCGCGTCCTCGATGTACTTCTACATACAAGCGATAAGACGTTGTAAATGATAAGATAAGACAATCAACCATCGATAAGATAATAATTCTCAGTTCAACTCCAAAAATTTCCTACATAGTCGACCTTCAATAAAGGTCTGATAAGAAATAAATTATACGTGCCCACGCTCATCCGTTGAATCATGGCGCCAGAAGCAAAGACGACGAAAAAAGACCCCCGAGCCTGGGATGCCTTGACACCCCCCTTGGCAGAATGGATATTGGATGCAGTTTCAAGCATGGGTTTTGCCCGGGCTACTCCCGTTCAGGCCAGTGTATGGCCTCTTTTTGGAGGGGGAAATAAGGATGTAGTTGTAGAGGTAAGTTTAAAGATTTCTTCCTCTACTATTAACATACCTACAGCTTTACTTATAATCAATAGGCAGTTACAGGTAGCGGAAAAACTCTTTCATTTCTCCTCCCTCTCGTTCACAGGATCTTGCGACAGGACGAACCTACGAAACGACATCATGTAGCCGCCATTATTGTCGCACCCACCAAAGAGCTTGCAGGCCAGATCTATGGAACTCTAACCTCGCTTATCGCCTTTCACCCTCAGTCTTCCGAGCTACTACCCCATCTTACTGGCGAGGAAAAGCGGCTAGATACAAGTTCGCCTGTTATCATCCCACAACTCCTCTCCGGCGGCAGCACTACGACTCCCGCCCAAGATCTTAGCTTTTTTCTCCGCGCATCACCAAACGTCTTGATATCAACGCCCGGTCGACTAGTAGAACTCCTCTCTTCCCCGCACGTGCACTGCCCGCAGTCTTCCTTCGAGCTTCTAATCCTAGACGAGGCAGACAGACTTCTTGATCTGGGGTTTAAGTCAGATTTACAGAAGATCCTTTCACGACTACCGAAACAAAGGAGAACAGGTCTCTTTAGCGCCAGCGTCAGCGAGGCGGTGGGCGAAATAATTAGAGTTGGTCTAAGAAATCCTGTCAAGGTTGCGGTTAAAGTGAAGAGTCTAAAGACGGGTGGAATCATTGAGGAGCGACGAACACCCGCGAGTCTTCAGATGAGCTACCTAACTACACCCGCCAGCCACAAGTTACCAAGTCTAGTCCAGCTCCTAGAGAAACTAGACCCCCGACCACAGAAGAGCATCGTATTTCTCTCTACATGTGCCGCCGTCGATTACTTTACACACCTTCTCCCCACTCTTCTTCCCGAGGGCTTCGATTTGGTTTCCCTTCACGGAAAATATGAAGCAAAGGTGCGCGAGAAGAATTTCGCCAAGTTCCTCAACGCGGCACAGCCTTCGGTCCTACTCACTACCGACGTAGCCGCCCGAGGCCTCGACTTTCCACAGGTCGACCTCGTCGTGCAGATCGACCCACCTTCGGACCCGAAGTCATTTCTGCATCGATGCGGCCGTGCTGGCCGTGCGGGGCGCCGGGGTCTCAGTGTCATCCTCCTACAGCCGACAGAATTGGACTATGTGCCATTCTTAGAAGTACGGAAGACGCCCATTATGCCACTTGCCTATCCAGCAATCTCAGTGACCGATGTTGATGCCGACACTACTACCTCACGGATTCGCGAAACAGTAAAACGCGATCGCGCACTGCACGACAAGGCGCAAAAGGCATTCGTTAGCTGGCTCCGTAGCTATAGCAAGCATACTGCAAGCTCTATCTTCCGCATCGCAGACCTGGATTGGACAGACCTAGGACACGCATGGGGGCTGCTACGACTACCGAAAATGCCAGAACTACGAAAATTCGAGGGTGACAAATTTCTGGGGGTAAAAATGGACTGGAATGCGTATGCATACGCCAAAAAGGATCGCGAGAAACAGCGCCTAGAGACATTACAAAAGATGGCCGAGGAAGCGGTCGAAGGTCACGTAGGGAAATCGGCCGAGGGGCAGAAAGAGCGGCGCAAGCGCAATACCGAGGCTTGGAGCGGAAAACACGAGAAGGAAGACGAACGGGCTGAGCGTCGCGATAAGAAGAGACGCAAACGCGAGGCTGAGCGGCGGCAGACGCTTACCGAGGAGGAAAGGGCGAAGGAGATGGATCTCGAGCGCTTGCTTGAGGAGGTGCGGAGACGGAATAAGGAGAAGTTGGCTGCTGAGAGTGGTGGTACTACGGGACAAGGAGGCGCCATTGGTACTAGGAATGGCGATGATGATGAATTTGAGGGCTTTGACTGAGTATGAAAGTAGATTTAGATATAGATACCCCGAGAATATAAAATGTATTGATTATCAAAGTCAATACGTGATTGCATGATACCTGTAAATCACAAATGAAATATCTCGTATATATAAATAATCACTATAAATTACACCAGGCATGGGCATTGAAGTGAATCGGTACAACATATTTTTTGATATTTCCTTACTAGGTCCAAGCAGCAGAACCTTCTGCACGAAGAAAAAAGAAAAAAGAAAAGAAAAAAAAAGCCTACATAAATAAACAGAAGCGCAACAATAACCGGATCTCGAGCGAACGATGTGTATCCGTAACGGGTATCGGTAATCGCCTTTCCTCAGGCCAACCAGTTCCATTCAGCCACATCAACCATCTTCTCATATGGTTCGTCATTTTAGGGTATATGTGTCCTTCGTTTGGTCTGCCGCCAGCAAGACCCTTTCGTGGGGTATGTCAGCCCAATAACAGGCAATCTCCATCATTACAGCCTCATTGTCGATCATTAACTAGGAATTTGAAATACACAATACAATATTTCGACATGAATTCGAAATCAAAGGGGAGGGGAAGGAAGGACATCTTCATTAGATATTCTCAATGATGTGAGCATTGACCGCCTGTGAGAACCCGTCGTCATCCTGAGTCCCACTCGACTCGCCGAGTTCATACTGTTTAGCCGCCTGAGCCATGGCGTTGTTGATATTTGGCATCGTCTGGTTCGCGGCTGGGAGGAAAATAACCTTTGAGTTCGCTGTCTTTGCCATGGCCTGCATTGCTTCTAGGTATCTGATTTGCATCGCGGGCGCGGACGACAGGATATCTGCTGCTTGACGCATAAGCCGGGCCGATTCTACTTCAGCTTTCGCCGCTATGATCTTGCTTTCTCCGATACGCTTGCTCTGCGCTGCCATGGATAAGGACTGATGTTATGTTAGCAATGTTCCTTGGTCAAATTCCGTGGCGTTTATATCGTAAAAGGCAACAGAAAATAGACATATCAATGATGCTAGACTTACATTCTGAAGGTCAGTAGAAAAGTAAATATCTTTAATGAGGATAGCGGAAATTTCACATCCCCAGCTCCTTGCCAAGTCCTCAACTATTTCGCTGATGCTCGTCGCGATTTCTTCGCGGCGCTCGATGATGTCTTGTAGGACGCGCGCACCCACGACATGTCTCAGGGTTGTCTGTGTCCGCTCGACAAGGGCCTGTCGTAGGTTGGTAATTCCGAATGCAGCCTTGTGCGGCGAAGTAACGTGGTAGTAGATGACCGACGTCAGTTCAACATTGACGTTATCTTTGGTCATACAAGTTTGTTTGGGAACCTCTATATTTTTCGCAATCATAATTAAAAAAAAGTTAAGGCAAGAAGAGAGGAGGCTCGACATACCAACGATTTGGATCTTAACATCAACCTGGATCAATTTCTCGCTGAGTGGATTGATCTTTACAAGGCCGGGGTCGACAGCTTTGTAGAATTTCCCGAACTTGGTGACAAGTCCCACGTTGCCTTGACTGACTTGCTTATAGGGATTGGGGCAGCAAATGATGCAGGGAATAGCCCCGAGAGAACCAACACAAGAGCCGATGGCATTAACTATGAGAAAAGTTAGGGCCAATATTATTCATTCCGGCTAAGGTGAAATCATACTCATCGATCCATACCAGCCCTTAGGGTTGGCATCAGTACCGACGATGGACGCATAACTCTGTTGCAAGTCCTCCTGTCTGGGGCGCTCGACTGTCATATTGGCCTGTGGTTGGAAGCCAGATGGGCCTGAGCTGGTTCCATTGGTCCGCTCGACACCCTTGTTCCTGGAGTCGGCCATGTTGCAGTTGTAGTTCTTTCGTGCTTCTACTTGTCTATTGAAGAGATTAGATCTAGTCGAACCTCAAGCATCATATGTTAGATGAAAGAGTGAAAAGGTGAAAATGTGAAAAGGTTGAAGAGTTGGAGAAGAGATCAGGTGGTGGAAGATGAAATGTCAGACAATATGCAAATGGTTTTAAGATGTACCTCTTTCTTAAGTACTACCTACCTAGTCGTCCCATTCGTTTAATCGTGCGTTGGTGATAGGAATGGGGAAGGGGAAGGAGAAGGATAAGAAAAGGTATCATGTCAATGTCACCCCAGAAAATGCTGTGCGACGTACATTTATCTGAGAGCTGATGAAGCAGTTACGTCCCGGGTCATTTATGGTGGTAGTCCGTAGGTTAGAGTTTAAATGGTAGGACATAAGTTTTATCCGTGCGGGAAAGCTGGGGAAGCCAGATACCTAAAGGTGCAAACACCTCCAACTTATATACCTACCTCTAGGTAGGTTAGGTACCTATACAAGCACCTAAGTCAAAGCTAAAGTCAAAATCGAAGAAATGTCTCCGTTAAGGTCAAATCAAAACATTATTTATTAAAGTCAGCAACCCAATATCGTAAGATCAACTCTGAGGCGAAGCTATGTACTTTCTTGGCAAGCGTAATCCTACACTACATACAACAGCACATAGGTAAGTCAGTTAGCCTTGCCGTATTCCGTATTCCGTATTCCGTATAAAGCACGTCTCTATATGGATTAGTGTACTTGGCAAGATTTGGAATTTACACGTCTGGGGAATGCCGGTCAGTGAGCGTGACCCAGCACTGCCTCAATCTTGTCGCCCAGTTATTACCTAGTAGGCAGCTAGGTTAGTGAAAGAGTTTCTCCATCCGGTAATACGTTTCGAGGTCCCTTTTACATACCTACCTACGTAGGAGGCATTTCTGAACATGTACATAGGTAATCCCACTACCATCGAATCGATTTACGATCTAAAACTAAAGCCTAGGGTACACGAATATCGTCAAGTGACAGAGGAAAATCCTCCCCAGGGCCCCGTTGAGGCTATGCACGGAACATTTCTGGAACTCTACCTCTTTTGACATGACGTCAAGCTCGATCCTATACTTCGTAGTATAATACAGATACTTTCATGGGTTTTTCATTGTGGGCATTGTCCAAATGCGAGCCCTTACATATGTCATATATTACCGAATTGCGACTCCGCCACCACTGACAAACCGATAATACATTGCAAGTCTAAGTAAGCTGGTAAGTTGGCTTTGTATTGAGATATATCACTTAGACGTCTCCTAGCCGCAAATCCTAACACAGCTCCACTACTAACTGCCACACTTATGTTATAACTAAACTAAAAGACTAACCTTAGGAAGATCTCACTCAGCCTTGTGGTTTCTAAATCGCAAAGCGTATGGAATTCACTCCCTGCGTCGTATGTTATATCCCAGGTCGGCTGTGGATTTTCCACATTTACATTGACCGAATGTGGGTATGCTGCGTGGAAACCATTGCAAGACCGCATGTTCTTAGGAAGATCCCAACTTTTGTTGGGCTACCTAATCGTGGCAGTGTACCAGGTATTTGGTAGAGCTACACGTCGCAACGGATAGCAAGATCACACATGTGCGCTAAGAATCAAAGGCTATGTTATGTTAGATTGGATAGGTACTTAAACTTTCTAACATTCTCAGTAGCATCCCACAGCATCGGAGCTCATGTTTTCTATTATATATCTTAAGAGAGGTAAACGACCTTCCTTTTGAGAAGAATGAGCAATTATTAGATGTTGTTGTATATTTTCTCAATTGTGACTTAGAAACCAGTCCCCCAGTCCCCTTACAGATATTTTTCACGCTCTATTTCTAGAGGGTACCTTTGTCTAGGACATTCTTTATGAACCATTGATTTCTAGACATGTCTTATTATGTGTCTACCTCGAATGGCTACTTCATTTCAAGGCGAGGTTTTGTTCTAAAATCGCACAATGGTATTATTCTAGTTGCTAGGAGGAGATGCTGCTAGCCTCGAATCCGCAATGATAGAGCAAGTAGATGGCTTGCAGAGATATATAAAAAGTGCTAAATATAGTTATGATGCTTGACAGATCAATATACCATCGACTCAAATTTAATGTTATACCCATACCAATATCGCGAGTAAGTAGTCATTAGAGCTGTTAAGGCTTCTTGAGTTAAGCCCCTCTGAATAATGCCACTTTTACGGAGAGATAGTAATTGACATAGACCCCGGGTCAGAAAACAATAGATTAGATACGAAAGGCATAAGCTTATAAGAGTTGAAAGCTTCAGACACAAGATAAAAGATACAAAGCTAGAAGTCGGATTAGCCTACTGATCTCTTGGCAGAAAGAACTTTTAATATTTGAGGTCATAACGAAAGCTATAAAACTGTAGGTAGCATGGCTTTAACTAGCAGACAATGCCGGATACTAGAAGGTAAGCTAATTGGGTAGAACTAACATTCCGAGAAACCACAACATCAAGGTTAACTAGCAAGTAGAATCTTGGGAAAGGCTTCCACGGTTTTTATTCCGAAGCTTCTGTTCTAGTTCTGGCGGTGGATATTCTCGTCTTAATACTACTACAGGCATCATCCCACATGGTTTTCTTAATGGTGAGACGCCAACAACGATACATAATATCCGTGGTTTAAAGTATATGATCGATGGCCATCTACAGGGAATTCATGTCCCATCCGCCTTTAGTTCCTGGGCGGCGGATCTCGCCATCGCTATTCAATTTTTATCAGATGCATCGGGGTATATAGCGATTATCGATACCAAGATTCTTCAAGATTATGTGAAGGTATATCATGTTACGGCTCTTTTTAATGCTGGCTTGGCTTCTCAAGATTATGATCACGAATATCTGGTGTATGGCCCGATTATTGGTCCTGCATATCATTGCGTTAAGTATCAGGATATTACACGCGTAGGTCTATATATCGCACCTATGGCGACATACTTAAGCGGCGGTCCAAAAAATTTTACTCCAGTCTCAAACCTTTCTGAGAGCGAGATGTCCAGACTTATGATTAAGGTCAGGGAAATTGCACTTTTCTTTAGAAGACCCGGTGATAGTCGACCGGACGCCGTGATAGCTGTAGCGGCCATCCTTATGGGGGATCTTTTTAGAATAACGTCATCTAGGGATACCACGTATTTCTACGATTTCATGTTAAGATATTTCTCACATGAGCTTCAAACCTTCCGGTCATCCACCGTAGCATCTTTCTTCGATAGGCCGAGGTTAGTCAATCCGAAGACATACACGACGCCCTACTACCCACAACTTGAGCACGCCATCAATGCTCTCTGGTCGCTTGAAAACTACCTCTGCGGGGGTTCATAGGTGTGAGATGGGATAGAAGAGTAAATTATGCCTTGACGGCTGTATGTATTAAACATGAACAACGCTTAAGTAAATACGTTACTTGATCCATCCAGGTTACTTGGATAACAGAGATTACATCCACTGGCAGCCGTCCGATTTATCTCTTGTCATTTATTTAAATTTTTCATAGAAAAAAATAATAGTTATAAAATAGATGATAGGTAGTTACCTCATAAAGGTATGTATCGACTTATCCTCTTTATTTAAGAGAGTTAACATCATTGCGCGAGGGCATCCATGTAATTATTCGAGTGATGTTTAAATGCATATCGGAACTTAGGGTTAGGCGGTAAAGTGATCAATTACTCAAACGACAGGAACTGATAACTGTCTCTATTTACATCATCAGATCATCAAAATCATCAGACCCAGGGTAACGGAAATTTGTAAACGAGTAGCCGAATTATCTGGAAATATACCTATCAGCTGCATCAGTGCATCTCATAAACGGAAACATTAAGGCGGAAACATTAAGGATGGCAATTAACGACGGCGCAGAGAGAGTCCCGGAGAGACAATTGCAACAAGAAGACATCCCTGCGTATCAAAGTAGCGCACCGAGCATCTTCGTGCCCGCGCACACTGATTTCACAAAACCGCCACCGGCACTGCCATCAGAACCAAGCAAACGACGTGACGAGATACTCGCTCAGATCGATGAGCATGCGGAGGCCGTGCAGGATAACATATACTACATGCTTAACCGCGAAAAGACGAGAATCCGTCAAGAGTGTAAATGGAGAGAAGACAAATTCCCTCCACACCTTAGGGCCGTTCCGGGCTTAACGGGAGACGAAGAGCGCTCACTTCCTTCAAATGGGACGCAGATGGACGAGATCTTACATCTGAGATCATTCACCTCGGACCTGACTCGAGGCGGTTACGAGGTACCTTTTAAATTTACGGATGAGAAATGCTTACATTTGGCCACAACACCTGGAGAACCGCCACGCAAATCGGCCGAGAAGATGATGATGAACTTGGTAAGGCATGGTATTCATAGCTTGGAGGAGTTCGCTCAGCACGTCAAGAAGGTAAAGGAAGCAAGGATCAAAGAGCTCGAGAATGAGTTAGCTTCGGAGAGTCAAAGTTCTACGGGAATTGCACCTGCGGATATTATGGATACTAGTTAACTAACGCTGACTGGAAACATATATATACACACGAAAGCTACCCTTGTCTCGGGTGCTGATGCCCCTGGTAAAGAATAAATACTGCTCAATTTCATATTCCGCTTCCCGTAGTCGATATCCCTGCGCCATCGGCAGAAGGAGTTCGTCCAGTTTCCCAAGGCTTTGGTGGTGCTGCAAGGCGGCCATGAGTCGTGAACGCCGGGTCCTCGATAACCGTATCGGGGATCTGTCTTATTCCAGGTATAGGCTGCCCCGTCTGTAAAAACGCCACTATTTCCTCGAATTTCTTAGGATATGGCTCCTTATCAGGGTCTGCTGAGGAGGGATCCTTCTCAATGAAGAGTTCTGCCGTCGGTGCGGCGCTTTGCCAACTGGGCACTTCAACATTGGCTGAATCGGGAGTAATTTGTTGAAGAGCGAGTTGGCCTAATGGATCACCTAGTTCAACCAGGAGATGTGCCAGTTTTCTGTCCGCGGGATTTGACTGTTGGTTGGTTAGTAGCTTATCACTGTATATCTTGAGGCGTATACGGAGGTGGGACTAGGACGTACTATAGTCATTGCTTCTACCGCAACTGCCTGCTCAGATACAATACTTGGGGGCCGGCGGTTGTTTTGGGTAAGCCATTGGTTATATGCGCCACCGTCAACTTCAATCTGGGTTTGTTGTTTAAATCTTTGGATTCGAGTCTGGAGAGCGATCTCAGAAAGACTGAGATCGCCAGGTTGAGAGTTGGTCAAAGTACTTGAGAGTTGTTCCTTATTTCTCAGTATTTAGCTATTGTGATTTTACATACATGTGATATATTATATAGGAGACTTACAGTGAATACCCGATCTTTAATCCATGGATAAGAATCAAAGGCTTGGTATAGGGCATGAGGATTCTCAGCGGCACGACGTTGGACACCAGCTATACTTGCGTCCGGCGCGGCCATCTTCTTATTATTTAGTGATTTGAAACCCTTTTAGATAATACCTACTTGCAAGTATGATAGTTAATAGTGAATGTTATGTTAATGGGCGTTGCTAGATGCCGAGGTTGCGCTTGCATCTATGTATCGATAAGGAGGTTAGGAGGCAAACACTAGGTACCTACCTACTGTAGGTATAGTGCATGTGGCGGGACTGACTAACTGCGGCCCCACACCTCCCGCATCTCGCCCTTCCACTACCCAAACGAACTCCCGCATTTCGCCGAAAACAGAAATTGGTCACGATGGATATCCCCCCCCCCTCTCCCCCAAATGTCCCATTATCTATCCTTGTAGAAGCTTACCTAATGATTTAGTTAACGAGCTCCACTTTGAAGGCCAGCCATATTCCGATATTCTGTGGCTCGTTTAGCGACTTAGCGACGACGAAACTTCCTCCCAGATTCAATTTCACGTCGACGGTAATCCTCTCCCCAAATGCGTCGCGTACCTGTCAGAGCCCTTCGGACGACATTTCAATGCACCGTCCGGGGCCTTGCTCGTACTAGTCGCCTGCGGCGTGCCGTATTTTCTCACCATTCAAGCCATTTTAATGCGACTCTTGGTGTTCGATCCGCTGCTTTGTCCTCGGCTGCAACATCAGCTGCATCTACTTCACCATCTTATACACGCCCCAACTATGCGGTAAGCGAGCCCTTACGATCCTCCATGTATATCCGCCGGTTCTCCTTCGCCATTGTCTCTAGCCTAGTTGGCTACGGCGCCTGGTATACATACAAGGGAGGAAATACCCTTGAGCAGGCCGGGGCTAAATCATACGCGACGGCACCAACGCAGTTAACGAATAGCGCTGCCACAACGCGGAATGTCCTCGTAGTTGGTGCCGATGAATTGCACACCGGAACTTTCGTCGGCGAAGGTCCGATAGCGAAGAACGTTGACGGCAGTGGAAGAAACGTGCTAGAGATGCTTACTCCGGACCAAGCCACCGAGAAATTACGCCAGAACGAGGCCTCGTTTCTAGTCAACCGCGGACAAGGTGTACTACGATATGACGTCGTACAAGTTGCGAGTAATAACCCGATCGAGGATGATCATGCAGAGAAGATTGTGGAAGTAGCTTCACGGCAAGGCGAGAACACTGATAAATCTACTGATGATTGGATGTTTTGGGGTGTTTTTGACGGCCATGCGTATGTGCTACCGACTTTATAACCTCGTAACAATATACAGAATACTAACCTCTAGTAGTGGTTGGACAACTTCAGCGAAGTTACGACAAACTTTAATCAGTTTTGTCGCGCGAGAGCTGAATACTACATACAAAGCCGCCGGAACTCTTGGAGCAGTACCGTCTCCAGAGGCTATTGATACCGCCATCAAGCTTGGGTTTACACGTTTGGATCATGAAATTGTGCATGAGAGCGTAGAGAAGGTGTTGAAGTCCAACTCGAAGCGAGTTGCTGCCGAACTCCTTGGTCCTGCTTTGTCTGGATCTTGCGCTCTCTTATCATTCTATGATAGCAGCACCAAGACTCTACGAGTTGCCTGTACGGGTGACTCGCGGGCTGTCTTAGGCCGTCGCAGTTCGTCTGGAAAGTGGACGGCAACGGCTCTGTCTGAAGATCAGACTGGAAGCAATCCTAACGAGGTAGCGCGGATGCGAAAGGCTCATCCAGGGGAAGAGCGGGTTATTCACAACGGTCGTGTCCTTGGTGGCCTTGAGCCGACTCGAGCCTTTGGCGATGCTAGCTATAAGTGGAGCAAGGAAGTCTCTGAGCGTCTCCGAGCATCATTCTTTGGCCGCAGCTCCTCGCCTCATCTAAAGACCCCTCCTTACGTGACAGCCGAGCCTGTTGTCAGTACAACCAAGATCCAACCTGAAAAGGGGGATTTCCTAGTTATGGCGACGGATGGGCTTTGGGAAATGCTTACCAACGACGAGGTTGTCGGACTCGTCGGTAAGTGGATCGAGACGCAAGCGACAGAGCAGTCCTCGAAGTCTCAGCTGGGCTCTGTGTGGGCCAAACTTTTCGGCCCCGGTCGAGATCTTCCCGTAGAAGCCGGCAAGGAGGCAGGACCTGACGGCCAGAAGACCCCGATTCGATTACGACAATGGGGCATCTCGCCCGACGAGAAGGAACGGTTTGTCGTAAAAGATAAGAATGTCGCTACACATTTAATTCGCAATGCTCTCGGCGGTAAAAATGAAGAGCAGGTATGCGCGTTACTTACGCTAGTCTCGCCGTTTTCGAGACGATACAGGTCAGTCACAGAGAAGATTAAAATCTTGAAATTCAAACGTCTATACGGAAGCTAACAGTCTACAGGGATGACCTAACGGTGCAGGTAATCTTCTTCGGCGATGGCCCGAGAACTGGTGCGGTGCTTGTTAACGAGGAAGCATCAAGCATTCCTCAGTCAGCGATTAAGGCGAGGCTATAAATCTGTTGGGATGTAGCTTCATGTATACCACTTTAGCGAAGTTCAAATTTCCCGATACAAGTATAATGCCGGCTTCACAAGCGTGAGAGCTGCAGGATATATTCCTTCCATGGCACGGCGTTTAATGGATTGCAGAGCATACCAACTGTCCATATCCAGTGGCCCAAGGATTATGAGAAGTGGTATGCCATTCATTTAGGTATTGCATGGATATAGGTACCTAACCTTTGGGTCAATTGCATTCAACGTCATATAATTTCCATCGCATATAAACTACTGCTGAGGTCTTTGATATCCGTGAATGGACCTTTCTACTAACTTGGCTGTTAACCTAATTGCTACATCCCTATCCCAAACTACGGGATACATACCTAAGGTATAAGTTAAACATGATTTTAAGATCTCACTTTATTATTCCATATGACTGCTATTTAAAATTTCCGGCCCTAGCCCGTACCATGGGGATTTCGGACTAATAGAAAGCGACCCTCGCGGCCTGCTCGTTATCCACAAAGAAGTTGGGGTTAGTGCTCCCCACCGAGTTGGTGGAGTATCTCCCCATAGTCATGGAAGATATACCCCAGAGGTCCTCGTATCTCCTCATCACCAACGTTACCCGCAATGTACCATTTCAGCATTACGTCGGAATAGATACACTATCGGTATGTCCTAACAGTTGCCTGGTCATAGCAGAGATCAGATTGCCTAATAAGGTAAAACTTCCGTCTAAGATAGCCAAATGTATAATAGTTCCGAGATCACAAAGAACATAGGATTTCCTTGGCCTGGCCTAAAGTTGATGCACCAATAGGTGCTTGCTTTTTGCGAGAATATAGACACGCTTATTGAATTTTAAAGGGAGCTAGCATCACCTTTAAATGGTGCTTTAGCTAGTCTCCTGTTTTGCTTCCGTAAGTCTATGATTGCGTCTATCGTGAACAAAGCTTGCGCGTCAAGATGAAGCTTCCAATAACCCTATGGTCACTCTGCGCGGCCCTAGCCTATGCGTCATGGGTTCCCACATCACCAGCGCTACCTCGAGACCGTGAGCCACATTGGCAGAAACGTATAAGTCGTCGTCAAGGAAACTCCTCTTCGCAGTGGCCGTACGGTCCCTTTAGAACTAGAGGTAGAGATGTGGTCAACAGCCGAGACGAGGTGATCACTTGGGCTGGTGTCAATTGGCCAATGAGTGGTATGCAATATCAAGCCTACTTAAGGTATAAACATCATGGACTAATACTAGAATACTACTATAGGCGAGACAATGATACCAGAAGGGTTAGAATGGAAATCCGCTGGGGAAATCCTAGACGACGTTGTTGGCATTGGCTTCAATTTCCTTCGCATGTAAGTGATTTGAAAAATAAGAATAGCTAAAATGGTTCGCTACTGACTCTATGCAAGGGGCTATGCGATCCAGATGATCGACGAAATATACGATCGAGGAGGCGAGGACGTGCCCCTGGAGGTTGCTATGATCATGGCTCTAGGTTATGAGAACGGTACAAAGGTCACCGACGACATTATTTCCAAGAATCCTACTTGGACCCGTGAGACAACTCGGTTTGAGATATGGTCTGATATTGCCAACATCGCCGCATCTAAAGGTGTATATATCCACCCCGATGTCCACGTTGGCAAAGCACAATGGTGTTGCAGCCATACAGACGGAAATGCCTGGTTTGACGATGTAAACTTTAACACTTCCAACTGGCGGAGGGGACTCTCATATGTGGCAACCTGGGCTAAGGACCATCCTAACGTCGTATCTATGTCACTACGAAACGAGCTGCGCGAATCCTGGAACCGCACAGACTTGTACTACAACTGGGAGACGCTCGTGGGTAACATGAGCACGGGAGCTGACGCAATTCACAAGGCTAACTCAGATCTGCTCATCACATGGTCGGGTATGCAGTACGACGAGGACCTATCCGCCCTGACGACTAAGAAGAACATACTTACGGCTCCTTGTTACAAGTGCACAGCGATCCGCGACGCATACCGCCGCGATCCCGTCTACTTCGACCTCGACAACTACCCGTGGGCGAACAAGATCGTGTGGGAGCTGCACCTGTATCCGATGAGCGAGGACGTAGACACGGGAACCTGCGAGGTAATAGAGGCGGGCCTGTACCGTAACGGCTTTAACGCGCTGGGTATCGACAAACCATCCGGATGCAGTATTACTGGGGACTGCCAGTCGACGCAGCGACTTACGCCCGTCATATTCTCCGAGTTCGGCAACGCCCAAGACGCCACGCTATACAACAGCACGGTGCAGAACTGTATCCGCGACTTCACCGAGAAACACAGCGTCGGCTGGATGATGTGGAGTTTGGCGGGGAGTTATCGCGTCCGATCTGGTGTTCAGAACTTGGTTGATACCTGGGGCTTGACTAACGCAGAATGGTCTGCCTGGAAGGATCCGGATACGATCGAGAATTACTGGAAGCCATGGGTTAGGGCTATGAATCTGACGAGAGCTAAATAAGATGGAAACCGGATTCTGTATAATATGCCTAGGCAGGGCGTATCATAGGAAATACGATGTTAATATGAAAGTCATCATTTTTAAACATCAAAACGGGCGACTCCCTATAAGTAAAATCAACGAGTAGACTTAAGTACCTAATAGTATATTATTGAACCATTCTATCCGCACGTATTTGATTTATTGGACCCTTTGAAAATATTCAAGCATGGATGATGCCCGTTAGTTAGTGAATATAACTTGCTTGAGTATATTCTTTATATTAATAGTTCTGTCAAGGATTCTCGCTTGGATCAATGCCTATTATTCTATGCCTACATTTACGCTATCCCTTCGGCTCTTCGGGATGCGTGTTGCCCTCATCAAGATGCTGATGTGATGTGACTATACCCCTATTATGAGGTGAGTGTCCAAGAAAAACGGCCTTATCCGCAGTCCAACTAACGCCAGTACCATGCATTTATACATTCATATCTATACTCATTGTGTTTGTACAGCCCCAGGACTTAGGGTGTTCAAGGCCATAGCTGATATCATATACCATATCACGCTTGACGTATAATGTGCGATTATAGTCGAATGTATAGGTCCATGCATTCGATCCTCCACTCCCGGCGTCCTAGAAGGCTTCGGAGCCATTCTATGCCGAGTCCTGTCCATTCTTCTTTCTTCTTGGCTAACTCGTCGGCTGCAGCACTTGCAAGTGCAGTAGCTGTAGTATTCAGCATTTCAACAGCGGTAGCGTTGAAACTGTCAACCATGGGTTCGGATATCGTGGTTCCGTTGACCGGATATGATGATGTTGAGAGTCGCGGGGCGAACCAATTGCTGCTGAAATCGAAGAAACACCGATCTGACCAATAGCATGAGGTCACGAAGAGTATAAGGAGGAGGATGGAACAGTAAACGCAGGGTCGGTTTAGGAAGTACGTGCAGACGAAGAAAAGGAAGATGAAGGCAGGAGAGGCATTTGTTGGGATGAAGAGGAGAGGAAGCCAACTATAACGAGGACGAATATTAGCGAAGGGATGTACTGAATGATTCCAAGGGGGTTCTAAGACCTAATACCTTCGGAGGCAGAACATTGCGCTGTGTCGGAAAGCGTTTGCTAGTGGGAGAGCTACGGGTGAGACGTTTGGCTGAGATGTCGTTTGATCGTTTTGGTCGTTTGGTCGGCGCTGATAAATAATGAAAGGGCGTTGCGAATATTAATTTTACAACAAACAAACAGTTGGACCAGATAGTATATTGTAACTAGGTAGGTAACGAGGGTGGAGGGTAAAAAAGTATCTTCATCAAGATTAATCTATTGCGTTTCCGCGAAATAGTGTAAGGAGACAATTCTCGCGATGCGCCCGCTGGCTTGGGTATAATTTGAAACTGAAGGCTACTAAAACTGCTGACATCAATGCTCCGATTACATAACACTTCCCAAATATTCCCCACAAGGATGCATTGGACGTATGGGTGTGTTGTACATACATGTATGCAAGTACGTACCTAGGTACATATGTTAGCTGTACCTGTACCTGCTGTACATATGTACCTTATATAATTGAACCCTTGGTCCACGCTGTATGCATGTACCTAAGTACCTATTCGATTATTGGAGGTGCCTTCTCCCAGTTAGCGCACAGCTGCATCGCCGCCCAACTCGATTCAACCCGTCACATATCGTTCAACATTCATTCCTTCCATGTTTTGAACGAGATTTTTAAGTCAATCTCCTCTTCTCACCCACAAAAAAAATCCTGGTTCTCGTCTCTCGACGTACATTGTCGAACTGATTCTTCTGTTTTTACGGTAGCTGGGTCAGTCCTTTCATCCAATAATTCGTCTTTGGTTTCTACCTTCCTTATCGCACCTATCTCCGGATTACCGATAGGAGCTTGAGCTGGGTAGGTAGCTTACCATAATTTTTTATTATTATTAAATTTTTAATTTTTTTTTGGCGAGGCTGGTAAGAGCTTGGTACGTATCGGACTGGAAGATCTCTAAACTTCTTTTTTTTCATCCTTTCGACGTTGAGCACCACCTAAACGCCGTTACTGTTTCCTTCGTTTACAATCTTTTGCGCTTATCATTGGCGACAATTTTAATAATCCGCCCGCGTTTTAGGGATTGTCTTTCATCGGAAGACAGATCTTAGTTAACAATACACACATACCTCATCAGTACTAAGGCAGCTCCACAACTTCACACCCCTCGCGCATCATGGCGGGTTATAACCCGCCGGGTGGCAGCGATGCAAACGGCTTGCACGCAATGCTTCTTCGTTTGCAAGCTCAACGCAATGCGCAGAAAAGTGATGATTCTTCCAATGCCGCTAATGAGCTCCTCTCACGATTTTCATCATACAATCAAGGCATAGACTCTCAGGACTATTACAGTCATAGCCATTCTGCTACAGAATCTCCTCTAATAGGCCTGGACGAATTTCCTCCGCCTGCTCCGACACCCCCCAGTAACCCGAGCAACTTTGGACATTCGCACCATCCTACTGGGTCAATGGGCCTGGGTCCAATTGGCTCTATGCCTTCGAACGCTCCTAGTAAAGCTGACCAGAGCTCACACCTCTTGAACCTCCTCAAGTTCAGCGGACAGAACGCTCAGTCGGTATCGCAAAACTCTCCGCCTGGTCATCCACAGGCGCAAGCGCCTTCGTACGATATGCCCTCAAGCATAACTCAGCCGAACAACCCGCCGCCTATTCACGCCCCGGTGCCAATGCCTGCTGATCCCCAGGGTCTTCTGGCTACTCTTATGAAGGGAAACATGCAGAACGAGTCTTCGCGAGCAGAACCCCAGGCTCCCTCTCAGCCAACCTGGAACGCAGGTCCACCTTCGATGGATACTCAAGCGTACCTCCTCAACTTGCTACATCGACCGAAGCCTGCGCAGAATGACCAGCCGTCATCTGTAAATGAATCGTCCCAACCTCCGACACTAACCCCCCAATCAGCCAACGGTTCTTCTGTCGACCACCTCAAGGAGTATACCCCTATCAAGCAGGGGCATTCCGATGCTGGCTCGCATGACACAACGCCATTGCCCTTTAGATTTGGATCAAAGGAGCATGCCGAGTCCCCTACAACCAAATTTGAATATCATTCCCCGGCATCCCAGTTCTCTCAGCTGTCTCAACACGACGGTAGTCGTAAGTCTTCCAGATTTGATTATAATTCGTTTGAGGGGGCCGGAGCCCTTTCTCACCAAAACACTGCATCTAAGTCTTCAACGCCAAATGCGCCGGTTCATGCCGGTCAGATGCCAACCGAGCTTCCGGCGCCGACCGCTTTCAAGGCTGTTAAGAAGACCCCTAGTGTTGCTTCTTCCTCTGGAGCTGTTCAGGACCATAAGCGACTTGGCAGTCAGCGAAGCCCAATCACAAGCCCGGAACGTATCAGGCGAAAGCTCGATGCTTCCCCTCATTCTATCACTGAACGGGAAGCTATCTCTCCTGGTTTCTCACCTACCGGGGAGAAGAATACGGAGACTGTGTCAGAGGCAATCACCGGCCTCGCCGAACAAGCGAACAAAGAAGCTCAAGAAGCAATAGAGAGGGCTGAAACCGAAGAGGTACAAGCTAAGATTGCCGCCGAATTTCAACACATGATGAGGGCAAAAACTGATGCTGAATTTCAGGATCTGGCTGAGGCAGCAGCAAAAGACATCCAGAGAGAACTTAACAAGGAAGAGAATTCTCACGTGCTTGAGGATGCATACTCGCCAGGAGTTGCACAGGAGATTCGTGATATTGTCGAGGATGCTGCTCACGGCCCGGTTGCGGACAGCTGGGAAAGCGCCGAAGCTGACGAGATCGTCGTGATTGAAGAGACTCCGAATCCCGTAAAGGTCTACAACTTCCCCATGAAGCCATGGATTTCAATCACGATGCAAGAGACCGAAGAATCTCGCCCTCAATTCCGCGACGAGGTTATTCTTGACATTGCACGTCTAAAGAAGGAATTTGACCAAATCGATCGAAACCTTGTCACTGCTACAGAATCGTACATGGTTTACGGCATGTCTAAAGCTGGTGGGCTTCGTGTCATACGACAGGACGATGGTAAGGACGCTAAACTGTTCACCGACACGAAAGACCGGATCTTCAATGTAGCTATGTCGTCTACTCCATCTGATCTCCACACCACACCAAAGGAGTCTATTGTTGGCACCGGCATTAGTGGAACGGTATATTACGTTCAAATCAAAAACGGCGAAAAGGACCATTTAGAGGATGCTCATCCGGAACAGTATGGGTTTATTCTTCCCCCGCTCGTCATATCCCAAGAGGGAGGTGGTGACAACGGAGGTGTTTTGAAGACTAGAGCGAGGACCTCGTCTACTCATCCAGAATTCTTCGCTGTTGGCCGTGGAAAGACGATCAACGTCATCTGGCCATCGTATATTATGGCAAACGGTATTTTCAAATCTGGCCATGATCGCGTTGTTGATACCGAGAAGCTCTATAGGGAGTGTTCCCTCAGGATCAGCACAGGCAAGGCGGGCAAGGACTTCACCTTTAGTCAAGACGATACTACCATTGTATCCCTTGACAAGTCCGGTCGTGTCAAATTCTGGGACGTGCGAGATTTAACAACGGCCGATGAGAACTCTGATCCTTGGTCTCCTATGCCTGCTCACGCTTCCCTCGAGGTCAAGGAGCCACTTATGACCCTGAATACCACCCCTGAAGGCGAGAAGGCATGGCCAACTTCTGTGTTACTGCTGGATAAGCAACGGCCTTACCAGAAGGGTTGGGCCCTGCGCTACATGATCGTAGGCATGAAGCAGAATCATACGCTTCAACTTTGGGATCTCGCCCTAGGTAAGCCCGTGCAGGAATTCAATCTGCCTCATGCCAAAGAGTCGGATCCGGTATGCAGCGTTATGTATCACCCTCCTTCCGGCATGATCGTAGTCGGCCACCCGACGCGTAACTCTATCTATTTCCTTCACCTGTCAGCGCCAAAATACACAATTAAGGGTCTGTCTCAAGTTGACTATATTCAGAAGTTGGTAGCAAAAGATCCGTCGATCCCAGAGCCCGACTCGACCGCTGTTATTAGTGGTATACGCGAGTATTCATTTGCGAACAAAGGTGTGCTTCGCAGCCTCGACATATTAACTAACCCTGCCACTTCCCCCGATACCGATGAGCAAAGTCTCTTTGAGCTTTATGCGATGCATTCGAAGGGTGTCACTGGAATTGTTGTGAAGCAGAGTGAGCTCGGATGGTCTAAGGATAATAAGGTTATCGACGGTCTCGATGCTGCCGAAGCCGGCCTGGTCAAGATTACAAAACTGAAAGAGTTACCCAGCGCTTTGGTCTCTGAACCTCAGCCAACAGAAGAGCATATTATCCCTCTTCGAATTCGGCCTACCAAAGAGACGCCCCCACCACAATATTCAGCAGTTTCTTCTGCTCAAGATTCATCTCAAAAGAGCGGCGATAGCCAGTCACTCACTAGACAATCCGAGCAGAAAGAGAGCGTGGTTCCGGTCACGCCCGCCAGCCAACTAGAAAAGACGGAGAAGAAGGCTCGGAAGAAGCGAGACAAAGCTGCCGCTATTGCCGAAAAGCTGGCTACAGAGAACGCACAATCAAACAGTAGCTCGCAGTCACGGATCGACTCGACTCCCTCGAAGCACTCGGAGAAGTCCACTATGTCTTCACCCCAGCCTCTCATATCACAAGAAGCTATTCAGTCAACCGTCAAACAGATAGTATCTGGCCTTGGCGACAAGCTGACTGGAGTTATCAATAGCGAGTTCAAAGACCATCGGGAAACTGTTGACAACGAATTCCGTGCTCGCGACGATAAATTTACCAAGAACCAACACCTCTTACTAGAGAAAGTGTCTAATGTGCTGAACGCAAATGTTCAGGCTGTGCTTACCAAAACCATCAGTGATCAATTTGAGAGCGATGTGGTGCCCGTTCTGAGCACTCTGATCACGAAGACAATTTCGGAACAGATTGATGGTAAGATGATCGGTCGGGTTTCGCATTCAATTCAAAATCAGATGCAAAAGCTTCTCCCAAATGCTGTTAATCAGTCCCTCCAAAAGCCTGAGTTATCCAAGTCTATTTCCGACAAGGTTGCCAGCAGTGTAGCTCTTGATCTAGAGAACTTCCGCCAGTCATTTGTGGCTACTCTCACTCCTCTCATCAACGATACAGCAGTCACAGCTTCTCGTTCGATCGTGCAAGAAATACAGGATCGAACTGCCGAGCAGATCGCAGAGCTCGAACAGCGACACATTGCCGACAGTAACAAGATTGACCAGCTCACAGCACTGGTAACTAGTCTTTCCGACACGGTCACCGCCATGGCCGCTACACAAGCGCAATTTCAAGATAGCCTTCTAAAAATGCAGCAGCAGAACACCCGTGAACATGGCTCTAACACACAGCACCAGCCACCCCAGGCTCACTACGCCCAGCCTATGCAGTCACAGTCATTTTTGCATGAAAGTCCGACGGCAAATACTTCTCTTCCGATAGTACCATTCGCATCGAACAACTCTAGCGTCAGAGAGCCGTCGAATGCTAGGGATCCCGAGCTTCAACACATGATTGCCAACGTCGCAGCTCTCATGGAAAGAGGTGAATACGAGACTGGATTGGTCCGATGGATTCAGCAAGGCCGCCACCCAGAAGTCTTCAACGAATACCTTGTCAAACTGGATCCCCAGTTCCTCCGAGAGTTGCCGGCTCTAGTTTCACTCTCCGTGGCATCCGTCATTGCCGAACAACTCGACGGCCCCCTCCTTCGGGAGAAAATTAACTGGGTAGAAGCAGTCATCCGTATACTACATGCATCACTCCCACACATAGTTAGTGACCAACCTCATTCTAAACATAACAACTCTAAACAGAATTCCATACAGGATCCTCAGGTTCGCGATGTGGTCCCGAACCTCATGCGCTCTTATCTCGACCGATTTGACAAGTTGTACATTCAGATCAGCAGCCGATCTCCATCAGATCCCATTCTAGGGCGACTCTCTACGATGACTACTATGGCAAGACAGGTTAGAGACGCTATCGCCCTCCACCGCCTTGGTTATTAGACCAGAGAAGCCAGATCTTCTGTTACAATCCGCGAGGATTGCATATACATGAGGGGCGGTAACTGGCCTTAATTAACTTGAAACTGGTCCGTCTATGCCGTTTGTACGAAGATTATAGGCCTTCCGCTAATTATTTATAGGTAGTTCGGCGGTTTCTATTCTTACCCATGCGGTAATTTGAGTTCGTTCTCATCGTTGAGTAATCGTCGGGTCACTACCTAGGATTTTTTTTATTCTCAAGTGCGGATCATTAGGCGTTCCGAGTCTCGGAGGGGAAGGCCCTTCGTACGAAAGATGCTTAATTCGAGTATCACGATTGACGAACGACATCAACTAGTCAGACATATAACACATAATATTGCAGCTACGGCTTCTAGTTTTCATTGCACATAGCTTTCTCACTCGCAAATATCACCGCGGTCAACGGATGATCGTTATGACAGGTTTTCGGTCTTTTCATGCGGAATGATACCCATCCGGTGGATGGCTTTACGCCTACTGTACTGAATAGCATAGCTTTTTTTATGATAAGTTTCGTAGCACTCACACCACAGGCCCTTTAATGACCTATGTGAACAATTCGTAAAGCGTGAAGATTTTCAAGGTATCTCCGGTGAACCATACTAAATATGATCAGACAATTCGTCAAGTAGGCCAGAGTTATACAGTCAACGCGTGCTCGCTACCCACAGCAAAGGTACCTAATCTATTAGTTATATATACATGGTAAGCCAGCTAACGAATGCAAATCATCCACAAAATAGTCGATAACCTAAGAGTTCGAATTACAGAGTAGCCAAAGCGAGTTCGTACGCGTAACCAAGGACAAGCTTGGCGTGTTCAAGCATATGGTCGTAGTTGATGGTGTCGAGGGTATCTTTCGCACTGTGGATGTTATCGTTGGAAATCTGCCTGTCGGATTCGATGACAAAAGCAGCTGGGTAACCGGCAGCAGTAGCGGATCCGTGGTCCGAGCAGGCGTAGCCACAACGTGTATCGACGTAGCCGATGTCAGTATACTATTTACTACCGTTAGTTACAGGTTAGTTGTGTTGTGATAGGATAGGTATACTTACCTCGCTGACTAGACGGATGAAAGCCGTAAGGTCCTGGTCGACATAATCGGTTATGACACCCACTGCAGAATCATAGGTCAATATATTGTTGACTTTCAGTAGTAGAGCCCATCTGTTCCATCCACTAACTACCCCTATTCAAGCTCGGAGTGTTTGTTCGACTTTCATGTCGAGAAAGGGGGGTTGAGGAATAATTCTAAGATAGTACTTACTAGGATTGTTGCCCCATCCCGTCATGTCCTGCTGGAGCATCGCCTTGACAACAACTCCATCAGCAGCGTACGAGTCGAATATTTCGCCGCTACCAAGTAGGCCGAGCTCCTCGCCGGAGTACCAGTGGAATTCGATCGTGTTGTTCGCCTCCCCAGCTGCAATTATAGGATCGCTTAAGAGAGCTTTCAAAGCTTCAAGGTTTGTCACGCAGCCTGACCCGTCATCATCTAGTTCACGCCTTGTCAATTTCGGAAGGTTCGCTAAGTGTAATGAAGAGTGACTTACCAGCACCAGGTGATCGAGCGTCCCAACCATCCTGGTTAACGGAATCTATATGCGCACCAACTACGATCTTGTCGGTGGACCTGCCGGGAATCGTAGCTATGATGCTGTTCTGTGCCCATTTATGCTCAAATGGTTTTACCGTCGCGCCTTTGGCTTCGCTGCTCGTAATGATCCCCTGAACCTCGGAAAGAAACCAGTCGGAAGCATCTTTAGCCCACGTGGTATTGTAAAATCGGGAGTGGAACTCGGATAGAGTCGTCAACTTATCTTGCATATTATCCTTGCTAAGCTTGGAGATGAGACTACGAACAGTGTCGGTCTGGTTTAGTAAGGAAGGGTAGGTTACTGCCGCGGTCTTCGCAGAGTTTTCGGTGGACGCTGATTGTACAAAGTTCTTTCGGTCGGTGATATCAATGAAAGACTTCCCTTCCTTTTAAGAAACGATCAGTAATCTAAGTCCAAAGTTCGGTTGAGGTAAGTGCTATTCACAAACTTGAGGGATAGCTTCTCAGCTTCAGTCACCTGCTGCCTCACGCCAGGTTCCAACTCGATCGTGAACAACGGCTCACTGTTGGCTTCCTTGCTAGCAGTGAGAGCAGTTGATGCGGCGGCAAGAGCCACAATAAATATAGAGCGGACCATGTTTGAGTCCGAATCAAATTCGCAAACCGCGAATATCTAGCTAGAGAAGTGATCTTGCAGTCAAAAATCCGGCAGCTAGCCCACACCTTCTTATATACCTAGTGACGGCGAATACGAAGTCTGTAGCTAATATATGTTGGAAGCCCTGTGCCTTACAAATCCCAATTAGTCGCACGATAAGTTACACTGTCCTAGGTAACACCTCCAGACCAGGCAGCAGGTTAGGAAATAAATTTTAACATTATCACGGATACCAGTGCTCTATTATATCATGATATGCGTGTTTAGTGATCCGTAGCGGATCATCACATCCCGGAGTCGCATCGCGAACCACCAACAACTATTGGACGAACAGCATAGCACGTGGCAATCTACTATGTAAGTACGATTTCCCCACGTAGCATTAACGAAGGCTACCTGCTCGGTATGCTCTAATCACAGGGTCGTGCGGTAGCAGTAGGTCGGAGATAAGTAAGAGGTGGCTATGAGAAGGAGGTCAGCCAACACTCTTCACTAGGGCTTCCACGCGACGAAGCTATGTGGGCTTGAACGGCGGAAGCAGCTCTCGGCATAACGACCCCCAGATAGGAAGGTTAAGACATTGCCAAGACAAGATTGATTAACTTGTACCGGATCTCGGGAGTTAAGATCGACGGCCTTTTCTAGAAATCCGGTGATGTGCCTGTGTGCTCTGTGCTCTAGGGGTACAGCTTGGCGCTACAAGATCCTGGGGGAATCGTCAACCAACGATTTGAACTTGTATATTGCACCTAGTTGTTCTAGCTTACAACGTATATACTTACCTCAGGTTATAGGGCAGGGTTCAGTTTCTAGAGTATGCCTACACGCTTAAACTCACCCCTATTATAGTCTATTAACCACTAACCAGGCAACAGTGAACTTCAAGAAGGCTCATGGCCGCATCAACCCTTTCAAAAGATGTTGGTACATAACTATAAGTTATGGAAGTCTATCTCAAAATATGTGTCGTGTTGAAGAGGCGATTACCCGTATCAGTACCACCGCTTCCAGTGTACTTATTATCCGAAACGCGCAGGGCTATAAGTTCCAGTCCTGCTTCGCGAGCATACTCCGATACTTGACCACCCGGAGAGATCGACTTCTTCTGAACAACCCCGGCCATCACCACAACACGGACTCCGCCGCTTAGCTTTCGAACATGCCGTGCAAATCCCACTATCGTGCCACCGTTATTGATGACTGAGTCAACTAAAACTACGTTGCAGATCTTGTGAAGATGCTCAACCTTGATATCTTCCGGGTCCTTTGCGTGAACGAATCGGGCGAGGGGGATGGCCCGACTAACACCGAAAGCCATAGGTTCGCCGCCACGCATCAACGGGACGATTAGGGTGTTCTCCTCATGGCTAAGTCGGTGGCCGCTTGTTTTATTGCCCTGGACGTGCTCTGTGGGATATTCTTCGACGCCAACAAGCTCCGATAAGAATTCAATTGCCAAGTACCACCCGGCGTTTTGGTGAGCCTCTCTGAGGTTGTAACCAGCAACCACTGCATCGCGCATAGGTGTCATTAATAATTTGACGGACCGCTTCTCCGTGGCGTGTATCAGATGGAGCTCACGGCTGTTATTGTTCAAGGGACCAGAGAAGAGGGAATCGATAAACTCAGGGTCGTGAAAATCTACTAAGGGGAGCTTTATGGTATCCAGTCGTGGTGGGACATTTCCGGGCAATAGAGCCTGATGAGCTTGAAGGCCATTATCGATGGCTTCTAACAAAGCCGCATCCATAGTCTTGCTTCTCGACCTCTCTTCGCCAACTATAACGACAGCTTTATCAGCTCGATTAAGCATCGCCAAATCCAGCGGGCTGTCCCCGAAGGCCCAAGTATGGAGTCCATAGGCTGATTGGAGGTGGGAGACTAGGGAGGCCTTGACCTCTGGAGTAATGATGAAGCCATCGGCAATACGCCCTCCGCCAATAACTTTCACTGCTCCGGATAGACCTGCTCTTTGGAGGATCTTATCCCATATACGTTGTAGACCACAGGTAACAACTATAGCGCCGACGTGATCATCTTCCTTTACCCTCTGCAAAACTGATATAAATTCCGGCTGTAGAGTTACTAATTCCGCCACCCCCTCGCAGATATGGTCAAACGTATTATGACCAAAGCTCTCTTCGTATAGAAGGACGGCCTGCCGAAAAGCGGAATAGGAATACCCCAATTTGCTGCTGAATATTGTTTTCAGTGGATCATTTGCGACCTCTGGGTTACGTCTCGAAGCTATTTCCCAAAACAGCTTTCCAGTATCCTCTGCAACCAATGTTCTATCGGCGTCCAGTACTAGCATTGTGTGTAGTTGACGTCTATCATTCGCAAGGATGTTGTCCAGCTTGTCTTTGGCGCGGGAAAGATTCATATTTGTTGTGTGGAACTGGAAGTCTCGTATCAGTGTCGAGACCCGGGAGAGTAACCAGGATTCCGGGGATATTGACAAAAACAAGATGCCATTTTCATAGCAGAGTTGACGCAGCTGAATCTTCTCGGCTTCTTGCCATTTGTGTAAGTGTTCGGCGGAAACCAATGGGCGAGCCCTCTCAGTGTCGTCAACTCGACGTCTGAAAATAGTTTGGGGGTTGATATTCAAGTACACAATGTGTGTGTACACTTTCAAATCATTTTGTGTACACGCTATGCGTCCGGTCTCTTCACCTTCTTCCCAGAACATGAAGTGACCTGCAACAACTCCAGCATGTCCTGTACTGGAGCAGCTCTGTGAAATGTAGTTGATAGAGAGCTGACGATAAGCCTCTTTTTCTGACTCCTTAAATTTCTTGAAAGCGCTAAGGCCTCCCGGAACAAGAGAATTGATCACCTCGGAGCCCTCGTAGAATTTAAACGTTTCTGGGCTGAGCTCTCGTTTTAGCTGATTGAGTAAATACGACTTTCCACATCCTGACACTCCGTATATGCCAATGATCACCGGCTCCCACAGTGATGAGACTGGAGTCTGAGGCCGTGATCGCTGACTAGTCTCAGGATTAACGGGTGAAGTTGACATGATAAGAATTTCCTGATATTTGAAGCTATGTCTAGGGGCTCCCGGTAAAAATGATATGGCTAACGAAGTCTTTGGGATTTTCCTCCTGCGTATAAAAGGGACATAAATAAATAAAGACGTGAGATATTTGAAGTCTTAACTCAGGGCAACATATGCGTTATTATCCCGCTTAACCTTAGATCTGTCTGCGGATATGTGCCTATCCCCGTCAATCTTGCACCCTTTCCCGTGGCCCTCCCTAAGACATCAAGGTTCTAGCGATATCTTGTTACGATCATGTATTTGCTTACATTTATAAACTGACCTCTTATGTCTAGAACAGTATATAGAGTATATCTGCACTCCATCCCGAATACGGTGATGATACAGTTATATCCCCATTGTTCAATCAAAGACGCCGCGGAATCGTGCAGATGCTGTACGTATGTTCCCGAAGTATTCTCCCGCATGGTGGCGTAAATATTAGATTAGACGTCATCTTGATCTGTGATTCAGGTCCCTTTCCTTGTACGGCCTAGACATTTCGTCCAATCGGTTTCAGTAAGCTTTCAACCACAATGAATTCAATAAATTTGCAGAGGAACCTATTACTCATGGGTAAATTCGAGCGGTGTGGACAAACGAACACGCCGGCTTCTACACTTATACGCCAGGTGGTCTAATGCCAAACGCGTGAATCACTACCATTTCCCGAGTTTCTACTTAATCTCGTTTCTAGCCATTACATACCTATTCTTCGACTAAACAATCTTCAACATCTAAACTTCAAAACTTGATCAACTAAAAAGCAAACATGGCTCGCACGATTGCCAAGAAATTCCTACATCAATGGCACAAACTACTCGGCCTACCGCGTCAATCACCACTATCATGGCACCGAGACCGCTTGCGCGAAGAGCTACAAGAACGGCGAAATGCCAGCACACCCTTGGAGAAGCTCAGCGAGGCTGCAGACGTATTCTTCTCGATAAGTCGCGCTAAGTACGACGGCTATCCCGTCCGGCCGCTTCCTCGCTTTTCCGTCAGCCACATCCTCGTGTATGCGTACATGCTGGCCAAGTTCACATCTCGTTGGGCGTTTTATCGGGTGGCTGCTTTCCTCTGTGGAGCTCCCAATCACGACATAGTGCGCGAAGTTGTGAATCCGACCAAGGATTATAAGTTGGATGAAGTCGCTTTCCGTCATCATATTGATCAGGGCAAGTTCAAACGCATTGGACGCCGACTACGACGAGTTTGGCCTCTATTCCCGTAGCGACGCTATTGATCTATCCAACACTCTATTTACGTCACAGAAAATTGGAAAGATCTATAGGTTCGATGCAAGGTAAACTGCTCCTCTGGACATACTATGTCCCCGAATTGGGTAACTTGTCTAACACTCGGCTTTCAGGTGCAGATTGTGGCGGATCAGACTTGCTAGACTATGGGCAACCATACGATGTCTTTGGTTTTATGAAACCTCACTCTATTCATATATGAGCCAGTTAATCTAAAGAGTCCGATGATAGGTTCGTGGAGTTTGTGTTGAATGAATGGCACTTTATATCGGGAGACTATAATCCATAATAGCTGAGGGACAACCCGTTCTACCTATTATTATGCTCCAATCTATTAAATATCTCTTGCTATTTTGCCTATTAAAGCGTAGGTAGCTGATAGCTGCAGATTGGATAGTAGATGTCAACCACGTGCCCCAACGTTACGGGAATAACTACAAAATGATTTTAGGGGAGATACAGTGCTGCCCACTGTCTGGCAAACAGACCCAAGGGTTTGTAACTTTTATTTAGAAGTAAGGAGTTAAACTTATTTTCAACGAAATGACTTGAACCACTCTATTAAAAACTTAATGTGAAAATTAAAGGCAGAATTTGGTACGGTTAATTTCAAGCAAACTTTGCTGTGGTACCAAACCAAGTCTGTCTTCGGTATATCAGCACGTTCCATCTATATCACGAGAAAGGGGGGAAGAGAGTGTAGGTTTCCCCATTTGTATTGAACTTGATATTTTTATTATCTGACTTGAGCGTGGTCCCTGGTGGTAATCACCAAGCAATAGTTATAACTAAGTACCTAAACTAAGTAATAGTTATATTAAATAAATTCGACGTGACCGAAGAACGGCGTCATGTGGAAGTTGGACTCGTTAGTCGGACTCCACGCGCCAAGTAACTGGTCTGGGAACGTGTCTGGCGATACGACAGTGCGAAAGAAGTTCATCCTCCACGATGTTCCCTTGGCCTGTCCGTCGTCAACGTTGAAGAGTCCGAGAGGGATCTTGGCTGCTGAAACCCAGGTTTGCGCCTCCTTGTCCAGCGTCGTTTCTGCTGTCAGGCCGTCGACCAGCGGCTGGGTTAAGAAAGATGTATCCATCGGAGCACCGGTCGCGCGCACCTTGGATCTGTTGTAGATCCAGGCCTGGAAAGTGACATTGTTCGGGCTAACTTCGAACTCCAGGTAAGTCTGGGGGTCGTTGGTCCCGTGATAGATGAACCATTCCATCACTTCGTACGCCCAGATGGCGTCATTAGTTGTCTGGCTTTCGTTGAAATAATAGTTTATCTCCTCGAATGCGGTGAAAGTTGCGTGGATTGAAGTATCGTCGTAGCAGATATCGACCTGGGTCTTGGGGAAGCTGGCCTTATCAGGCACAGACTTATCGTATTGAACAGTGCCCTTCCCAACGGAACACGCCGGTGCCTCTAGAGATGGCACGCTGGCGCACACGGTACTGACTACCGTAAGCAGGGACCCTACGCACAACTTCATGCTGAACGAACGACTCATTGCGACAAGTTTTAATTTTAGAAGTGTCGATTTAGACGTAGAGAGGAAGACAAGGTCGTAGCTGAAGAAGTTGGAGGAACATGAAGGTGAACCTCATCGTGGGAGAAGCCGGTATTTGTTTATTTATTTTCCAAGATAAAGGGTCTCGTGTGCAAGGGACGTTGGCGACTAATTTCCCCATATAGGCACATCCTTCAAATTTCCAAAGGAGGATTGCGCAGACGTTGTAACGTAGCACAGCCGTGTAAACGAGTAGCCTAACCTGGTCCAGAGCATTCCTTGGTTGCTTGGCATCGAAGCACCACGTTGGCGGAACCTGTCAGTCAGACAGTTAGGTAGACCTTATCAACTTACACCAGCATACTGTGTATCTCATAAGGAGTGAGATGTACTGTGTAGGTATTGCAAAACGCACTTATACCACTTATAACTACCACTTATACCACTTATGTATAAGGATGCCGAGAGATTCTATTTTCGTACCAGATTTAAGCTTATTTTGCGGGGTCAATTTCTTAAGTTTGAACGTGCATATGTACCTCCTAACATACCTAAGGTACCTACCTAGGTTGAGGTAATAATTGTCTTAATAATGTCTTGTCATGTAAATGTCCCCCATGAAGGAACGCTTATACGCTTACATAGGCTGCGTATGAGAGAATAGCGCAGCTTATGTCGCGAGCTTCATTCTTCTATTTTCTTATTCCCTTCACCTTTTCCACCCTCCATTACCTCGCCTGTCTCCAGACCCCTGAGCTGCAAAGCTTTGTCTGTATACGTCAAGGCATGAATAAGGGCATCTGAAAGTAACGTCCTAGCACGTTGTAGGGTGCTTCGCAACACCATCTTTCTCTCGCAGTATTTGTCGCTCATTATACTGCATGTCCTTATGGTATCTAGGACACTGCCGACTCCATACCACGTTTCCGCTTACAGTATACTGCATGAGTTCGATGTACCTCTTTACATCGCTAGAAAGATCGTGCCTGGACATTGTCTCCCTTACTATGCGCGCATACTTTGCTGCTTCCTCTTTGATGCGCATCCGGCACTTGGCCTTGGCGTCTTCTAGTGAGATATGATGCTCGTCCATAAGTATCCATAGAGCGTTGACGACGTTAGGAAGCCCCGCGGCTTGGGCGGCTTCGTACTCTTTCTCGTAGGAGAAGAGGTCATTAGTTAAGCTTGCTGTGATCACGGCAGGCAGCATAAGCTCCGCACATATGCTCATCTCTTCTTCTGCGATGGTAATGGCGCAGCCGAATGTGACGAGAGCGTGCCAAAACCTACATGATATGGTGAGAGCGGTGGGTGAGACCTCGGGATTAGAAAACCTACATATGACCAATATTCTTAGAACGATATGGTAGATATTCCTCCAGTGTTTGAAACCTAAGGTGGTGTTGGCGTCCGGCTCCTTGCTCCATGAATTTCGCCCAGGAGCGCATAGCAGCCAAGGCTCGGGGTCGATCAATGGCTATCATCGTGTTGAGGATTTTTGCTTGCATCTGGCGCTTCCCAGATTTCAGAGCGTCGATCGTTCCGTTTCGCTCTCCTTCGCGAATCGCATCCAATACTTCACCGTTATTTATGTGTCCCTTTGTATTATGAGTCCTAGAATAGCGTATTCTATACAGGCTCACGTACCTCTTGCTGACTCAAAATATCTGTGGCATCTGTAGCCTTGTAAGCATGGCACGTTCGCTCGCTCCCGCAACATTCAGCATACCATCTTGGAGGAAAGCAAATTCATTCGCATACGACACGATTTCGAATCGATCAGGGAGACATTCCGGTAGCAAAACTGTCATAAAGTTATGTTTATGGCCGAGTCCCCCCTTGTAATTTGATATAGGAGCAACCAAGTCTCTCCAGTCCTCTTGGGCCTTTAATGTCCCAATCTCTTCTAAGTCTTCGTTAATATGCTTGCGTACCGGGAGGCCATCACACAGGCCGTCGGTCTCGTCCTGGGACGAATACAAAAGAATAGAATATTGGTATTTCATGGTTGAAGCAATTTATTTAAAACAATAAGATAAATGGGTTGATAAATATTTAAAAATTCGGGAGAAAGTTGATATATTATATATAAAATTATTATGAAAATAATTTCAATAGATGTTTTTTAGAATTATACAGTTTTTATATCCTTAAGCTATTCGGCAAACTACTCAGACTTATCGAGACCTAGTAGCCTCGTCTAAGACATTCCTATTTGGATCCATCAATGTCTGAACCTAAGGCGGAATATTTCAATGTGTTGAAGGCTGCATCATGCATTAATGTGTCTCACAGCGAGCGAAAAAAAAAACACATCGAGAGGCTTATTGAAGAGAAAAAGCAGCAGTGAATGAATGGTAGGTGTTAGAATGCTAGTGGCTAAGTACCAACCCCTTTAATATTTAGAAGATCTATCTGTACTAAACTACTTTGCTGGGCCTTCGTCACTCGTGAGACATTCTGCTCTATAGGTACTCACCAGGATCCGTATTATCATCGTCGTCGTCATCGTCACTTTGAGACTTTTTAAGTACTGCCAGTCTCAGCATTGTACATTAAATTAGCTACCCTCTGCTGTATCGCCCCGTCCGTTTCCCGTTCGACACCGTAATCGCCCCTATTAGAAACCCAGTTACGAACAGCTATTGCTAGATCAATAAGTCCAGGCTGCCTCTCTGGGTCTACTACTCGGCAACAGTATACAAGATCTATAAGTTGAGCATCGACGCCACGAGCTATTAAATCATCGCGGGCTGCGTGTAAGCTACCAGCAAAAGTCTCAACGACTGAGACGCCAATGGGAACTGTTGCTGTTTCGTTCATCATTTCGTCTTCTTGTAAAATAAGATATTCCATGACCTATTTTAAATATTTAGCAACTTATAGAGGGCACGATTCGTAGGAACGCCCTATCTTACCTCACCGATATCGCTGATATTTCTTTGGGGGCCAGTGCGATTAAAATCATCGAGCGAACGAGGACTAAATGTATGGTTAACCGAGTTATACCTGATAGGTGCTGAAATCCAGTACTTACTCGCTAGGGTCCATCACCGCCGCCGTTCCAAAATCCAGTAGCTTCAATATCGGGTTCATATCATGTTCTGGGTGTTGGAGTGCAGACAAGAGACCTCCAACCGCAATGTTACTCCTTGACAAATCTTTATGGGCCAAAAACCCAATAGGCAATTCTCGGAGGCTTTCTAGGGTAGCTGTATTAAGATCTACTCGGCCATCTTGGTGAGCATCACAATACGCCATTTCCAGACAGAATCTAATTACTAAACACCACTCCAGGGTTAGTTCGACAATGTAGAAGACCAACTTCAGCCCTCGGTGGCTAGCTAAACTTACGGCACATGAAAAATCTCCATAGTAGACGGCAGGGAAATAATTCTCCTTCATACAGTTCGGTATGTCTTCTGACTAACCGCGTTAATGGGCCATTATCAATATACTCTGTGAATATCCAAGTCCGCATCCGATGCGGCGCGAGATCGTATGGTGTCTGTCTGAGCGGATCATCGTTTACGTCAAACGATTGAATAATATGAGGACAGCTGCGCAATCTCTACATTGTAAATCGTGAGCATATAATCAAAGACGGTTAGATTAAAAGATGATGGAATTAAAATACACGCACCTCCAACCATAGCTTTTCGTTAGCGAGCTGCAAAACTTCGTCTCCTTCATCCTCGTCATCTTCGTCGTAGGATTTATTCCCATCAAGATCGACATCTATATGGCAGATCTTAACTGCCAATATCCACGATCCCTCTTCGCTGTTGTATTTGACCTTATATACAGAACCGTTAGCCCCTGAACCAATTGTGCCTTCCCATCCGAACCTATCGCTACGATCGAAAAAAGCTTTTATTCGTTCTGCGACTGCTTCGGCACCTCCTTCGCTAAACCACGATATCTGGTTTCCGCTCGATCCTGACATGATTGAACTCTCGATCGAGAAAATGCGGCTGCATCTTACCTAGTTCCCTCGTAGTGACCATATACAAGAGTCGAATCTTCATTGCTTTGTCCTCTTAACTTAACAAAGGCTTTAACTTCGAAAGGGAATATAGAGGTCTATATTGTGTACAAATAAAGACGTTCCGGATTAGTAGACATGCAATGTGTTAGTTGATCTGAAATGAGATAGAGATAGGGGTTGGTCAGGAACAAAGATTACGATACATATTCCTTGTTTTTAACGATTTAACAATCTAGGTAGCAAATATCATTTACTCATAAATAGTTAGGGTATATCTAATAATAGAAATGCAAGCCCCTTGAATGAGTTGGTGTAGTTATGTGGTCTTGAGCTTCAATCTGAATGTATCAACATCTGCTGAACAACCAAAGTTAAGGCTCTTGAAAGAGCCTCCCAACAGATGAAAAGTATATTAATTCATGACTATTGTAAAATGATACAATTCTTTCTTTAATACTACTATCAAAGGGATATCTGATCCACCTACCTTGGTTAATATTTCAGTTGCCAATCAAGTAATAGCCAGCCTTTAGACAACTTTAATCCATAATGCTCACTTTTTACTCTATATCCCGTGCCCATATTACGTTTCTAGCTAGGTAGTAATACTTGATAAATATTTCCTCCAAAGTAAAAATCAAATTTACCTACCTAATATAATAGATACTAGGCAACTTACGTTGATAACTTATTACTATGTATTCTAGCACGAGTCCAATTCTATAGTCCTTTAGTAACTATTTGATTGCGCCGTATGCTTAATTATCTAAACAATGACGTAATACTCGGAGTAACTTAAGTAGTTAGAAAGATAATTCTCGTTTGCGTTTCTACATGTAAACGATCCAATCTACCATTCCACAATTTCATCTTCGCAACTCCGATAATCATCCAACAAGATCGTTAGTGAATACAAAACTCTACCTCTTATGGGAAAAGCCCGCCTACTCAAAGGCTGGACTACTCGAACTCAACGTCTTGCTACGACATCGCGCCCATTCTCGGCTACTCACTTCTTAGCATATAAACCCCCCTCGCCATTCAAGATGTCGCACAAGACTCAAGAACCAGTCATCAACAAAATTTCAGAGCTGCCCATCGAACAAGCAAAATGGGTGACTCTCAAAAAGGTCGACTACACAGATCAGGTCGGCAAGCAGCGCACGTGGGAGGTAGCCACGCGCAAGACGCGGGGCAAGGCGGGCGTAGACGCCGTCGCGATGGGCAACATCCTGCTTCATCCGTCGCGGCCTGCATCCACCATGCTCGTGATCCAGTACCGGCCGCCGCTCGACTCGTACACGGTAGAATGGCCGGCAGGTCTGATCGACGCCGAGGAGACGGCCGAGCAGGCCGCCGTGCGCGAGTTCAAAGAGGAGACGGGCTACGACTGTCGGGTGCTCAACATCAGTCCCGTGCAGGCGGCCGACCCTGGCATGAGCGACGCGAACATGCAGATGGCTATGGTGGAAGTGCAGCTGGGCGAGGGCGACGAGGAACCCGAGCAGCGCCTCGAGGATGGAGAGCACATCCAGCGCGTGGTCGTGCCTCTTAGCGAGCTGTATGACCGTCTAGTCGAGTATTCTAAGGCCGAGCGCACGATTGTTGCGGCCAAGTTGTTTCATTTTGCGGCTGGGATGCACTTTGCACAGACGCAGAAGTACTTTTAATGTATTTCTGCCTTTGCGCCTAATAAGATGCGTTTAACGCGAGTACCTATCTAAGATACCCTAGACGTTACCTACCATAGCATTATCATAATAAGAGAATTACACCTACAAGTCGGCATACCCTAGGAGTCGTCAAGTAAGTACATCTAATAGTAAGTAAAAATGCCACAATCCAGTAGCCTGGAGAGGTACCTATCATATCCCTGACATGCAGGTAGTTTACTTATATATAAGAAGTAAATCTACTAAATCTCCGGCTTGTTCGAGGCGTTGGGCTGGCGTCCCCAACCAGTCAGCTTAGTCCTTGCGAGAACGTGTGTGCCCAGTCATGCTATGTATACGTACTACCACTATATTACTTAGAACGACACTTTTAGGATGGGACTAGGATAGCACACTTAAAACCCATGTCTGCAGGTGAATCTTTATAGTTGCTACCACGTGGGGGTGATCAAGTAGTGTCGCATTTTGACGCCGACAAGGACCTACATACATACCTAAGGTATCTACCTGCCTACCTCTTAAGATAGCTATGCCATCCCCACAGCAAGGGATTGATCTTGCGTTAATATTCATTTCTATCTACGCCGCTCTAATCGCCGCATTGCACTACTCCGAATTGACGGAAACCTATCCAGCCACCGCCATGAAGTCGTGGTTCTCGAGTCTGTGGTCTATGGTCGCAGTTGCTGCCGCGCAGAAAGTCGATTTAGGATGGTACCCTCCAAGCAACACGTCTATAAACAACTTAACTACCGCTTTACACGGCGAAGGGATCTACGGGTTTATCTTCAACACTTCGGAGACGTCAGATGCGCAGTATGGGACGTATAACTGGTGCAACATGCCGCATGTTCGGAAGACAGAGTATGTTAGGCCGACAAGCGAATATCAACTCAGATACGTCGAAATAGTTAGTCTAATAAAGCTTCTACTATGTTGCCCTAACGCAAGTAGCTGAGCCTAGCCAGATCCAACGACATCACAAGCGAACTCCATACGCGAGCAATGCTTTTCCGGTGGAATCTTACCGTTGGGACTGCGACGACCAAGGGCTCTATTACTACGGGAGCCCCTTCGGGAGCGATAGCAAGCAGCCCGCCCAAGTTTTTTGGAAGGGTTATATATCACCAACCAACCCTTTTACCCCCTCAGGTTGGATCGGGACTTGCCAATTCCCCCAGATAACTTCTGCGGGGCTCGACGACTCCTGGATCCACGGTCGAGACCTTTACGAGGTCTACCACGACCTGCTCGGATTTCTCCCCGGAAAAGATGAAGACTGGCGAGCCAGCGTGACATATCGTGTTACCCAAAACGTTATCACGAGTCAGGTCGCCGGCATGTTGACCAACGGGATGTGGGGGACGACCGAGGCCGTGCCGCTAGTTATTCAGGGGGCCGGAGTCGACAGCCTAGAGCCGCAATATAGTTGCGGAGTAGGCAGCAATCTCTTCAACACGATCAGGTCCTCCTCTAATGCGGCCTGGGGACACCATCTAGAAGCCGCTACTGATTTGTTTAGCAAGTTAGATAACATATCCGGGGTGCCCCCGAGCGACTCCGGCTTCCACGCGAGTTTCGACCACTACTTCGACAACCTCTCCGCACGACAGTGCCACGCCAAACCGCTGCCATGTAAGCTTGAAAACGGCGCGAACTCGTCTACGTGCGTTGACCAGGCGTTGGCTAATACCGTGTATCGCATGGGGCAATGGGAGTATTCGCAGATATACCGCGATGCCCACGCTTCGCTTGCCGCGTCTGCTACTACGTACGGTGTCTGGATTGCGGAGCTAAGTAAACACCTACGAGATGTGATGGCTGGCGAGAGTGGACCCATCTACTTCCATAATATAGCGCACGATGGGTCTGTAAGTCGGTTGCTAAGTCTACTACAGATCGATGTTATGGTAGTAAGTTTCTCTGTCATTCTGTTACAGAACCAAATACGGGATTGCTGATGCAGAATACTCCTAGTGGCCTGGAATGGGTAGTGAGGTAGTATTTGAGTTGTACGAGGGAAAGGAAAACGCGACGGTAGCTCGAGACTTGAGTAGAAAACCCAATGTTGGAGCTGGTAAGATGCAGTCAAGGAGGACGTACGGCGGCAAGTTTTTCGTGAGGGTTTTGTTCAGCGGCAAGCCACTCAGATCCTCGAACCCTAGCCTCGGCTTGCTAGATATGGTGCCAGCAGAAACCCTACTGGTTTATTTCGACGGACTAGTCGGGACGGATGCTAGCTTAGTCGTGGGCAAATGTAATGGCACATTGCCTGTCTAGAGAGAAATCGAGAAGGGAAAAAACGCAACTTGTCTCGTGTATCGGGAACGTAGCAGTAGCATCAATACTCGGCTAGCTGTTCAGTGCTGAGTAGCGCCCAGCTGCTTCTCTACATCATCCCATCTACCCGCCCGCATTGGATCTAGGGCTCGAACTTTTGCTAGCCACTTTGCGGGATCTTCAACCTGCTCTCCGAGACCCTTCAGCGAGATCGTATATTCTAGTAAAGACTCGTAGATCCATTTCACATCCTCATAATCTTCCAGCAAGTCCTTAATATTATCAATCTCCTTCTTTACGTAGCTCACCCGCTCTGCTACGGTTAGAGCCGGTGCTATAGTCGGCTTGTCGGCGCGGTTAACGATCTGCGACACCATATATTGGTGGTAATACCAAAGACTCTGATCTTCGGGTCCGACATTGAGAGCTTCTCGGACAAGATCAAGTTCTGCTTCGAGGAATGCCCTCCTTTCAACGTCGTTGGCTTCGCGTTCGTCAAGCAAACGTAATATCAGCTGACTTCGGGTGTGCCAGGCCGAGAAGTTAGATAGGTCAACATTAATCATTCTTGTGGTGTAAGCGAACTCGACCTCGACCATGCTCTTGCCATCCAGCGAAGGACTCTCAAGGGCGGCTACCACATTCCTCCTATATCCCCATGCGTGGAAATTGCGGCGATCCTTGGTAAGCATCTTAGACGCCAGGGCAAGTTCGGCCTCCCAGATACTACGCGCAGCCGTCGCGGGGAGTCGTAAGATGGCTTGCTCGAGAAGCCACCTACGGTACTTCCATATCCAGTAGCACTTAGGGTATTCTAGGAGCAAAGGAATGGTGAATGCAAGCTCGGATTGTAACGTGTTGATATCGGCCTCGACGTCTTCTCTTCGCTTGTCTTCAGCTATAGTACCATTCTTCCCAGCTGTCAGGGAGTCTCGGTCTAGCGGGGTCGCATCCGAGGACGAATGAGAGGAGTAGTCTAAAGACGGATTCGTAGTGTCGTTCTGAGAAGTATTCGGTGACACCTTCGAGGGCGATGACCCATCCGAGGGTGCGGAGAATAATCCAGAGATTAGACAGCGGCGACGGACGTTCCATATTGTATAGTATTCGGGATTTAGACGGAGTAATTTAGAGGTAAGCTGGAACAGGGAGGAGTCGTAGTTGTTAGCTGAGGCTTGAGCTCGGATGGAGTCCTCGAGATCGCGATACTTGTTAATCCTATCGAGATCTTGCCGTCGCTGTTCTTCGGTTCGGGCAGTTCGGTTGGTGCGAGCTGCGCCGTGCTATCTTGCGATCCGTCAGCTATGCTACACCATGTCTCTTTCGAGTAGACGCACGCTATCCATGTTGAAGCTTCTTTTCTAACAAGGTTATTAGACGAGGACAGACATCAAATAAATAATATACCTATTCCGCGTGTGGTTCCAATTTATTATATTACAAATATTTACCTAATGTGCCAGTTTTATGTAGATGGAGGAGTAGGAGTAGGAGTAGGTTGAGGAAATGCCGTCGATAAGATAAATGCTATGTGCTATGACAGTGGGGCAATAATCGGTTTATGGATATGTACCTAGTGGATAACGGGATAACCTACCTAATTGCATAGTATGTACTAATTAATTCTTGGGGTAAAACAAGCATCTCTTTCCTTACTCATCTCCTTTCCTATCCTCATATTTATATTCACATTTATAATTCATAAATCATAGCGAAATAAATGGATTGTTCATAGGCAAGTCCCTAATTTTGTCTATTATGCCTTCTAGCTCACCTATCATCCCGAGAGCTTCAACAAAACTCAAATCTAAGTACCAGTCTCGAGTTTCTCAAATACGAATTGTTAGACTATGAAAAGATTATATCCATATAAATAATTTGAGAGATTACTACATGATATAATTTAATTCTTCATAATTTTCATACCCCTGCTTACATCCAGACGGCTAGAAAGCTATCGTCATCTCATACGATTTCCATCTGAAGATGGATAACAAACTATCACGAACAAGCTAGCATCAGTAGCATCAGTAGATACGTAGCAAGTTCTGGTCTTGTCCTCCAGGATGTACTTACCCATTATACCTTCAATAGGACCATAACCTAAGGCTTCACATAGCTTCGATAGGAGTTCCTCGAAATGGAAACGGTTTCCCTAAACACATACTTACGTAGTCTTCCTTCTCTTATATTCGCCTTCTTCATTCCTTCCCTCGCTTCTTCGAACCCTGGAGGAACGTTTGTAGACCCCTGGTAGGCACCTAGCTCACATATCCACTTCACAGAATTCGTCAATCCCTAATTAATTCTTCCCTCTCGACCTAAGCCATGGTATCAGTAGCTTTCATTATTCTTTCTTTTTCCACAACATGCCTATCACGTCACCGGACCGGTTTGTACCATCATATGTGCCCCTTCAAGATCGCTTTCGAGCCGCGAAGCAAGTCAACGAGCTATCACCATTAGAGCGGATTCATCGTACGGAAAATGCCGCCTCGGATGTCTTTTGCTTTACGCCGAAGCGATCTTCGCCCCTTTCTGTCCGACAAGCATCTCGATCTGACGGTAACCAGCGGCGTGTCGGCACCGTCCTAGGGCTGCACAGCCTAGAACAACGGCAAGTCAGCAACGGTGCCGTCTGGTCTGTAGGCGGCTTAGCCCCTGGAGGCGTCGACGACGGGCGCGGGCGGAGGGTGAGCTCTGGCACGAATGCCCGCCTATATGCCACTGCGTTTTCGGATACGCGACCCAAATCCGAAGATGACCAGGAGAAACACGAAGGCAGACTCGCTCTAGCCCTAAAGATAGACCGAATCCAACGAATTTTAGACTTTGATGGATACTCGACGTTTCCTCGCTGTAAGCATAAAGAGAGACAGCTACTGCGAGAAGCCAAGACGAAATGGACGGGAAGCGAGTGGAGCAACGACTGTTACGTGCCCAGTACGCAAGCCCCGTACCTACCAACAGTTCAGTGAGACTAACACGACCGTAGAAATTCAGAGGGAGGAGCGGTGTCTCCCTAATGCCCCGTTCAAGTGCGTCAGTTTCTTCCCTAGCGATACAGCTGTTGACATCTAACAGGGTCCTCGATGCCCCGGGCCTTCGTGACGACTTCTATTGCTCAGTGATGGCATATTCTCGCACATGTAATACGTTGGCTGTTGGCTTAGGCAATCTGCTCTATGGGTGGTCAGAAGCTTCAGGCGTCACGCTTCTAAACGCGGGACTCAAGGACGGTTCGTGGCTAACTTCGGTGGCATTCTCGTCCGAGAAGGGTGGTAAGTCAATACTCGCCTTTGGCCGGTCAAGCGGACTGCTCTCCTTAGTATCGCTTTTCGATAGTCTACTCCCTCGCTTCGAGATGTATCATCCCGCACCCATAGCTTGTCTCTCCTGGCGTCCCACCTGTACCCTGCGACCTTCTCGAAACCAGCGCAATCCTGGTGTCCTAGTCAGTACAGAAGACCTCCTCGTAGGCGACGACCTAGGCGACGTATATTATTACGCGGTTGAATGGCCCGAACCCTAGGAAGTAGCTCGGGAAAATTGGCGCGGTACAATGACTCTACTTGCACGTATCAGAGTTCATTCCCAGCAGATATGTGGTCTCGCTTGGTCCCCTGATGGCGAGCAGTTCGCCACAGGAGGAAACGACAATCTGTGTTGCCTCTTCGCTATTGACAGCGTCACAGACGTCGAGTGTGACCTAAACTTGGGCTTTTCGAAGCTATCAATAGCTGACACGCCTGGTAGCGAAGTACAATCTGCTTCGTCAAATACCGTTAACCCTGGAGATGGTGCTCCATTGTCATTACCCGAACTTACGTCTAACAGCCCCGATCCATTGTCAGCCTTGAAATATTTTCCAGCCGGCTCTGAGAAACACCGATGGCACCACGGGGCGGCTGTTAAAGCTATCGCATTCTGCCCGTGGCGTCAAGGGCTGATTGCTACCGGCGGAGGATCTAATGACAAATGCATTCACTTTTACCACGCAAACTCTGGAGCCGCACTCGCTACTATCTCGGTTGCGGCACAGGTCACCTCTCTCATATGGAGCAAGACTCGACGGGAAATTGCGGCAACCTTTGGGTACGCGCAACCCGACCACCCGTACCGCATCGCCGTGTTCAGCTGGCCAGACTGCCGACAGGTAGCTGCCGTACCGTAGGAGGGAGAACACCGCGCGTTGTATGCCATAGCATACCCAGGTGGCCCGAGCGATACATACCGTACAAAGGAGAGACTAAGGAGTCGCACTGCCGAAGAGGGTTGTATCGTGGTAGCGAGCAGCGATGAGAGCGTCAAATTTCATGAAGTATGGGCAGCATCCCGCAAGGCCACTACGCTTGGCAGCGGTGTTCTAGCTAGAAGCGACATCTTAGAAATGGAAGAAGGCATCGACAAGGAGGGCGAAGTGATTCGCTAAGCAGGGCAAAAAAAAAAGGGGGGAAGGAGGACCATGCACAAATATAACTTGGTTCGTGATAAATTAAGAAGGCAAGTCATGTGCGTACATAGTAATAAAATAGCCCGTACTCGATAGTGTCGGTGTCGGTGTCGGTGTCGGTGTCGGGTGTCGGTGACTTAAGATAGGTACATGAGAAACAGGTTGATGCCAATAAGCTTAGATCTTCACTATTAATTCCGAGGTAAAAAGGAGATGCCAAGATGCCCATCGGATTTGTAATGATAACCAGCTCCGAACAATAAATGATAGGTATGCTCCATTCTTTCGACGTCATTCCATTATGCTTGATCAGAGCTCAAAGATTCGCGACATATAGAATGCGTGTCTTCCTTTTATTATGAAGTAGCGATCAAGTGATAGCACGTCGTGACGGAATGGCAAATGATGGAATCGGTAATTGTAAGTGCGAATATGTACATATGCCTAGGTACGTACCTAGGTACATAATTATAAATGAGAGGTATGTACCTACATTATAGGAAGGCCGGTTCAACTTCAACTTTATGAGGCAGATCTAACTAACCCTATTTGGCTCGGTCACGCTTTTACTAATTGCTCATCCAGTCACCGGTCATTGATATGTAGGTAGATTTGCCCCGCTTACTTTCCTGCCCCGCCAATACATACCTAACTGCCTACACTATACTTGTTGGACATCCGCGCACTAATAACCGCCCCGGCAGCCTTACTCTAGTGTACCTATGTACATATTGTATTGTACCTGCCTCTACTTGTTATGTAGATACGTATAGATAATAGACATTATGTACACTAGGCTTATCGGTGACTGTGTCAGTGCATCAGTGGCTCAGTCCAAGTCATTTGAGTTGCTTTGCCATAAGCCATAAGGTACATTATAAATTTGGTCATCAAACCCAAATCACCTGGACTCTAAGCTACCATTTGGGGTGCTGCGACCGGAAAGGTTGCCTTAGATTTAGCACGACTCCTCCCCCCCACCGTAGACTAAACTCGTGCCTCTCCAACCTTTAACTAACCTAAACCTCAATCAACACTTTTACCAAACCAGAACAATCCGTCATCATCATCTTCATCATCAAACAATACCACTGAACCCAAATCATCCCATACCGTCTGCCATCTTCTGTTTTTTTAATTCATTTTTCTTATTTTGATACGTCCGCCGTTTTTCTTATTCGTCTTCCATAGACCATCCCATTATCACCAAACGACACCGTGAAGATGCGATCCAAGTTTAAGGACGAACACCCCTTTGAGAAGCGCAAGGCCGAAGCCGAGCGCATCCGTCAGAAGTATGCCGACCGTATTCCAGTACGTATTTATTTCCTTCATCTTCCTATATGCGTAGCTATCTTGTCATTTTTTATCTATTCAACCCTATCGTTTGGTCGTCTTCGTAGCTTCTGTCGTCATTCCTTCCCCTCTAGCGTCCCGCACTCGCCATCTCACCGCTTTGTCCATTCTTCGATTTCCAAGCTTCCGGGATCTAACCAATATTTCTACGAATAGGTTATTTGCGAGAAGGTCGAGAAATCAGACATCGCGACCATCGACAAGAAGAAGTATCTCGTACCTGCCGATCTCACTGTAGGCCAGTTTGTCTACGTAATCCGGAAGCGCATTAAGCTCTCACCGGAGAAGGCTATCTTCATCTTCGTCGATGAGGTCCTCCCTCCGACCGCTGCTCTCATGAGTAGCATCTACGAGGAACACAAGGATGAAGACGGGTGCGTTTACCTCTGACCGCTGTTCTTCAGTTCTCCATGGTGACGGCGTGACAACTAATCAACCTCTCTTTGACAGATTCCTCTACATAACTTACTCAGGCGAGAACACTTTCGGCGACGCCGCTTGAGACGTACCCTTTCTCAGATTTTTCCCCCCAACGGCGTTAACGGTTTTTCTCGGGCTGGACGACAACGATGTGATTATTAGTGGCGATGAATTATGGATAGGGACAGGAATATTTACGACGGATGACTGATAGGGGCTGCGTCTGTCTGCCTAGTCACATTGCGTTCCCTAATGTGTAGATGACAATTAAAGGCGCCCTTTTTGATTTCATATCATCAATATCAGTGTGGCCTGTCCGCCATTTCATCCTACGCAGAGCCTAAGGTGATTTGCACAAACAAACATTCTCTGTTAAATTTTTGTCTAGACATCTCTTTTCCCAGTGATTGGGGTAGCCTATAACCCGTATTAGGTACCAACATGGGGTCACGATACACCGCTTGCGTTCTCTAACAGACGCTTTCTTGGATAACCTTAGGTACTCTGTACGTAGCTTCGCAGATCTCCTTCTGTGCACGGTCCTGCTATCATATGTCGCTCCTTGTAACTTCGAGCATTTGAATAGACTTAATCTTCAATCTTTTGAAACAAGTCAAATGATTTACAGACGCTAACTGATATTCTACATATTTGGATACATGATGTAGCCACGCTGCAATCACATGTTGCCAGATCATGTATATATAGGTAGGTAGCAACATGAATCAGTAAGGGGTTATGATAACTTCCCCTTATGCATTGGATTGTTTACCCAAGTATCACACTGACAGTTACGGAAAAAAAGGCTTGCCGCCATGTCGGTGGTTCAGTCTCAGATAGGTTGGTGACACTCACACGGAAGCGAGGTCATAGGATTTAGCGGTATCGCCCGCCGATCTAGGAATACGAGGACTCTGGAAGAGACTACACTGGCATTAAGTAATCCTTCTCTATTCTATCTTCATTGAACTCAGTTAATAAAAATTTCCTGTTAAATATCAATGTAATAACCCCTGAAATTCACGGTAAGACATAATAGGATAGACATTTCGATACCATTATCCGAGAAAATTGTTGTTCCTGCAACAATACCGGCTATATACCATTTCACTTATTAATCAAGTTGTATTCCAAAAATACCGGTTCCTCTCGTCTAACCCTCCTCTTTCCATGCCGTACATAGGAAATAAAGGGGGAAGGTTTAAAGACCCGGTACCTGAAGCCTTGCGCGCCATATATCTTGCAACAGGTTTACGAGGAGTTAATAAGAAAATATTCCTATTAATAAATGAAGCAATACAAAAAGGATAGCCTGAGAAGTTCGTTTCCACGAGAGGAAAGAAAAAAAAAAGGTTTACACATCATTCGCCAATAACTAGACGAATAATATATATAGTTCACATGATGAGAGTGGGACTCGAACCCACGCGGATTGCTCCACTGCGAAATTTTATATCTTGATAGAGATATTCAGCTAGACCTGAACGCAGCGCCATAACCACTCGGCCATCTCACCATTACTTTTCCAATGTGGATATTCACATTTTGAGTTATTTCCCGCTAAGTATTAAATTGTTTTCGATATCTTAGTCGCAACAGTTGCCTGTTTACCTTCAAGATGAGAGGTAGTGTTTGTAGAAACACGACTCGGTTCTAAAGATCGTTCAGCAAGTTAGAATATCCCCATCGGATTGGCCAGCCTACATACACCCTGCGTGGGCCGCTATCATCTAGCCTTATAGATGCTCTTGTTCATCTCGAGACCCGAGTCTTAGTAGCATTAGGTATCATTCAGTAATCAGAAGGACAGAATTCCAGCAAATATCTTAGATTTATTAATTTGTGCGCCAGCTGCAACAATGCTTATATATGTTACCGAGACCTCACTTGGTCTACTTCTAAGAAAATACCAATCTGCTTATTTTACGTCTTTGATGAGCTTTAAATTTAATATAATTATCCGGTATTTGAGTGGTGACCTGCCAAATTCGTGAAATAATATATGCTCACAGTTGTATGCTCACAGTTGTTAACTCCCTTTGATCTTTATAGGGGTAATGGTATTGAGCACGTTCGGCCTCCTAACCCTATATCGTCTAAGTAAAGGATATTAACTATAACCTTAAAATACAGGGCGAACAGAAACAGGCTGACTATTGTATACCTTAGGATTTGATTTCTGGGATATTAAATGGGGACTTTAGGATATGTTTACACTTAGATGGCCCTACACGCTGTTTGCTCTTAGCGAGGCCTATTATATGTCATTGGCCAAAATCGACAAAGGAGTAACAGTTCCACGTGGATTTCCAAATCGTCTCACTAGACTTTTTCTGCCATACATCGTCCAACCTATAATATTCTTATATGTGGAGGCCTCATCTCAAAAAGATCGTGGAAATAATCACAGGTAGGGAAGCCAGTAGTATTATATTCCGCAGTTGCCCCTACGAGAAGAGCTTATAAGGTACAACGATAGGCAGCAAGGATGTTCACATCTTAAGTAGATATGAGCTACATGGAGAATAGCTAAGTATAATGAGTATCCTAGTTCGAATGAGCGCACCGGAAGATGCGTGTATCAATCCTTGTATGCAATCATCTCTCGCTTGCCTCCCAAGAACTCTCGGCTTGTCCCGCTCTACCCATGCCCCTTTCATCCTGCATCTACTCGCACCCGACAGTTTTTGTTTAAACAATAAGAAAAAGAGAAAAAAGACATAGGTTGCACTGCGCATCGAAGAGCGCAATGTGAGGCCGTCTGCAATGTAAAATAATTGTACACAGGGCGGATACTTGAAAAGGCTGCTTAGAATTGACAGTAATTCCTCAGCATAGTCATACCCGCATAACCCTTTAAGCGGCTCGAATCAAATGGTACAACCGTGGACTAACGCCGATTTTTCTTTGCTTTCCCCCATAGGGAACAATGGTGAAGATAGAGATATCAAGTGATTAATCCGGCCCTGTCAGAAACGTCAAATCGTGGGTGGGAATCGCTCAGAGCCTCCAAACCTTCCTAATTCCCCAAAATAATGCAAAATCCTGAACGTCCAGCCGATGTAGTAGTGCGTATAAAGCAACCGAGCCGAGACCGAACAACAGTACGGAATTCTGTAACCAGAAGCGACGTCGCTATGCTAGCTTTATTATATTTTTTTAAATCATTTTTCCTTAATCATCCCTTGTCCGGGAGGTGCGAGATATCATGAAGGGTTGCCCTTCGCACGCTTCTGTAGTCGAGGCGTTCCGGGTGGTTTCTTGTTGGCCATCGTAACGCCGTTTACCTGAGGGACTCCGATACTCGCGGGTGTCGGAGCGCCGTTTTCCTCCTCGGCCTTTACCGTTGAAGGCCTCCTTCGCTTGTTGCTTGCTGGACTCGTATTAGCGCTGGGCCCGCTAGAGCTCGTTCCTTGCTGACTTTGTTGTAGTTGCATGCCAGGTGCTTGCATGTGTCCCTGGGCGGGACTGCCCATATGAGGCGAATTTGGAAGTTGCAGATGCGCGGCAGCTGGCGAGGCGCCCATGGGGAATTGGCCAAAACTGGGAGTCCGCGGGTTGGGTGGTCCGTTACCTTGAGGCTGGCCGTTCACTAAGGGTTGCTGCGGGGCGTTGGTAATATTCTGGCTGACGTATTGCTCAAGTGCAGCGTAAGGAGAGAGGCCTGGATGTGAATGATAAAAGTTGAATAATGGCTAAACAATTGCGTATGTTAGTAAGAGGTAAATAGAGTATACAGAGCCTATATGTGACCCGATAATATTGTATATATTGGAAGCACCTAACTCACATTCATCTGTCCAACAACTTCTATGATCTAGAGTATACTATGTTAGTAAAAGCATACGGATTACAAAACGAAGAGCCCGTACCTCGAGGAATTGGAACACACCCTCTGTGAGGCCTATGTTTTGTTTGACGGCTGACGGAGGTAGGTCAATATCGGGGGGTGGATTTGGTGGCGACTTCAATGTCTTCGCCTTTCCCTTCTTGCTCATCTCCGGCGACAGTCGCGAGTCCTGGTTATTAACCTTGAGCCATTCTTTGACCCAGTTGTGCGCCGGTCTCGCCGCCTCAGTAACCATCTTTCTAGAGTGATACTCCTCGTGGCTTTGGGTGACGAATTCTAATAACTCTAATTTTTGCTCGCTATCAAATTGCGCTCGGAGTATTCCTGTCGCGACGAGCTAATTGCCAAACCGTCAGGACGCTGTTATACGGGGTTGAATACGTAGGGTAGCTTATGCAACTTACGTGAGAATTGTCGAACCAGTAGGTGAAGTGCGCCCTTTGACTCTCGATGAAATGGCAACCGTTTGGCAATGGCCTGTCATTGATGCCTTTCTCAAACGTCAAATTGATCCTTCGGACGCCACTCTCGTAATGTGTATGAAAAAAGCGGGCTAGCGCAGGTTGTGTTATATCGTACTGCTTGTCCGCATGCTCTTCGTTGCCCGTATCACTACCGATATAAAATAGAGAGATTCTATAGATGCCTCTCATCGAGAAGAATTGTCCGACAAATTGGTTCCAGTATGTAAGGTCATCCTTCGTTCGTGGACCCTAGGGAGTGAGGTATGTTAATGTTTAGTCTTAAACAGGGTTGAGGCCCAACAAGCTAGGTTCGGTAGGTACAGAAATGAAATATAATTAATACTGACAGGATAGGAGCTAAGGTACTCGCCGAACTGAAGTAGCTTTAAGACGCACTGTCCCTTCATGCTCTCGTTCTTTTGCTGCTGCTGTTGTTGTTGTTGATGATGATGATGTAGTAACTGCTGCTGGATGCTATTTGGCAGCTGCATGTGGGCAGCCTGTAATGCCTGCGGGGTGGGTTGTTGAGGCTGGCTCTGCTGGCCATTCGGTGGTTGTCCTTGGCCTTGCGGTTGTTGCGGTTGATTACTTTGTGCGGGACTTGGACCTTGATTCTGAGGTTGGTTCGGTTGTGCGACTGCTGGCGTCGGGACTCTCTGGGGACCTTGCGAGTTCGGTTGCGGTTGCTGACCTGGTTGCGGGCCCGGTTGTTGTTGGCCCGGTTGCTGCTGCTGCTGCTGCTGCTGCTGCTGCTGTTGTTGTTGTTGTGGCGGCTGAGGCTGTTGTCCTTGCTGCTGTGGTTGCCCTTGCTGCTGTGGTTGAGGTTGAGGTCCCTGGCCTTGAGGGCCTTGCGGGACCTGTTGCGCCATCGACTGTGCTATTTGCGCCTGTTGGATTTGGATCTGCTGGGCAGTCATTTGTCCGGGATGGCCAGGCTGGTTACCTTGGTGCATCTGGTTATTCGCTTGATGCTGGGCTTGGTGCTGTTGCATTGCCATCTGCTGCGCAAGCATATGCTGCAAGTGAATATAGTTGTCAGCACGAAGTCTAGAATTAGGATGCTCAAAACGCATGGGGGTGCGTGTAACTACCTGGGCGTGCTGAGGATTTTGATGCTGGCCCTGCTGAGCAAGATGCGCCTGTTGCATATGTGCCATATTGCCGCCGACTCTTTGCATATTCGCACTGTTTCTCATAGCCGAGAGATGGGCCGCCGTCATGTTATTCATGTTTATCCCCTGCATATTCATAGGAATGCCGCTGTATATTTGCTGTTGCATCATGGCCGCCTGCCTCTGCTGTAGCATCCTTTGCTGTTGCATCTGGGCAATCATTTGGGGATTTTGGGCGGCTACTACGGGTAATTAGTACGGTACGATCGTGGTCAACACGGCCTCAAACCGGGGTGATGAAAATTCTCGACTTACTTGCGAATTGTTGTTGTTGGAATATCTGTTGTTGCTGCTGAGGGTTTAGGTGCTGTAGAGCATGGGCGCTGGGGCCACCAGCAACAGGAGGCATGACTCCCATCATGGCCGCGGGATTGACCTGTCCACCGGGTCCGGATACCGCCATATGGGCTGCCATCTGAGGAGGCATACCCGGCTGAGCTCCCGGTTGGCTTGGGTTATGAGCCATACCCGGAGCGCCCATAGGGTGTCCCGGATGGGCGCCGGGATGCTGCTGCATGCCTGGATGAAAGCCGCCGGGTCCCATGCTTGCCATCATTTCTAATAGTGTCGACTATCCACGACGTGGATATCGACGCCCAACCGTAGCCGCTGTTTCATACGCTTCAGTTCCTTCTATCCGTCGTCGCGGCCCTAACGTGATTGATCGATCGGCTTAGCTGAAAGCTTTGCGTGCAACAGTTCCTTGGTTTTTTTTCTAATTTCCTTTTCTCGTCCTTCCACGGGCAAACACCTACAAGCTCCCCCCTCTTTCTACTGGTTATGTTATGGGTGGATGCGACTTGACGCAATGCGATCGCCGATCATGAAACGTGTATGCTAATTTTCTAATAGTGTCGCCGTCGCGGTTACAAGCTTGGACTGCAGGCGTAATTCGAAGTTGAAGATGATTAGAGACATATAGATGTAGATCGCGTTGAAAGGGATAGAGTATAGAGAGAAGAAGGTTGATGAGGGATGATTTCTTCGGATCCTAAAACGCGATTAGAATAGAATCTCGGGATGCGCGCCGTGCGATGGCACAGAGGCTGTAAAAAATTAAAATGGTTGGTTATATGTTAGCGACAAGACACACCACCTGAGGTTCGCTCTAAATATCGATCACTTCATGAATATATTTCCGTTATGATGATCGTATGGTCGTCGCCGTCGTCGGAACAATTGACCGAGCTACGTCGCTGTTGTTGCTAGTGTCGTTGGCGCGCGTGGGTAACCCAGCGGGAAGCAAGAGAGGCGGACGTGCACGATGCGATACAAGTGGGTGTTATTAGTTGTTGGCGTTGGCGTCGTGAGATTCGACCCAGGTACGGTATAGTACAGTACTAGTCGACAGTAGATCTAGGTTGCTAATACGGTTCGGTTATGGTATGATTTTTATGCAATGCATAAGTTGATGTACTATATTATGATTGTAGTTGTCAGTTCGATCTTAACCGATGACAATGGCGGGCGATCATTTTTTTCCCTCTTTTTTTTTGACGAAGTTGGTATTGATAGTTTGTAACAACGCGGATGGCGGATAATAGGCCGATAAAAAAAAAAGGGCGAGAAATTGGGGTTGGAAAAGGGGGACAGGGTAAGTAAAAGGTGTAAAAGTATTAAGGGTATGAGGTAACGATGGAGAAGAAGAAAAGGAAGAAGAAGAGGTGGTGGTTAATGCGGTAGGTAGTGGCAGACTGCAAGAAGGTTCGAAAGTACCGTAGATGAACAAGCTGGGCTGAGCCAGGTAAGGCGGTGCTATTTTTCTATTTGCAAAAGGAGAATAGAAGGGTAGGTATCATAAAACGAATATGCTATTCTCCGCGCCTACGGGGGAGACTTAACCCTCTAAATTAGACGCCGTTAGACACTCTGTAGGTACATGTACCTACCTGGTTGGGTACGGTTCGCTGGGTTCGGTAGGTAGATTTGATGCGATAATTTAGTGACACATCGTACTGAGTACTGTGTCGATAATTTTGTCTGGAAAATGGAAAAGTTGGTATTGAAATGGATCTTTCTCGCTCTTTGGGTTGGGGGAGACCCCAACAGCCGGCCCCAGTATGTATGTAGGTATGTATATATAGAGGTGGCAGGTAAACAGTGCGAGAATTCATACACAGAGATTTAGTATACACTAAAAGAGTAATAAATATTCCCGAGAGCATATACTGTATTCATTACACTATGTTAAATCCACGTGCGCGCGGTATGTATGAGCATATGTGGTAATTTGACAGGGTCTTGCCCCTGTCTTATCAGAGCTTAACTTCTTTTAAGTTTCGCTTCCTTCCCGACTAGCCCCGATGGGCCAATAGGGGGATAAGTACTATCAACCAATATCTTCAACATGATTTCCTTCCGTTAAGTCTTATCATTTAAGTGGTATAGCGAGCGGGAGAGTATAAACGTATAAGCATGGCGATTTTACTTGTACGAATAAAATAACATTTTACCCAAGTTTCTTATTAGACTTTGTTACCCAATTAATAGCTTTCTCAATAACTATATGTAAAGGCACGGGAAGACAGCTACCACACCGCTACACCATCAAAATGTAGACCGTGAGCAACTCGAGATACTGACAACGCTATCTCAGCTTATAAAAAACTACTGTGAGAACATGTGTTTTATTCGAATTCAAAACTTAAATCAGGCGGGAACTTATAACATATGTCGACTTAGTCATAATCATTTCGTTGTATACTTTAGGTCATACACTCTAAGGCATTCAAATAATAAAGTAGTTTGGAATAGTTACATATACTAAATACATATACTAAACATCGCTTGGTCTTGCATGATACACCGGTTTGGTTGCTTTTGCGATATGGTAACCAAAAACCAAAAAACCGGCTTGCCAAGTACTGCTTTAAACATATTCACAGGAAAACCTGAAACTAACTACCCATTAACTTTATGTTCCTTCACAGATGATATAGAAGACGAAAACGAAAAAAAAAAAGATACGGCGTAATAAAATTCGAAAATTGATTGAAGTCGATCGCGATGCCGCACAAGACACTTCCACTTACACACATGAATGTATGCGGGAGAGATGAGGTGCTAACGACACTCGGAAGATTGCGGGTTGTATAACGATGAGATATATTACATAAACTCAATAAACTCAAGCGCATAGGCAATAGGTGACTGTTTTTCACAGTTGACAAACAACTTAAATAGCACTGTATTCGTGCATTTTATGCAAGCTGGAATATGCAGATTATTTTTAGTGCCCGAATCTGACAGCGAACGCTGGCAGCTGGCAGCTGACAATTGGCAGGAACCTTATCTCAGGTTAGGTATCTTAAGCAGGGCGTTTGTCTCACGTGACGCTAAAATTTTCCGCCCGGCGGGGTTGATCCGTTTCCACCTCATGGGTCCTGACCCACATTAATTTTTTTTTCTCTGCTGGCGCGACTTCAAAAGCTTCAACGTCGCGCTCTGCTTTAGGAATTCATCTTCTTTCCTTCTCACAACATTCTTCTCTTCCTCCTCAAAAGTTATCTTTTGGGGGTCACAGGAAGGGGAATATATGTGATGATACATGTTCAGATTGCGAAACTAATAACTACGCTCGCTGCAGTGTATTTTTAAAAGGTTCGTTATTCTATTCCCTTCACCAGCATGGCGAGAAGCCTACCACTTCCGACACATTTCCCCAATCAGCAGGATGACATACTATAAAAGTTGTCTTCTTTTCCCAACTGAATCGACCATGAACGAAGTCTAGTCTGTTCGGGCCATTCCACCACGGTGGATGCCTGTTACTTGCCAGTATTATTTGTCTGACTTCCCATCGCACGATCCACGTCCTGTGGTAGCATGTGATGGGATGGATTGGGGGATTATGTTGTGCCGCTGCGCTTTGCACTGCGAGATCTAGCACTTTGCTAACTTAGTAATAGTGTTTTCATACCGTCTACTTTCCAGAAACATTATCCGATTTTAGTCCAGGTTAGTCGAAATTTTCTATACTCGAGATCCTATTCTCATGGTGTTTTCATGATGAAACTTCCAACCACATTCGCAGTTTCCACTTGAGCTCCACTCAGAGCCTTTTGAGGAGCAGATGAGGGCATAATCCTTCCTTGGATGTCTGAACGACACCACATTCTTCATATTTTTCTGGCAATCCATCGTGTCTAAAATTTCTTACTAACGAAATTCCAGGTACTACAATTTCATTACGCATGTTTCATGAGGTCGACGTAGACGGGGTAAATTTCTTATAATATAAGAGTATTCCGCCAACCACTTAGATATTCAAAAAGATAATATGATATTGATCCAATTCAAAGCTTTTCTCGTTGCTCGCCTTGGTATTGCACCTAAACCAATCCAGTGTGACCGGACGCCGTAATTTCGCCAGTGATGCGTTAATATGCATGTTATGTAGATCCAAAGTTAAATCACCTCAACACCCTCGCGTATCCCTTCCCTTAAGAGGCCATGGTTGATGGAGCTATTGTTCTCCTGTCTCTTGACCCTTCCGCCAACCATGCCCCTCCTATTCCGGCCAGTCCGGCCTCTGCCTAGCCAATTTAACTTGAGCAATCGGCCTAGCTCGGCTACCATCTTGCTTGCTTCGTCCGTATCGACTGGGTTGACGCCCGTGTCGACGCTCGCCAACACGCTCATGCACTGAAGCATACGACCTACCATCTCTGTGACCTGCTTGCTATCCTCCACGTTCTGTTCTCGCACGCTTCCTAGGACTTCCCTACCGCCGTCTCGTGTCTGCGGTGTGAAGGACCTGAGCAGACTTCCGGTACCAGTAGAGGCCCCGTCGGACACGCCGCTGCCGAAAGATACGTTGCTGATAGCACGGCTTCGAGACGGGTTTGAATCATTGCCGAAGACTGTTGTTGAGGTTGAATTATAACTTGCGACACTTGGATCTAGCGACATGGCTGTTCCAGGGCGGCCCGATAACGGATCATTTGGCGAAGTCGAGAGGGATGTCACGCTGTCGTTTAAGAGCGGTGGCGATGCTAACGCGAGAGAGGCGAGTGAAGATGGCAAGTGTTCAAGAGATAGCCGAGAGAATATAGTCTTGAGTTTCTCGTATCGAGGAAGGATTAGGGAATCTCGGTATGCGATCAGTACAAGCCTTCGAACGTTAAGGACGCTTGATGCCGGCGACAAATGCGGTTCAGCATTTGATCCGCCCAGCTGGGCATTTGGTGCTGCATTAGCTACCACTCCGCCCCAGAAGTCCCGCGCCTGCTCAGGGGTCAACAAGGATCCGCAGCCAGAGAACTCTAGGTCTAATGGGAGAAATATGGCCTGCATATAAGGCAAGACACTTGTGAACGTGAAGATCCATAGCTCTACTAAAGAGGGGATCAGCCTATCCTCAGAAGTTGTGCGCAGTGTATGGTCAAGCGAGGCGAAACCTGTCGAGAGGAGATCCCGTAGATCATCGACAATGATATGGGCTAAACGACGTTGTATGCAGTATTGGATGTGCATGGTTACAACTCGGTTGAAATCCTCCACTGGCAACCGTAGATCCTCACCCTCGAAAATGACCAGTAATTTAGCCCTCAAGTACGGCCAGGCATCGTCCAGAGACATATTATGAAGCCCATATTTAACAGAATCGATAGGTTCCGAAAGGTAAGAATGCGTAGCTGCTGCTGCCGACCCGAAACTACTAGGTCCAGGCCATTCCGTGCCAACCCCGTATGTCGATTCGTTGTCGTCCTTCCGCTTCTCGCGGAGAGCGCGTCCTCCGTGTCGCAAGTCTAACCCACTAACGCTTTTACCAATGTTGTTGTTTGGACCCGGGCTCGGTGGCAGGTTGAAATTATAGAGGCTTGATGGCGCGTTGGGATCGACGGGTCGGGAGTTACTAGCAGCAGAGGAAAGCGGGAGATGATAGTCATCTTTACTGCTCAGCTTATGTTTCTGCCGCGATAGAAAGTGATGTTTCCTCTCCTTATCCTTTTCTTTGCCTTCTCTCTCCATGGACGGGTCAACTGGTCGGATGGTGGCGGCAGATGAGTTGCCTAGGCTATAGAACGACTGCGAATCTACTAAGCTGGTTGTGCTAAAATTGGCGCGCTGTAGCGAAGCCAGAGCAGAGCCAATCTTTCCGGGACTCGGCATTGGCCGTTCTTTCGCTTCACCCTTAGTATCAATCTTTTTTGGCCGAGAAAATAGCTTGACCTTGGACTTCTCGGCTTTGGCAGGCTTTTCCGAAGCGGCTAAGGGCGTGGGTGTAGGGAAAGATTGATCTGGCGGTGGTAGGCTGGGCGAAGTTTGAGGCGACCTTGGAAAGACAACATTCGCCGCGGCAGTAGCTGCAGCATGACTCCCCAACAGGCCGTTATGATATCCTTGCGTGCTAAAGCCGTTATCTCGCGGGGCGCTCGCTTCGGTTAGGCTTAGCATAGGCGGGCTGCGGTGACCAGATATTGGCTTCGGGCCTGGTCTTTTTAAGGAGTCGTGGGCATCGCTGCCAGGGAAAGGGACGGTTTGCGATCGATGACGACTATGTTGTTGGTGCTGCATCACGGCGGCCTGGGCGGCTATTTGACTAGCCGAGAGTGTCGCGCCAGTAGCCTGGGTCGGGGCTGGAGCCGAGACTGGTGTCTGGGACTGAGACATGACGACTTGGGAGAGGTTGGATATACTCGTGGAAGGTAATGTGGGCTCGAAATGACCTTGGGTCTGCGAGTGCTTTCTTACGTGACCGACGCGAGTGGGAGGTAAGGTCAATGGTGAGGCGGTTCTCGACTGCGGAAGTTCGATACTGGGTCGTGTGGGACGGGAGAAGTTATGCGGACTAGTAGCATAAGAGGGACTAACAACGGGGCTCTGGGGAGCTCTCGTCTTAGAAACGGAAACAGTATCGTCATTTGGCGACGTGTCTATCCTACGAATTTGAGGTCTCAGGGAGGCGGCTGAGGAGGAGGAGGAGGAGGAAGCGGCAGCAGCAGCGGCAGTGGAAGCCGAAGAAGCAGTACCGGGGAGAGGAGAGAAGCTCCCCGGTGCTCTCTGCTGGGATCGTGCTGGCTGCATTGTGTGATAGAAAAAGGTCCGAGTTCCTAAATTCTGTTACATCTTCTCCCGAACCAGCGGTATGTGTATGATCGACACCCGACCCCCGGTATCTTGACTATCTTGACTATCGATTTGTGCTCTTCAATTGCCGTACACGGAAATACTAGTAGCTCAAGTATGTCTCCGATTTGAGCAACTAGATTTATCAGTGGCCGAGTAGTCGGCGCGGGGATGTGTGGTATTATACAAATGTACGGATTAGAATTGTATAATATAGAAGTGGGTTGGGTGTTGAAAAGGTTGGTTATTGTAACGGCGCCGCTGCCGATCTGATGTAAAGTTCCAATACTATACATGTACTAGGTACATGAAATGTAACATCAATAGTGCCCGTAAATGCGACGCCAAACCTTCCATAGTGCCCACCTTAGGATGCGCCGCTAAAAAGTAGGTACTGTGTCCACACGGTTTCATATGTACATATGTACATACCTCATAGATGGCACTAGCCACATACACCCCGCGCTTCTTTTTGCTCTGCTGCCCCGCCATCATCTAAAAGTTCCATCATCCCAAAACTTCCACACCTATTGCATCAAAAGAATGATCCTACACTTGATCATTTACAGGACGTCTCATACATAATGTCGCCCTCCACCTCTTCTCCAGCACTCACCGGCGACAACACCCCGGTAAAGAACCGATCGACTTATCTAAAAGCAACATACACCAACTCAAATTCCTCCAACCCTTCGATATCGTCAGCCGAAGCCTTTGCGCTCTCGATACCCCTCTCCCTTCCCGAATCTACGTCCACAACACATAAAACATCATACCTACGCACCCTGCGTGAAGCAGTGTCCTCTCTACAAGACGATGTGAACAGCGAGTTGACAGCGCGTATGGAAAAAGAGGCTCACGAAGCGGCTGTCGTGGGGGATGGCAAAAAGGGTGGGAAGAGCATTACGGCTGCTGGTGTCGACGAGGCGGCCGAGGAGGAGAATTATGGGGAGGAGGTAGTGGAAGATGATGAGGAATGACGGATGGATGCTCGACGTGGGACATTGGCTTCGGGCTACTCTTCCATGCTTCTCTAAGCCAATAACGCAGCAAGAAAACGTCGTCAATTTAACTGTGGTCTAGACACGAGGGGTATTACCTACTTAATCGTCGCTGCTCTCTAGAAGTATGCAGCGATACCCGTTGGAATGCTTTCAGACCTAAATGAACAACCGGAACACCTGTACGCCTTCGATATATGCGACAATAGTCCATTCCTTCCGCCTTGACGAACCAACCGCTCGGTCCCCGAATATACCCCCTGCCACGATGATATAACAGCTCGATTTCGCTCTTCAACTGCGTATCTGAGCTGCGTTAGATATCAGTTGGTTTATCCGTGCCTCCCCCATGACCCAGCGATCACCTCGTTCCGGCTACCGCTCGTGCTACGCCCTCGCCTCCCCAGACATCCGTAGTGGACTACGCTATTGTCCGGGAGCACTGCTACCACGCTATTGCCTAGCCTCTTGTGACAGACGCCGCATACCCTCTCCTCACCGATGACCACCTTCCTGCTGCGCCCGCTCTGCCCGCCGGAGATACCGTCGCCTAGCAGTAGCAGCGCTTGCGTATTGACGAGCTGTGTTTTGCGAAGCCCCTCGATGATGCGCGATTCCGATACCACGCTATTAGCTGCGCGAATCCGGCCTCGGAAGTACGATTCCAGCCCCGTCACGGGCAAGTCGTCTGGTATAAGAGACAAAGTTGACTCTGCCGGTAGACGCGAACCGTGTCTCGAAAGGAGTAACAAGGCTGGGCCTAGATTCGGCTTGTTAGGCGCCGGCGGATTTAGGTATAGCGAGAGAAGCATGTGGTAGATAGACGGCTTCGAGTCGGGGTCGCGATCTTCCTCGTCTACGGACAACGACGCGGCAAAGGATTCCCGGCGAGAGCTAGGTAGCGCGTGAATGTGATTGCAATACCTAACGCCACTTGTCAGTTAACATTCACCACCAAGGGATTGTATAAGCACCTACTCCTCCGCTTTAGTATAGTCCTGCATATTGAATACGTAGATCTCTAGTGCTTGCTTGTGCGAGCCCATGTTGCTAAATACTATAGCCCGAGCTTCGTAAAATGCTGAATCTGCATGTTATCAGACGACGCCGTTTCTTTCCCCTATAATTCATAGGGTTATATAACTTACCATCACGAGGAATTATGCTTAGTGCTTTGCTGAGGCTGTACTGCTGGCTTGCTTTCAAGAATGCTACTAGACTATCCAGCTTCTTACTCCAGGCTTCGTCCCGCTCGCCTTCTTTTAGTGCCTGGACCAATAGCTCTACCAACCGGTTGTGAAAGTCTGGCGTGCCGTCTTCTAACTCCATAATAATATGCTGCAGGTACCGGATTTCCAGGTTGACGTCTATGGCACCGAGATACCGAACCACCCTTTCACGCGGCAAGGTCTCGGCATTTTCGCTGTCTGCCAGGAAAATTTCCATACCTTGGTCGGGATCCCGCCGCAGGACCCAGTCAGCAAATTCGAGAATGATATCGATCATCTCCGGCGGTAGACTCTGTAGATAGCCGACTGTCCTCTGCGAACCTCGGAGCTGTTCGGGTATAACGACTTCGACGTCCACGTGCCCATTGAGATCAAGCTTAGCTGACTCCCCCTCTGTTTCCGCGTTGCCGAACTTGCGAAGGAGGGTGAGCGCCTCGCGGTGAAGCTTCTTGCCGTAGAAAAAATCGACTAACTCATTATACCGGTTATGCTTAAGCAAATGCTCGTTGACTACTGCGGGATCGCAGAAGTTCGGAATGCGGAAGAGAGAGCCAGCAAGCGTCGGGGTAACAAACATTAACCCACGGAACAGTGCTGTATCAACTAGGGTAAAAGTTTGCTTTAGCTCGTGCTCAAGTTGTTCATCAGACTCCGAGTGGGAGTTTGTAAGTAGAACGTCGAGGCTCTCATGCAAGTTTATCGTAGAGTCGAGGTTAGCTTCTGTCTTGCGCGGTTTCAACTTCCCAGTTGCCGGGTCGATCCATCGCTGTAAACGAGCTCTAGTACCAGCCAGGTAGCCGTTCAGTTCGCGAACGGCCTTGACTAAGTCTTTTCCTTCTAACGGCCTATCCTCATCCGCGCCCTTCTTCTTCTTCGGCTTAACCCTCACGCTTGCGGCGTCTTCATTATCAGTCCCGCCCCTTTTAGAGGATGCGATGGACGCTGTATCAGAATCCGTTTTGCGATGCCCCATCCAATACTTTGCGAAGGCGCCCGGTTTTGACGGGGACGCGACCTCGACAGGCGTGTCGCCCTTAGCGGCCTTGTCGCCGTTGGCTTTTTCTTCCTCTTCTTGCTCTTCCTCCTCCTCTGAGGTTTCCTCTCGTGTAGGTTCGGCAGAAAGGTCACCAGCAATTATCCTAGGGTACAACCTCAGTACCCTCTGAGCGGGTGCGTGCACTTCGTCCTCATTAAATAAAGCCAAGCTTTCTGCGAATTTCCTTTTCTTGAATAGTACTTCTGCTTTCAGCATCTTGGCCTCGCGCATGGTGCCGGTCTTATCCTTCAGCAGTGCATCTTCAAGCATGCCGAGCACGCTTATAGCTTCGTCGTAATTAGCCTTGTCGATCAGTTCCTTGACTTGAGTATCATAGTCTGTAGCCTCCATTTTCCATACGGCACGGTCGCTAATAATATGGAATCCCTTGCCAGCGTGGGCAAGACTAACGGTCGGTGGCGGGAAATGTAGCTGTGCCGCTCCGGGAAGCTCTATTGTCTGCAGGAGACTCAAAGTGTCCGGGTTCCGCACTTCTAATGTACCTTTAGCGGGCGGCTGGAGGGCCAAGATGTAAGGGTAACTGTATCCAATGCTCTCGGGTGCGCTCTGCCATGGCACCTGGCGCTTCTCCAACGGCTTCCCATCCACATCGATGAATAGCGAGTTGATGTCTTTTGCAAGCAGCATTTGCCCCTCGGCTAACCTCGCAGATAGCGGCTTTGGCATGTAACCTCCGAGTCCCATGTAGCCCATACTAGCCGCGCCGAACCTGCTGCCCTGCCCTCCAGTCGCAGCGGCACCCAGCCCCACGATATCTTGCGTTTCCAAAGTAACCACATCAACTAGTACGTATCCCCCATTCATACCGCAGACGATCTTAGTCGCATTTGCCCAGGTGAGAGTCCTGATGGCTTCGGGAAGCATAATCTCGGTAACCTCGTCATGTAACTCGCTCTCGTGCCAGCTCCACAGCAGGAGTCGCCGCTTTACAGCTACGGCGAGACGGCTGATAATCTCGGGTATGCCAGTGGCAGCATCCTTAACGATGTTACTGGTGACAGCAAAGCAGGTGGCATTCTTGGTTCGCGGTATCGTTTCGATTAGTTCATAGGTTTGGAGTTCGTGAAGGGAGACGTGGTAGTTGGAGAGGGAAACGATGATATTGGATTCCTTGATAATGGCAAGCTGTTCGATGGCGCGAGTGGAGAACTTCTCTACTTCACGTAAAAGGTCTGTAGGATTTGGACTGGAGTTTCCATTCGACTCTCGCTGTGGACTATTCGGAGAATGTGTACCGTTGGTAGTAGAAGATTGTGACAGGTCGTTTAGGCGGTAAATCCTCAAAGAACCTGTGTTTAAGCCGACTAGAACGCGGTCGCCTATACAAGCTCAAGAACGGTGTTAGATTATCAAATACCTAATGTTTGCAAGATATTATCAAGAAAGCAGTAATACAAACCATAAGCCAGTATCGTTTCTATCTTAGACTTGTCGCGCGGCTTCAGCTCGATGATGGGGCGAGCCGTGAATGCGGAGAGCATGGTGCTCGGGAGCTATCCTGGGAGGATAGGCATTGATTGATTGTTATATTTGTACGTCCAATGGAAGTAGTTTGGGTACGTAGATGTCTCGTAGTAATGTGTAGGACGTGTAGGAAGTGTATATATTTTTATATAGGTTTTAGAAAAAGAAAAGATGTACGTCTAAGTTGGTGTAAGTTCAAAGTGGCAGAGTGGTAGGAGGTAGGTACGTAAAGTTATTGAGTTAGGTAAGGTATGTGTGTATGTACCTAATGTACCTAATGTATGTCATCTGAGCCCTTTCGAGATTTACATACTGTAGAGACTTCCATATCGAAGCTGCCTAAAAGTGGCCGCAGAGTGGGTACGAGGTAACCTTTCTGCCTTTGCGGCTTTGACACCCCGACACCTCAACTTTGATTTGAAGCTATGACCGCATAGGTAAGCTCCAAATCCTCATTAGAATTTAGAGCTACGTTAGTAGATATCGGATCCTCAACCTCCTATTGGATACGCAGTATACTATAACGTAGGTACTTGCACATGTCTAAATGTGCTTACATACAACATCCACGTAGTCACAAGCCAGCCTCACATGAAGGTTAGTAGCTTAGATAGTTATGGTATAATAACCAAAGCTCAAATTTATATTATCTATAATGTCATCTAGAAAGTCGTCCATATCCCATTTCGTATCTACACAGCATGTACACGTGTTCCACACATGTACATAGCCATACAATATTCTATACCAGCAATAAAGCCCGAAATATAACATCTCTTAAGTAGGTAGGTAGGTAGGTAGGTATAACATATACCAGTCGATATGTTACCAGTTCAACCTAGATAAACCCTCTACATTCCAATAACCCGCATGGCTCCATATCCGAGGGTGACCACAACCACCAGGGTCAACAAACTACTCGGTACGCCACGGCTAATAAAATGCTTAACGCTCAAGTACCGTTGCCCCGTAGGATCCTCTTTCATTATAGCCGCTATAATATGTCAGTCATTATACTTCCACCTGATGGGATATGGGATTGTAGGTAACTTACTCATATTGGGGAACCCGCTAGTCGGCAACCCCATCGCTGCGCTACACATGAGTACCGCGGCCATGACAAGTAGGTTAGGATGCGGTTCGTCCATGCCTTTTCCGATATCCGATACGAGCGGCAGGATAATTAGCGCGGCTACTGTGTGGCTGATAAAAGTCGCGATCACTAAAGTCAAACTTGAAAAGATTAGTAGGACTCCGTAGAGGTCTACCCCGTCCACCTCGTGAGAGATTCTTTCCGCCACCGTATGAAGGAGTCCTGACGACTTCACCGCTTTGCCGAGAGCCAACCCGCCGGCCGCGAGGATGATGATTGTCCACGGGAAATTATTGAAATCTTCTTTGGTGAGTATGCCGATGCCGAAGAATAACACGATGGGTATAATGGCGATAATGCCCATGTCACCAAATGTCGACTGGAGCTGGTGACTTGCACACCAGAGACCGATAGTAGCAATGCATATGATTGACACGAACCACTGCAATTCGGTGAAGCGCTCCCTCACTGGTCTGATCGGTACGATCGTAGTACCCCTGCCAGGTTGGAAAGTGAGAAGAAGAAGAACCCAAATTAGAAGAATCGATGCGATGCCCACGGGGATCACAACAAAAAACCATTCGCCCCACGTCGGCGCCGGCTCCATGACGCTAAGCGCAAAAACGTTCTGGGGTGAGGCGATAGGGGAGAGCATGCCGCCAACGTTGGAAGCCAGTGCTATACCCATGATCACCGCCTTGGACATGTTAGAGTCCGAAGGGAGATTGCGCAGCATAGGCTATGAAGTTTCTTGTCAGAGAAGTTAGGCCACTTAAGAAGGGGTCAAACTCACCTCGATAATCGAAAAGCAGAGAACAGGCGCTGCTACATTGCTAACAAGCATGCTGGCAAAAGCAGCCACAAACATAGTGGCAATGAGTACAGTCCTCGGTTGCGTACCCGCCTTACTAAGAACGAAGGTCGCGATCCGCTTGTCGATCTTACATTTGGATAAAGCTGCAGCAATGGTGAATCCACCTAGCAGTAGCATGATAACAGGCGTCCACATGGACGCAAAGACGTAAGGGGTGGCATCTACAGAGTCTAGCCTCTTATGCGGCGGTATATCGTCACGGACGACTCTAAGAACCACGCAAAGGAAAGGGATTGATAGAGAAGTCACGAAAAGGGGTATTGCCTTGAATAGAGTCAGTTACGTAGGCAATGCGACATAATGTGTCAAAAACTCACCTCAGTAGCCCACAGTAAGCTTACGAACACCAGCATAGCCAAACAATTTTGCTGCTCGGGCATCTCCATGATAGGAACAAGGAGTAGGACCAAAAAGATAGTCACAATACCAAGAAGTATAAACATAGTAGAGCTGAATAGCCAGGTCGGACAGGTAAAGCGTCCCACTGGTGTCTCAATCTCTTTCATGGGTGTTACGGGGGTATCGTCACCTTGCAGCATCACCTTCATCCCGTCATTCTGGGTGCCGAGAAGACCTTTCCCAAGGCTTGCGGCTTCGGCGCGACGTTCAAGACCGATAAGATCTCTCCATACCGTGTTTCGTTCCCAGACAACATGTTCCCTAAGGTGCGACCGAAGATCCTTCTTAGCGAGGGCCTCGTCACCATGCGTCACTATATCAGCATAGGCCTTCTCCATCTTAGCGATCCTCCCCTCGATGTGCTTGACAGTCTCGGGTAGAAAGGGGTAAGAAGTCTCGACGGCATCCTTCATATATTTCGGCCGGAATTCTTTGTCCATGATTTTGTCAAACTTCTTGAGCACCTTGCTGAAACCAGTCTTGTTCAGTTGTACGTATGACTTGAGCTCACATAGCTGCACATAAAGGTTGATGATGCGCTTCTTCAGCATGATACCGGAAGAAAACATCTGGGCCGTCTCAGCATAGTCATCATATCCGACGCTGTACCTACGCGACCTGGTAAGATCTGTCGAAGCCGTCAAGTCGGTAGAAGCGAACATGGCACTTGGGACGGTGCGACGTCGGCCGCCAAGGCTCAAGCGGCGCCTCCTATTCAAAGCCGAGGTCTCATCTTGATCGTCGTCATCATCGCTATCCTCAACACCGTCGTCAGTTGAGCGCGTACTACGGGCGCTCTTAGAACTCCGAGTTCCAAGAGTATGTGTCACTTGATCGCTGATAGGATGCTGCTGCAAAACTGGCCTCCGGGCAAGCTCAGGGTCGTCGTGGCCATCTGCATCAAGTGACTCGATATCGCGCATCAGATCGTCAAACTCGTCAAATAGCTCCTTCTCCTTGACGACATAGAAGGACGAGATCTTTTCTAATTCCACATCCAGAGCGCGGCCGAAGACGGTTTCGGGTTCTTCATTGCGTAGGAGCGGTCGCGTTTCGACATCGGAGACAGCTGGTTGGTGAACAGTTTTCTCGAGTCCATAGATTCTACGACGAGTAAGGAGGTACGGTTAGGAATATTTATGAAATAATGTACGATAGAAGACAGCAGGGACGGGAATAGAACTTACAACTTCTTAAGATTGCTATATGCAATATAGTGACTGCTCCAATCAGGAACAGCGTTAAACTGAATGCTATGAGAGAACCTCATCTCGTCTTGCTCCTCAAGCCAGCGCCTCTTCTCGTCCCTCTTAGCTTTTCGACGCTCTTCCCTAGCAGATGGTAGCTGCTTTAGTTCGTAGGCCTCTCCAGATATTCCAGATATCCCAGATATTTTGATTATTGCAGCACTACTCCCTCCTCTATCCTCTGGCTCCGTCGGCGTTCGGCCGGGATGGTGGGGAGCTTGTTGCGCGTGAGCAGTGTCGCGGGAAGAGGAAGAGGAGGGGGTCACCAGGAACCTCGAGGGTGATATGGTGGAAGTGGTGAGGGAGGTATAAATCGGTAGAACCGGTAGAAACGATAGAAAGTTTTTTGTTCTTTCGGGTCCAGCATGAAATGATGAAATCCGGATTATACGCGATGGTCCACAACGGCGTCTAACCTAGGTAAGTAAATGTAAATATGATTTTATTCCCGCTTTATTATTGCAAACCGGTTGCAATAGATAATACCTCTAACTTATAATACTAGTACAGATACAGTGAGGTATGTATGTTACATGTAGGAGGTAGTGTATGCGTGTGGTGGTGAGATATGTACCTTGTAGGTTAGGTCCCTGGTCTCCAGTCAGCCAGTCTAGGAAACCCAATTAACTAATGAATTAAAATTAACGAGCTAAAGAATTCGGTGACCAATAGGAACCTCATTAGAGACCCACGTGTGGATACCATGTCTCCATGGATGTCTGTATGTACCTCCTACATTGGAAGCTACTATGTAAGTCCACCAGCCTCCAGCCACAAGAACTGAGGAATACTAGGTACTAGGTAGTATGTAAATACACTATACCTCCCCTGCAGTAGGTGAACCCCAGAAATTCTTAAAATACATCATACACGAAATATTATTTAGTCGGTGGTAATCTCACAAATCAAGACTTCTTCTCTACCCCTTCAAGAAAAAGAGGCTTTCAAAGCCTTGAAGATAAATAACCCTATAACAGGTAGGTAAGCAATGTTAACTTAAAGCTCTTTTATCAACCGAATATTCAAGTCTACAAAATGTAATCCCTAACTATACGAGTGTCTACTTATCCCAACGCCCAGTCAACCTTCTCTCTGTAGGCAACCATCCCTTTCCTACCTAATGGGCGTTTGCGGTGCAACCAATCAGAAGCATCTTGAAAGACCATGGCTGCAATGTCCTACTACATAGTACGCACATAAATAGGTAGCATTCATTCCCGACCACAGACCATAATTTCATATCCACGGTATCGCACAAAATTCATCCACTAGGTCACATTCTGTTCAACAATCAACCAGCCAATATGTACCGACAATCTCGGGAACTGGAGGCTCGTCGTCGTAGACTAGCCGCTGAGGCTGGACGTCAGCGGGCGGCAGCAGCCCGCCCTCTTCAAATCATCACGACTGAGTCCGAGCCCTTGGCGGAAGTGGACGTGACAGGATTGGGTCGTCTAGCCAATTTGCCCAATGAGATCATTATGGTAGTCTTTAACAACTGCAGCCTATACTCTCTCTTACGACTTGAGCGTGTAAACAAGGCTGCTAAAACGTTCGTGAACCTCTTACAAGATATCGAGTACATCAAAGCGACTGCGAAGGGTATCATTCAACGTGCGGTGCCACATTACCGCAACTTCATGATTACCATCTTGAAGATTACAACGTATCATGGATTACGATACCTTTTAACTACCTTTACCTGCGAGCTTTGCGGCAAGCCGGGATCGTTTCGTATGATCAAAGTCAAGGTCCTCTGTGAGGATTGTCACAGTCCGAGGAAGCAATAGAAAAACCGAAGGTGACCGCATACCAATTAGAGACGGTTCGTCAGAGCACAGGATACTATGATTGCTTTCTTTTCTAGAAAGACTAATATTAAATCGCCAGTTTCGATAACCTAGAAGCGAAAGCGATTATATCAAGGGTTATGTACAAGCGTGCGGCATTGATTTCTTATACTACCTACAACCTATTAGCAAGACCAGCAAACAAAAAGAACACCCCAACGCCAAGATGATGCGTTGGAAATCATGCTCATGAGATATGAAATAGGAGTTGGCAACATCGCGGGCTTTCTTTATCGTTACTACTGAACGATGCTATCTGTCTATATCTTGATAGCGGTCTCATTTCCAATGTTAAAGTGAATGATAGGTACCTCTCATACGAGATAGCCGTATGTAAAATACAGTATGGCTCATGACCTTATAATACGACTAGAGAAGGTGATACCTCGAGAAATGTAACGATAGTTTAATCAGATATGTAGGCTAGGTAGGTAATGATTTCGAAGGACTACTATTTTATACCTACCTGGCCAAGGGGGGCAGCTTAACACTGTGCGTAGCAAGGTCTATTGGGATATCATCGATAATGTGACATCACCACTATGATAAGATCAACAAACGCCATTCTATAACTAGTACCTAACCTCGCTACATGGCCCAAAATATCACACCAGTAATAGGTAACAGCCAGTCATACTTGATGCTATCCGTCTATATCCATATATCCATCGTCTGCGACTTCTGAAACAAGGTTCGTGCAAAAGACATAGAGCAAAGAGGAAGCTCCCGAAATAAGATTTATATTCGAGGGATTCGCTAGCAGTTTCATAAAGACCAAGGCACGTGGAAATCATTAAACCATAACTTGAGATATATAAATCAGTATGAGCGAGAGAATACACGGGGAGGAGCCGCTCAATCGGGAGCCTGAGATCATGAAACTCAGTTCGGCATTCATCACTGAAGATGGGTACGACCGAAATCACTGTCCGCAGCCAGCAACAGAACAACTCGATCCTAGGACGCATCGAGTGCATATTGACGGATGCGTCCGCAATCCGCTAGCCCTTTCGATCGCAAATCTACGCTCCGATTTCCCGCAGCACGAAATTGTCTGCGCACTCCAGTGCGCGGGAAACAGGAGACATGATATGAGGACAGTGGTAAAGGAGGTTCAAGGGATTGACTGGTCTGACGGCGCTGTCATGAATTGTCGATGGCGTGGTCCCCTATTAAAAGATATACTAGAGAAAGCAGACATTATAGACTTGGACGCAGGGGACGACGCTCATGTCGCTTTCGCCTCCTTCCAGGTAGAATGCCAAGATGATTCGTGGTATGGCGCCTCGATTCCTTTGAGCCGGGCCTTGGACTTAGATAAGGAGGTCATCCTAGCACTCGAGCGGAATGAGAAGCCACTAAGCGTCCGGCACGGCTACCCCGTACGAATCATTGCTCCGGGACTCGCAGGCGCACGAGCCGTAAAGTGGCTAGACAGGATCACAGTACAGAAAAAGGAAAGCCAGAATCACTACATGCAACGTGATTACAAGGCACTCCCTCCGCAAGCTACGGACAGCGCCTCGGCCGAGAAATACTGGAGCGTTACGCCGGCTGTGCAAGAAATGCCGGTGAACTCTGTCATCTCAAGTCCGCGGACAGGAGATACGGTAAAGAGGGATAACTACGGGAAAGTCGAGTGCTACGGTTATGCTCTACCGAGCGGTGACGGTGGTCCCGTCGTCAAGGTCGAAGTCAGTACTGATGGAGGTCATACCTGGACTAAGGCAAGGCTCGAACACCACGATGAAGAGGGAAAGTGGACGTGGAAATTCTGGAGGGCCAAGATTATCGTTCCACCGGGACAGCCGAGGGTGATATTTAGCAGAGCTACAGATGCGTCTGGCCAGACACAGCCGGATTTACCACCTTGGAATTTGAGAGGAGTCTGCTATAATGGATATGGCGAGGCACGAGACTTAACAATTCAGTAGATACTTAAGGGATAGACTAAACAAACTCAGCTGAAGTGCAGTAATTGAAGATCGGAATTCTTCCCTTGTTGAATTTGGGCCGGCTATGATTTCAATCACACGGTACAATACATATATAAGAAGTCGGGGTATAGCTTCAGTGGTGGATTTAGGGGGATTTCCAGGGCGAGTGATGAGCAAAATCCGCATATATCTAATGAAAAGTATTGCATGTTAGGTGCCTAATCTTATAGGGGGGATTATTTCCCTGGGTTCCCTTAACTGGGATTCTATTTTTGTAGTGTAGAAATATAGTACATTATTGCAATGCTACGATAATGGGATCTGTACAAAGAATATTATTAAAAGGAGGTGAGCAAACTATACTCTATCATTCGTGATAGTTACAAAGAATAAAAGACTACCTAAGTTATTAATAATTTACGGAACTTATTTATAAGCTTAGACACAAAGCAGACGTGTGTGCCATTATGAATATAACAAAAGGGGCACGAAGAAACCAAGTCAAACGACCTATCTCGCCACCGTGTTCAAAGATGCGTAGGTTTTAAACAGCTTATGGAGATTAGGAGCTCATCTACTTTTTGAGTATAAAATGTAATGAGATACCCAGATCTCTTCGTTCATCACCCAGGATAACAACCAAACTATCAAACTACCAAACTACAATAACTACAAATTAATTCAACACCAATACTTCAAAATATCAAAATACCAAAACTCAACATCAACAATGGCCAACATGAAGAACACCAGAATTGCTCAGAAGCCCGCAACTCATAGCAAGGGGCTTTTCGACTTCAGCGACACTGACAGCGGCCTCCATACCCCCGAAGGAACTAGCTCGGGTGCTTGCTCGGTCATGTAAAGACCTACCGGTCAACTATTTTTCTGCGTCTACGAGAATATGAATTACGCTTGCTGGGGTGAGATTTAAGGGATAATAGAAGAGCCAGGCGTTGGCGACACTCTTTGACCATGCCTGGGGGACATAATAGATTGGAGTCACTCGTTAATATTTTTTCTTTCTTTCTTGATATTTAATAAAAACTCTCGTTACCGCTACGATGATATTATCTTTGTCTAGAGTGAGCTGTCTGAATAAAATATGGTTGCCTTTTTTTTTTTCTTTTTTGCTCCAGAGAATAATATACCTAATGATAAGAACTTGAAGTGGATTGATTAGTCATTATAACTTGGGTAGTATTATACCTATAAACAGTTAAACTAGTTAACCTAGTGAGTAAAGTAAAGGCATTAACCTAGTGTATAAATCGATGCTATTCAAAACACGGGGGAAGCTATCTACGATGCCTCATTTTATACCAACAACATCGTTAAGTGAACCCGTTGCGAACTTCACTTCGAAGCAACTTCCCTTGTTTGCTTTAAGCAGGCAGGCATCTCAAAGAAGAGCCTTGACGTCGGGAATCTTTGATGCATATTATTCGTCTGAACTCGGTGTAGGGCTGTTAAACGCCGGATATAGTAATTTGGCACGGGTCTACTGTTACATTGCCAATGCAACTGCGTGTTTCTGCCTGGTTCGGCCCAACGCTACGGAGACTTGCGACCTTACTCTAAATTTACCACGACGTTGTGAGGAGATGAGAGGTTACGGTTTCTAAGATAAATAAACAACGTGCTGCTAAAATAAACGCGGGTTGGTTAAGTCGGAGTAGAAAAAGGCAGCATTGTATTTGCTACTATGTAGCAACTAAAGGTTTCTCGCTTATATCCAGTTATGTATGAATATGAATACAACTATTATACACTGACGCCTATTAAGCGTGGCACCGCATGAATTATGCAGATTTATGAGGTCTGATGACCGCATTCTGCAGAGGGGAACGGTCTTTGATTGACAGGGACTAGAATAACAGTTGTTTTCGAAGAAAGTCGGTCAAGATAGAGGTGAAGGGTTGATGGAGAATGAAGGAATGCAAGAGACCATTCTTGTCGATATGAATCTGGACCATTTTGAGACTTTGCAAATTTATAAATTAGAGATTAGGCACACGCCGCAATTGCATCGCATCGTGCTGGTGTTGAGATTGTAAATACGCCAACAATACTTGTAGGGTTTGTATAAGATAGTAGGTAAGATAGGTGGACGTTGGGAGTACCGAATATGTATAGAGCTTCGGTACAATGTTAAGGCAACAAGGAACCCATATTTTTATGATCTGGATGCGCTGGCAAATACTAAAACAACAGGGGTCAGTAGCAGGGGTCAGCTGCAAACTATTTACCTGATCCCTGCACGCATCAAGTCCCGCGAATGGTTTGCCGATGGTAAAAAAAAGTGCGGAGGTAAGTAACTTTTTTTTTCTTTCTTTCTCTCTTGTATCTTTTTACCTCGTTAGTTGGAGAATACTAACCTGAAAGAGGGGATGGAGCGGATGAATTTAAATAGAGGCCTTATGTATAAGTATATCGAAGTATATATATATTAGGTACATGGGCGCATCCTTACATCTGAAAAATACCTGGTACCTTTATGTCTGTAGGTCTTTTTATGACTTAAGGTTTCTACTAGTGTACACTACACCCCCTGAAATAATGTTAGTTTTTCGGACGTGCACGATACAAAGCAGGGCTTCGGATTCTGAATAGAACAACGCCCTTTAAAGCATCTCAACTATTATACCAGGGTTTTATAGCATAAAATACTCCGAAACAACGTTTTTAGAAGACTATAACGACCTCCCAGGGTGGCAATAGATATACGCTTCAGGATCTCAGCGAAGTAGCTCTAGGGGTCCGCTGAATAACATTATTTCAGGGGGCGTACTGTACATGTATCAAATCAATGTATGCATGTGTACCTAGATACATGCATGATCCAGTTAAGTTAATGCATGGATGTACCTAAGCATCATCTACCTACACTAGTGTAGTTGGCAACTGTCCCGGGGTCTGCTCCTACCTGTTCCTGTCGCTTGTTCCTGTCCAATCGATCGATACGATGCCGCATTAGGCGAATCTACCTAATCTTTCTTTTTCCGAAAACCTCCAATATTCATCTACAATGTTCAGAATGCTCTTATTAAATATACACAACTTCATTTGATCCCTCGCGGCGCCCTGCGCGTAAGCTTACAATAGTTTGTAGCCGATAGACTCCCACCCCACCGCGCTGCCCATAAAAGAGACGACTATGGGCCATTGATGGATTACTGATGATGCTTCTGCTTCTGCGACTTGCATGACGGCAGTAATGCATGACGGCAGTAATGCATGATGCAAGGTCGGATGCCCCATCGTCCACTGACAGCAATCTCCAGCGAAACAGAACGCGGGAGTGACTCTACCGCAGCGTCGTACATCCGCCCGCAAACACATTATATATATATATATATACCTAGGTACCTATATATATAGAGAGACGCATACCTGATACATATTAGTACAATATACACGTTTGGTCGTTATAGAGCAGACGTTCTGCTAGTGAAGAGGAGAACTTGGTTTTGCTGACTGTATCCAATATTTCCCCTGATATCTCTCCTCTCATTATAATACCGACTAACACTCCGACGGTACTACCACCACCACCTCACTGATTCGCCTGCGTTTCCTAGGTTTCTTGGAACCGCTCGGGATATTTCGACATCTTTAACAAGCACTGCTATTCTTACCGCGGAACTTCATATACAACTTTCATCCCCCACATCAATACTTGAATACATGCCTAGATAGGTATTCCGATTTAACGAGACTGGCAACCAACTCATTAGTGGTCGTCATCAACGACATTTGCCGGCCTTTACCGATTTCATCAAGCTTGCTGGAAGCTTACTATTTAGTTTCGCGCACTATTTACGTATGTATATTTGCGACGAGGCAGCAAAGGAAGAGAAAAAGACACTCTCAGAAGGACGTCAAAAAGGATGGCACACCTAATACCAGCTTTTCTGCTTTTTTGACGCCTTTCTGCCTTTCTAAAAATTACGAATGGTTGATTGGTTGTCTATCAAAGATTGCCATAAAACTTAAGCAAACGGCTCGTCAAACTCTTATGTACATATCCACGTACGCCTCATGTTCATCTTGTCCCTCGGATCATCGTCATCATGATCATCTACGTTGTTTTTTCCCTCCACTTTATTATTTTCTTTGGCGCATCCTAGCTTTAGATGCACTACCATCCGTACTAACCTTTCTTAGTAAGGAATTGACTCAGGTCCCTTGTCCCCGTCTCCCTTAGCCTAGGTACAATGTTACGTGCACAGTTGCGGTCAAACGATAATTCAAGTCAATTCAACAGCCCCTCAACTAGATTAGATCTTAATATAACGACACCTAAATTTATTAATACATAAAAGAAGATTCACTCAGCCTACAGAACCCCTGGATTTGGTCTCAACAACAATTTGCGAGCTATCTGCGTGTTCCGTACTTCGTGTTCCCTTGATACGGTGACCCGCAAGGTACAAGAGGGGGCCGATACTTCTGGTGTGCGGATAGCCGCGTACTTGGCAAGTGGATGCTGTGGATTCGACCAGGATATAAAAAGGTGTACAAGGGTGGATGCATATCAGTGGAGCACTCACACTTGTCCTGGGCGCACAACTCATGAGCTCCCGCCCCCATTCACACCTTTTCGTGCGAAGCTCTGAAGCAAATCTAAACAATCCAAACCCTTGTTGATGAAAGCTGGGCTGCCATACAGCCCCCAGCTCAACCAACCAAAGTCCAAGGGGGGTTTAACTGAACCAAGCAGTTCAGGGAAGGTCTAGCGTGGAAAAAAGAAGCACCACAAACCTGTGTACTGCGCGCTTGTGTACCTATTGTATGGGGTTTGTGTGAGACTGTGCTTCCTTGGGCTGTCAAGGTCAAGTGAGAATCTCTGTTTTTTATTTTTTTATTATTTTTTTTATGGCTCCTGCGCTACTTCGATTTACCCGTCTGTCTCAACCTTACTATTCTCTTGCCGAGAGAAGAAGAAGAAAATAGAACACCATTTCGCGTCGACATCGTCTTCCTCTTTTTACTTTATTCCTCTCTTGGATCTGTTTTATGCATCCTTATGACAGAGGCGCGCGTTGAGTTGAAGATACACGTCGGTGGTAGCAACGAGGAGAAGTACAGAGGAGAAGAGAAGAGAGCTTAGAAACTCGTCACCTTATTTTTTTTTCCCCTTTTCGCGACAGAGGATACCCGAGGTGTATTTGGAGCCGGTGCTACTGCTGGTCTCTTAGCTCACCCTACCTAAACGTGCCTATCCTACTGCATCATCCCCATATCTACCTAAGCACTAGGTGGGTAAAAAAAAAAACCGTTAGACCACCATGGATTCGAGACAGCCGCCACCACAACAACAACACCCTTTTGCTCGTAATGCCGCATCACCACCAATCTACGGCCGATCACCTTTCCCACCCGCCTCGAATCCGGGTTCCGCGGTAACAACAGCCTCGCCATTTCATCCTTCGAATACCGTATCTGCAGGTCCTACTACGTACGGCGAACACCAGCGACATTCGTCAGACACAAGTCCCTTTTACCCGCAACAAAGACCACCAACTTATGCGTCAGAACCCGCGTCGCATCCCGCGCCCACCCATTCGCGACACCAAAGTTCCTCTTCTATTAATGCTTCTCTGACACGGAATATGCCTCCTCCCTCATCTCCTCAGCATCAAAACCAACAGCCGCCTCCAGTTCCTCATCCGCATCAAATGGGTCATTATAGCGGTCCGCCTGCGCCGAGGGCTCCGCCGGTGAGTCTTGGTCCTCCAGGCGCTTTCCCTTCCGCTAGGGAGCTTCCCGCGCTCAACTCAATACCTCGAACGGGAAGTACAGGGGGGAGCATGTCGATATCCTCGATACTTGGAGGTCCTCCGCCGGCCTCTCGCGAGCCAACTCCCGGGCATCCAGCTTCCTTTCAGCCTCCCGTTACCACTTCTGCCGTTTCAGGTCCCGCGTATGCCGCGCCTGTTCATGCGTCACCTAGGATGCAGCCTGCAAATGAATACGCTGGTTATAATAGGAGGCCCCAGACGCCAGATCAGGGCAGACCTTTTGACACGAGAGATCATAGGGGTGCCGTGATTGGATCACCGCCGCAGGGCATATATGGAACTCCCGAGTTATCCCGATACAACACCCCTCAGGCGTACCCACCACGTGGCCCGCCGATGCCGCCGGCCGACGAGAGAAGGGAACAGCCGGGTCGGATCTCTGCTGCTAATTTACCTCCTAGACCGAGTAGCCAGCCAAGGTCCTACCATGGTATACCCCCGAGACCTGCAGACGTGGGGAGGGTCCCGCCACCTGGAGAACCCGTTTATGGTAGACGAGAAGAGACGCGACCTCCTGGTCCGGCGGGGTACGATCCGGAACGGCAGCCTCGAACTATACCGTACGAAGAACAGCGTCGATTTGTTGCTGATCGAGAAGCAGAATTCCAGGAGAGGGACCGAAGGGAGAGGGAAAGAATGCACTACGAAGAGCAGCGCGCCTTCGCAGCTAATAGAGAGCGGGAAATGGAGAGAGAGCGAGAACGAGAACGAGAACGAGAACGAGAACGGGAAAGGGAACGTGAAAGGGAAAGGGAAAGAGATAGGGAAATGGAAATGCGCGAGAGAGCTAGAAGAGAAAGGACTACATCCGACCCGAGCCGCCCGCATGGTCAACACCCTGCAGAACTTGGTCCTCAGGTGCTTTCACGACAACCACCTTATGGAAGACCAGACCCCCGAGATGCGGCAGCCTGGCAACGGCCTGGGTACGATCAACCACCGCCGAGAGAGTCGTATGGCCAGCCGTATTCCGGCCCGCGACAAAACGAGTTCCCTTCGACTACCGCACCGCCATATGGAGCACATCCTGCTTTCGCACAACCTCACGAACGCTTCCCAGCAACCGGTCCGCCTCCTCACGTGATACCCGTAAGCCAACCAGGTCCACAACCTGCGCATCCTTTCGAGTCGCCTGATAGGCACCGTTTTATTCAGGCCCATCCTCAGCAGCAACCGCCGCCGCCAGCAGGTCATCGAGGTAGGCCGGCGGAGGAGGTTCCTCCTCCGCCTTCAGTCGCGTATAATGGCGGGCCAGGTTCGGCTGTGTTTGAAGTGGGCCGACCGCGTCCCCAAGACGACGGCCCGGCTCCAACTGGTCATCAGAGGGCTTTCCTCGGCATTCAAGAAATCAACCGCAAGGGACGAGTCTCTCCGCTGCCGCAAGCCGTTCAAGGAGCGCAACCTCAACTGCAGGGCCCCGCCGGTGAGCCTGGGATCAAGAGTGAATTCGGCCGTATGTTCTCCGGCATAGGAAGCGGTGTTCGCGGTATCGGTGTCTCTAGCCCAGTGCCACCTGGCATGCAACCCCAGTTCTCAAATGCGGGCCCGCCGCGACGTGATGAAGAGCATCCTGGTCAGGAAGTACTTGTGGATGGCCCCGCGAAGCCGAGAGGGAAGCGGAGAAAAGCCAAAGATGAGGATAGCAAGGGTGATGATGATAGCAATGGTCGAGCTACGCCAGTTGGCCGAGCCAAACGTCCCAAAACCCACGCCGCCCACCACCACCATCACCAGTAAGTCACAAACTCTCATATTCATTCGCTTCAACCGATATTCATTATGATATTCTTTAGTCATCATCATCATCACCATCATGGTCCGGAAAGAGCCCCTTCGCCCCTTCAAGCGGCCAATGGACAGCTCAAAGGTCTAAAGACTAACACGCCTATACCTTCTCCCACACGCAAAGACTTTGCTGCTTTTACTCATCACCACCAACCTCCGAGATCAGCGCCGGCCCCGTCTTCGAAGACGGCAGCACCCGGCTCGACTATTATTCCCAAACCGAGACATAAGATCTCGTCTCAAGCGGTGCTCGATAGCATTGCGGATCGGCCGCGGAAGCACTTGGGTGACATAGTGTACCAGGTGACTTTGAAGCCCACGAAGTTAGAATCGTCTCATGCTAAATTTGGCTACTCGTCTAACCCCCGCCCTCTGCCTATGGATGTGATCAAGGGCAACGAAAATTCAACCCTGACGGTGAAGATCCCTCGTGTACACTTAAGCCCATCCGCGCGTGAGGAGATTACTTCCCGCCGAGCTGTTTGGGGCACGGACATTTATACAGACGACTCGGATGTCGTTGCTGCATGTATTCATGCGGGTTGGATTCGAGGCGAGTGGAGTGACGACGTGGATATCGACTTGTTGGACCTGTACAAGCCTACGACTTCAAAGAAGCAACGCGCGGCACCTGCTGAGCAGCACCTCGAGGTATTGACTTCGCCGCCAGCCTCGGGTCCTGTCCGAGTCCCTGCCGACCGAGATTTGCATGTCACGCTTCTCGTGCTCCCCGCACTCGAGAAATACAGCAGCTCAACGCGCTTCGGTATCCAGAGCCGCGAGTTCGGTGGGACTTATAACGGACGTAAGTCAATCCACGACGGGATTAGCTTTATGATCCTAAGTGTGCGCTGGGTAGACGGTGCGGCGCCACAAAGCAGACTTCGCGGCAAGGCTCGTAGGGAACGCATCAGGAAAGCCATGAGCGAGGTCAACCGGAGCCAAGTGGTAGATATAGGGGAAAAGGAGATTCTGGGTAAGGCGGCCGTATCAAGGGATTCCAGCGCCGGCAAAGAGAATGGTACCGGAAAGGCGGCCGACGGTAACAGAGAGGGCAATAAAGAGAATCGCCCTACAGCTGCACCGAATGGTGGTGTATCGCTCATATCAGGCCAAGATAAAGCTAATGCGGACGCGAATCCGGATCTAGACGGCGGGGTTCGAGAAAAGAACCGTTCAACGGACGACCAAAGCGCAAAGACGGTAGATGCCATTACGACTGCTAATGCTAGAGAAGAAGCCGAAAAGCATGGAGTGGGTGAACCCATAAGCACTTCTACGTAGCATTGAGCTAGAATTGCACCGATACGAAGGGGTTTAGAAGGTAGTAGGATTTGTATTGGTCACACAATGGACATATTTAAAAGCTACAGTCGGGGGGGATATGTATAGTAGAGGGATCCGGCACAGCGTTGCTTTTCTTCTACATTCCATGTCCTTCACAGTTTTCCCAAGATACCTATACCTACCTATCTGGCTGTTATTGCTTCTCTTCACCTATATACCATAGCGCGGAGTTATGAGCAAGAAAAGTGTATGATGATATAAAATATAATCATCCAATGTTGCACTCGTATAACAACGATACTTCAATATTGCACCAAGTGATGTGACTATTTCCACCTCTTTTATGTTTAATAATTTGGCGGTTCCGTAGTGTGTTGTTGCTCGAGCAATCGTTCAGCTTGAGATGGACCTTGATACCTTGATACCTTGATACCTTGATACCTTGACGACCTCGGTAACTCGATTGGGTATATATGTATTTCCCACGGACCTCAATTGATGTGACCAATACCAAAATCAGGACGCACGACCTTAATTATTTGTAGTTATAGTTATATAGTGAATGGTTAGGTACTCAGTCATCTAGGTAGGCTTCCCTAGAAATCCGTAACCCGCCCGTTGAAGCTATAATCGCCCGTGGGTCCCCAACGCAGAGGCTCATTCTTAGGCCCGCCGACCTCGCCCGTCTTGGGGTTGACGTCGCCTTCGAATTCGGGCGGCGCACCTTTACGCAGTGGGACCGATAAGGATTCACCTTCGACGACCGGCCCTTCTGCTGCTGCTGCTGCTGCTGTGGCAGAAGGATTGGAAGATACGGGAGAGCTGAAATCCGGGGATGAGGTCGGGTTGAAGCCCTCTTGCGTGTTGGCTGTGCGCTGGAGCCGCTCGAATTCGGCTTGTTGGTCGGGGGGCAGGCGGGGCGGCGACGGTGTGAATTGAAAGGGGTTTGGATTTGGGTTTGGGTTGGAGTTGTTGGAGGCGTGGCGGTGGTGTTGTAGGGAGAAGAGAGATGGTGTTTGGAGGAGGGATGATTGTAGGTGCGGGTGCGGGTGCGTGTGCGTGTGCGTATATGGACGTGCGAGTCGGGTAAGGTTGATGAGGCGGGACACCATCGTGAGAGTATTTTGTTTTATGCGTTTTATGCGTTTTACTTTTTTCTTTTATCTGATTTTCTGATTTATATAGGCGAGATGGTCATTTTAAGTTGGGAGTCTTATTCTTTGGGTTTCGCGTTTCTTCGTTCTTGGAAGTGTGGCAATTGGGAACGGTTTCGATTTGTAGGTATGATGATTTATTTGGATGAGAGGGAATACTCTATGTATATATGATATATGCATGCATGTACATATGCATCTATGCACGTATGAGAGGTTGATATAAGCACGGATTTACTTCGGTACACTATTGGAAGTGTTTTCGACTTCCGTTTTCTCTTGCGAGATTGCATCTGATTGGCTTATGGCCTCACACACTTACAGTACAGACATGCCTGAGAAATTTTATGATATTACTAGTTAATGAGGTATGTAAAGGGTCCGCAAGGTCAGTATCATGACTCGAGATTAGCCCATAGAAAAATACAAAATAAGAAATAAAAAAAATAAAAAAAAAAATGACAGTGGTAGCACTATAAATCAGAACAAAAAGAATACAAACGAGCTCAGCAGGGATCGAACCTGCAATCTTCAGAGGGCGGAGAACCAAGGATGGAACCGAAATCTGACGCCTTACCATTAGGCCATGAACCCCATTGGTGTTGATGAAATTTTTGTACGCAAACTAGCTTTATATTTAACAAATAAACAGTTTAGTTTCTGTTGGATCGAGTTAAGTGGTGGGCCCTCCCTTGGGAAGCCGAAAAACTTAACTCGTTATCAAGGTACACATCTGTCCATATGCCGGCTGACCGGGCACCATGACCTTAGGTGGTAGATAAGTAGGTATATATTACAACAAAACCATCCATCTAGCACATACGACCATAGGATCTGGAAAATTCGGGATCCCGTCCGCTCTCCCCTAGACAAGCCGGATACCGCCGGATTAGTAGTTGGGTCGGTGACGACCAGCGAATCCCCGGTGTTGTATGTTTTATATTTTTTTGCCTTTCTTCTTTTTCCTATTTCTTTTCCTTAGGCCTTCAACTTAGCTGCGTGGATGGGTATACCTATCTGTTTGTCCCTTTCTATTATCTAACCCATTATATTATTGTAGGTCTGAGGTTAACATTTCGTAAGGTAGTATAATAGATACACTAGTTGCCGTAGTCATAGACAGATTTAGTTGTATCAAGTCAGGTATTAACCGTAGATTGTAGTTGTAACGAAAATGTAATGAAGTGTTTTGGATAATTAACTAACCACCTTATGTAAATATACATAGGTAAATACTACGTACTTCGTCGAGTGGCGTTATGACTCAATCGATCTGGTTGGTCCCTTGCATTTTTTTTACCTTTATGTAGTGTACATAGCAGGGGGCCGGCCCACCCGTTCGGAAACCGACGAACAGGGATAAATTGAAGTACAGTGGGATGGCGGGGTCAAGTTAAGATACCTGGTACCTAGAATGATTCACCCCTCCGGTTATCGCTTTAGAAAAATATATCTGTATACGGAATACGGAAATACACAATATCTTCCATTTCCATTTTGAGATACCGGCCTAAGAACATCTTTCGTTTTGATTTTGACTCAGACCTCCAACATCGACTCTCCCTTATAAAGAGTTAACTTCTAACTCTGTTCCTACAAGCTATCTCTGTCTCTCGCTTCTCCTCTTAGACCAATTGACTCGGCTTGGGTAAATATGGAGGCTCTCAAACAGACGTTTAAGCGCTGCAAAGCAGAGAAGAGGGTATGATTCAATTTTGTTCCTTTTCTCCCTTGCGCTATGTATATACGATCCTACGTCTTCCACTTGACTAACGATTGAGTATAGGCTGCCTTAGTAACATATGTCACTGCCGGTTATCCCAAACCCGAGGACACTCCCGATGTTTTGGTAGCAATGCAAAGAGGTGGCGCTGGTATGTTGTGGCAAATGGATAGATTCGAAATGGATGCAGACGGCAGCAACTAACAAAATACAGATGTGATCGAGCTCGGTGTACCCTTCACAGACCCAATCGCCGACGGTCCGACGATTCAGACCGCGAACACTGTCGCTCTCGACAATGGTGTTACCATCAAGTCTACTCTCGGCATGATTAGCGAGGCTAGGTCTAAAGGCTTGACTGCCCCAGTTTTGCTGATGGGCTACTACAATCCCTTGCTCAGCTACGGCGAGGACGCTTTACTACGAGATTGTCAGGAGGCCGGCGTCAATGGCTTCATCGTCTGTGATCTCCCCCCTGAGGAGGCCGTATCCTTCCGAAAACTGTGCAGCAGGGGAGGCTTATCCTATGTGCCCCTAATTGCGCCCGCGACGTCTGATACCCGTATGCGAATCCTCTGTGCCCTCGCCGATTCTTTCATATATGTCGTATCCCGCATGGGTGTGACGGGTGCTCTAGGTACCCTCAATGCCAACTTGCCCAACTTGCTCGAGCGAGTTAAGAAGTATAGCGGAGATAAGCCTGCCGCTGTTGGATTCGGCGTGTCGACACGGGAACATTTCCAATCTGTCGCGTCCATTGCCGATGGTGTCGTCATAGGCTCACAGATCATCACGACTTTGCAGAAGGCTGAGGAGGGCACCGGTGCTAAAGTTGTCGAGGAGTACTGTGCCTACGTAAGTGGACGAGACTCTCAGGAGACAACCCGGGAAGTTGGCGTAATCGAGGCTATCAGTGCTGCTAAAGAGCCCAGCGGCGAGGATGTAACAGTCAACGGTGTAATTACAGAACATGACGATTCCGCGTTAGTAGCTCAACTTGCTGCGCTTCATGGCAAGATCCCTGAGCGGTTTGGCGAGTTTGGCGGCCAGTACGTGCCGGAGTCACTCATGGACTGCTTATCTGAGTTGGAGGAGGGCTTCAACGCCATCAAGGACGACCCTAAGTTCTGGGAGGAATACAGATCTTACTACCCTTGGATGGGCAGGCCCGGCCAGTTACACTTGGCCGAACGGCTTACGGAACACGCTGGAGGCGCCAACATCTGGCTAAAGAGAGAAGATCTAAACCATACCGGATCTCACAAGATTAACAACGCTTTAGGGCAGCTTCTACTAGCGAGACGGCTAGGGAAAAAGAAGATCATCGCCGAGACTGGTGCTGGACAACACGGTGTTGCAACTGCCACAGTCTGCGCCAAGTTCGGTATGGAATGCACAGTCTTTATGGGTGCCGTAAGTTGTCTTTTACCTGAATCTAGCATCTACTCGCAGTAAAACTTACAATATGGTTTAGGAAGATGTCCGCCGTCAAGCATTGAACGTATTCCGAATGCGGCTGCTCGGTGCCAAGGTTGTCGCTGTCGAAGCTGGTAGCAAGACTCTACGAGACGCCGTCAACGAGGCGCTCCGCTACTGGGTCGTCCACCTTGAGGATACCCACTACATCATCGGATCAGCTATTGGTCCTCACCCCTTCCCTACCATAGTTAGGACCTTCCAGTCAGTTATCGGTAACGAGACGAAGGCCCAGATGCTTGAAAAGAGGGGCAAATTACCCGACGCTGTTGTAGCTTGTGTTGGTGGAGGTAGCAATGCTGTTGGCATGTTCTACCCTTTCTCTAACGACCCTAGCGTTAAGCTTCTGGGCGTCGAAGCCGGTGGCGACGGCGTGAACACTACCCGACACTCGGCTACGTTGACCGGAGGTACCAAGGGTGTCCTACACGGCGTTAGGACGTACGTGTTGCAAAACGAGTTCGGACAAATATCAAACACGCACTCGGTCTCGGCTGGTCTGGACTACCCGGGCGTTGGCCCCGAACTATCGTCCTGGAAGGATTCGGAGAGGGCCAAATTCATCGCCGCTACCGACGCCGAAGCGTTTATTGGCTTCAGACTTATGAGCCAGCTGGAAGGTATTATACCCGCACTCGAGTCAGCCCACGGTATTTACGGAGCTATCGAGTTGGCCAAGACGATGAAGAAAGACGAGGATGTGGTCATATGCCTGAGCGGAAGGGGTGACAAGGATGTACAGAGCGTCGCGGAAGAGCTACCTAAGCTGGGCCCCCAGATCGGATGGGATTTGCGTTTCTAAGTGGTGAAGGTTATCTTGTAGGTTTGGTCGAGAATGGAAAACCTTTACGAAGCTCTCAGACTCGGCGTTGGATGGCGTGGAGGGACCCTAAAAAGTGAAGATAATATGATACATGGTATTGGGCGACATATAGATGCGCATCTTGATGCATTTTATACAAATTGATATAACTACACGGTACAATGCCATATCTTTTATATCTTGTCTCTCCACCTTTGCGCCGTGAGATACTCGAGCCGTTGAACACCCTTGATTTCGTGAAGCTAGTAAAGCAAGTCGTATCATACTTTAGGTGCCTTGTCGTCGTCGTCGCCGACAGATCTCTTTTCCTCTGTGGTGTCCTTAACATCCTCGATGGTCTCTTCAGCTTCCCTAGCCTCCCTAACTTCTCCAATTGCCTCCGCGTCTTCTTTGATAAGCAAGTCCTCGCCGTCCTTTACTTCGCCTATGACAAACTCATCGCCGCGCTCCAGCATACCATCGACCTCACTCAACACAGCCTCAGATGTAACGCCGTCAGCAACTAATTCGCCGGGAAGCGTTTCCCCTCCGTCTTCCTCCTTAGGCGGCAGACCGAGAGCGGCGCGCTCGCGGGCGAAACGCTCGCGTATGGCAGGCGTCTGCATGATCTTCCAGCGGAGAGCCCAGCCCGCGGGACCCAGGTCCTTGATGCGCCGCGCCTTGGAGCCGAGGAGATACTCGTCGATGCCGCCGAGGCGGTCAACGGTCTTAAGGACCTGGGTCGTTAAACGGGTGCGCACGAAGGCCCCTAGGCTCGGCGACCACAGGCGCTTGGTGTGCCGGTTCGGAAGCCAGGTGGTGCGGGACTTGTTGCCGTGGTCCGGGGCGACGACGTTGCCGAAGCGGATCTTGGAGCCGGCGAATATGCCCTCGTTCGCTTGCTTGTAGGTCCGGAATCGGCCGTATGGGTATGCGGGGACTTGGTCCGCGGGCACGGTTAGGTGCGAGGGCTTTTGCCGGTGGCTTGGAGGGGTGCTGCTGAAGGCGCGGTTTGCTGATGCTGTTGCTGTTGTTGCTGTTATTGTGCTAGGTATTCGCTGGGAGGAGGTGCTGGATGATATGTGGGATGTAATCGTGGAGAGTCGACACGGCGACGGTGCTGAGAGTCGTATTGGCGCCATGGTGTTGGCCGGTTTGTTGTATAATTAGCGGCGCTTATATTGAGAAGTATGCTATTATGGCGACATGGATATTTAGGAGCGGCCGGTGTCTTCTTTTAGCGGTGGAATTGACACCGCAATTGGTGGATGTTGGATGTTGGATTATATCACGAACTTTTGACTTTTTGGAATTGAAGATTTGCAGATAACTTCCCTTTGATTCAATATGCGGTATATACCGATGTATACATAAGGGCTATAGTACTTTTGGAAGTATATGCAGGTATCCATGCAGCAAGTAACTACCCAGTGTAAAAGCTAAAATGCCGTGAATGTCATGTGGCAGCGCTCCATGTTCGCGATTTCCTTATTCTTATCGATCGCGGGGTTCACCGCACAAGTACATAACCCCGTACATGAGGTACATGGTACCTAATCATTCAGTTCCAATTCAGAACTTGAATTCAACAATCTACACCTTCGATTAGACATTGCGCATCTAACAACGAAAAGAAAAAATAAAAAATAAAAACAAAAACAAAAACCACAATGCTCCCCCCCATAGACGAAGCTGTCCTCAAGCAAAACCCTGATTTCGATCGTCTCTACAAAACCCTTACCGGCTCTCTTCTTAACCCTGACTGCTCGACACGGAGCAACGACCCGGCAGCTAAGAAGCGCGATGCCGTACACAATGTACGTTGAGGTCACATACACATACACTATTACGTAGCCAACATAGACGAATATGGGATGTAATAAGCAAGTCAATTGACTAACCTAGTTCTCGTCCAATCTAGGAACTTAAAGCCCACCGTCTCAAGGCTACAAAACAATATCTCCTCCGTCGTGCGATAGCAGCAGCAGCTTGTCCCGAACCAAGCACGAGTACGAGCACGAGCACGAGCACAAGTAGCACCGCTTCAACTAAGCTACAACAACCGCAATCGCAACCACAACAATACCTATCCCAACCTACCCGACGATCAAGACCAAGACCTCAAACACAAACTTCCACCACAACAACCCAAGCCCCTCCCCCCGAAATCCTCGATCTCCTCCTTCTACTCCCACCCTTCCTCTCCAACCCAACTTCCCTATCATCCTCCGCCCTCACTCTCCTCCTATCCCGCCCCCCATTCTCCGACCTCCCCTCTCTCTTCCCCCTCCTAACCGCCACTATATCCAGCACCCTATTCCGACAAGCCAACTCCCTAGCCCGCGTTCTCAACCCCCACACCAACCCCTCCTATATCCACCGCTCCGTCCCAGCCATCGCCTCAACAACCACCGCCTTACTATCCACCATATCCAGCTCCGCGCTAGCGCTATCGCTTGCCCGCCAGCGCGCCGCGTACGACTTGACGACGCATCTAGCGCGATACGCAGCGATTCTAGCCCAGCTCATCCGCGTGCTCGAGTCGAAACACGGTCCCGCCGCGCGGTCCGCCGAGCTACGGGCCGAGGAGGCTAATCTTTCCGTGCGCGTCTGGGCCCTTGCCGCCGAGGCCTTGCTCTGGGACACCCGACGCGCCGTGTACCCTCCCGAAGCAAGGCGCGCTCTGACCAATTATAAGCGGCACTTGGGTGATGCGCGGATGCGCCTTGCTGATACCCTACGTGTGCGCCAGGCAGAATTACAAGACTACGGGGTGATGCTTGCCGAGAAGGGGAAGCGTGGAGGAGAACAGAGCAACAAAGAGCGGACGATGCGCGAGATGGCTAGGGTGTGGCGTGAGATGGAGTCACGACTTAATGAAGTCAAGGGCGACTTGGATCGATTGAAATAATCCATTATTTACCCAGTCCCCAACCTCAATGCGCGACTCTATTTTTTTTTTTTTTTTTCTCTCCTTACCTAGCAGGCCAGTCTGTTAATCGCAGATATGATGATTATTTTTCACACTATTATTCCGTGGATAACAGCATTTGGCAATGAATCTCATTTGCGTAGGTATCTAGTGGTGGTGGTATCACAAGCATCGGCTGTCTACCGTCCAACTTTCGGTGAGACAGCCCAAGTAGATGCAAAAGACAGGAAAGGGAAAAATAGCAGAGATGTATCAAGAATATCGCCCCATTGCCAACCAGAGGAACATCGCAATGGACAGGTGCTTTTGCCAACCGATCCATTCATCTAGGTCATTCGTCTATCTCGTACCATCATATCGGGCATGGTGCCTTTTTACCTTTTCCCCTCGAAATATTCACATCGTACAGAACATTCCCCTTGTGCAAGATTTCCACCTTCCCTTCCTTCACTCAAGTAAACAAGGAGGTCAACTTAACCCTTGACCTTGTAGATAGCCTCGGCTAGGCGTCCGACGTTGTCGGATGTGATGCCAGCGACGCTAATACGACCATCCTTTGTAGCATAGACGCTATGCTCCTTGGCCAGTTTCTCCATGGAGGCCGCATCGAGACCGGTGTAGGCAAACATGCCGATCTGTGAAGTGATATGGCTCCAGTCATGAGCGCTGCCGAGCTTCTCAAGGTTTTCCTTGAGGAGAGCACGCATGGAAATGATACGGTCAGCCATGCCCTTAACCTCACCTAGCCACTGCTTGTTAAGGGCCGGGTCGTTGAGGATCTCAGATGCGATACGTGCGCCGTGGAGCGGAGGGTTCGAGTATAGGGGTCGGATGAGGATCTTGATCTGAGACTCGAGGCGCTTCTTCTCCTCGGGCGACGAGGCAACGATGGAGAAGGCACCTACGCGTTCTCCATAGAGACCCTAGTTCCATCCTCGTTAGCCCGGTCACAATGCTTCAAATGAGTGGGAAGGGTAATAGGTGACGTACCATATTCTTAGCAAAACTTTGCGCTAGGCAGATGTTATGGCCTTGCTCGACAAAGTGTCGTACGGCGAAGGCATCCTTGTTTGTGTCACCGCTGGCGAAACCCTGGTAGGCCATGTCGAAAAAGGCATAGTGACCTTGAGCCTTAACGGCATTGCTAATCTCCTTCCACTGCTCGGTGGTAGGGTCGACGCCAGTCGGGTTGTGGGCGCAAGCGTGGAATAAGAATATACTTCCTTTAGGAGCGGCCTTGATGTCCGCTAGCATTCCTTCGAAGTCTAAGCCGATGGTGTTCTTGTCATAGTAGCGGTATTGCTCAACCTTGAGACCAGAGTCGTGGAAGACTGCTTTATGGTTGGCCCACGAAGGAGTTGGGATGTAGATGGTCTTGTCGCCCGGATAGAAGCGGGCCAGGAAGGCAGCGGCGATGCGCAGAGCTCCAGTGCCTGAGATAGACTGGGTGATGACCAGGCGTTCAAGGGCAGATGAGCCCTTGCCATAGGCCAGCTCGGCGGCTGCCGTGGTAAACTCGGGGAGGCCAGTGATGCCGAGATATTCCTTATTCAAGCGCTTCGCGACGATCTTGTCCTCGGCGGCACGGACGGAAGGAAGCACATAAGGCTTGCCTTGGTCATCTCGGTAGGCACCAACACCTGGAGAGGATTGTTAGTCTTCGGGGAATGCCGACGTCCGCCTTGACCATTGAGATATGGGGAGCGTAATAGGAAAGAAAGAAAGAAAAATATGTCTAACGTACCTAGGTTGATCTTCTTCTCAAAGGAATCGGCCTTAAAGGCTTCGGTGATACCTACGCGGGGTAAGCGGGATGATTTCAAGCTTTAATTATTAGTATTAAGAGAGAAGTATATACCAAGGATAGCCTAATGAGTAGTAGGAAACCTTTATGTTAGCTATTAACTAAAGACGAAGCCTTTACGAATCCGAGATAAATCCGTAGCAAAGACGGTAAAGGTAAAACTCACATCCTACATAATTATTCCCATATTAGCATTTCTCACTCGTTTATTACACTTTCAATTAACTCAAAAGTACGGAATAACGAAAAATAACATACCGGAGGGCCTTGAGGCACATTGGCCCAGGTAGACCCAGCTCTCGTAGCCTGGAAGGCAATAGCTGAGGCCGGTCCCCGACAGGTTGCAGCTTGGCGAGAGGCGATGCGGAGTGCGGGAAGCATGGTGAAAGAGATATTTTGTTTTATCGGATATTGAAAAGAATGATAAAAAAGAAAGAAATGTAAAAGGAGAAAACAACAAGAAGAAGTTTAATATTTCACAAACGTCCGATGGTTAAAGTCCGAAGTTAGGGAAGACCCAGTGACTTGTGTGAGTAAATTTTAAAGATGGTTTGGGAAAGTTGTCGAACGATGTCGGATCCTGATAGAGAATTAATTAGCTGATAGGGCAGATGGGAGAATTTAGCTCAGGGACCGGGGCTGCTTGCTGTTTTCAGGTCAGATCAAGTTAAGTAAGTCGCGACCCGACAAAGCTTGCAAAGGGCTAGGTTAGAGGCCTTGGTAATTGATTGGCACGTCACCTAAAGTCCACCTAAAGTTAATTCCCTTCGTCCAGATCACAGTTCCTTCCCCAGGTTTTTCAGCGCAGCTTAATTATTAGCGCACCAATGCTTATCCCCAGTTGAGGCCCACTACTCCGAATCGGCTTACCTATTCCCGGTTGATCATCCAATCCCGTCCCCCGGCGTCAGGGCGTTCTCTTTTATCAGATCCGAATAGGCCGATGAAGTGCTGATCCACGAAGATCCATCTACATAGGTACTTCATAAAAGGCGTAATTCTTTAACCATGAACGGCATTATATCATTACTCATGTCTCATACAAACAACGCCATTCCTCCATGCGCCATGCCCACTTCGGAGATTTCCCGGATGCTATCATATCTGCTCTCCATGTTAGATCTTCTTCCCGCCGTGTTTCCGTTGTGATCTCCATCGCCTAATTGCTCAATCTCTACTATTTCGTCTATCGTTACTGAACTTCTCTCGCTAAAAAAGGTATATCGTTCTGAGTGGCCTGGTGGCAGCGGCCACTGTCGACTATCCCAGACGTCATCATCGCCGTTGAAAATGGATGCAGGGGCGACGATAGAACCCCTTGTATCCCCCCAGATAGAGCTTCGGGTGGTATCAGAAACCGAGTCTCTGGGCTCGTCGGTGCTGCCTTGCTCTATCTGAGATACTGTACTATCTGATGATGTTCCTAGCTCTCGTTTCGGTATCTCCTTGATATCGCGCCGCTGCTGTCGCCGGTAGCAACGCACTGCTACTAGGGTCGCGATTAGGAACGTCGCCACTGTCACCGCTGATGCGACGATAGCTATGATCTGCCCGGTGCTAAGACCAGTTTCGTTCGACGACATATCAGATATAACCAAAGGTTTTTGGGCGCTACCAGGGTGGAGATGTCAACATAAGATTTCTTTTAAGCCGGCCCTTAACGTCACAACCCTCCAGTTTGCGATATCGAGGGGCTAAAGGTAGGGGTTAATGTTATGACAAGACGATAAACTCGCTCCTGGGGTCTTTATCGGACGAAGGACCTGCCCGTAGACGTAGGACATGTGCCGATCTGCTCTGGGATAATCTGGCCCTTAACGCAAGTGAAGCATAGACCAATCACGGGTAGCATGAATCTGATTCCATCCAGGATAATAGCCAGGTAATGCGATCGTTGTAGTTGAATCAGACAGTTGCAGGATTAGACTTTTACGTTCTGCAGACCTCAAGTCTAGTATTTGATTATTTCCAAAACTCGATAGACGTTTGTTCTCAAAGTTGACTGTGTCCATACTAGGATACACCAAAGATAAATGGGTTAGAATCTGCGAGAACAACACCACTTGTTTGGAAACGCTTCATAATAATGGGAATGGCGGAGATAGCTAGGTGTTCTACACGTCAAACTAATAACGGTCTCGGCGGGGGATTGAGAGAGAAACACCCTAGATTTATGGTGCCCTAGAGACCGACACAATCTAGAAACAGCGCATGTTTATCATAGAGTGATATAGGATGTAGTAAGGGAGGATTCGCGGGAAGGATGAAGAATCGATCGACTTGAGATCAGCTGCCATGTGCGTAGAATGGCACGAATCTATGTCTTAACAGGTGTAGCCGTCATACGGCTACGGCGGGAATTAATACAAGTTGGTAAGTTGGTAAATACCTTATAAATGGGCTTAGATATAGGGGGCTAGTCTAACAAAGGTCGACATCGCGACTGAGCCGCAATGTGACATACGGTCAATAAGCTCATCGTAACCCACCATAATCCGATTCATCTCTCCTAAGCTCAAATTTACTGCTTGATAAGGAGATATATCGAAAAATTGCGATGACGTGACTCTTTTAATTCGTCGTTTAGCTATATATCTAGGTACCTAAGGTATATAGATATATACCTAGGTAGATATAGGTATAAAGCAGATAGTTATTTGACACAAAGAACAAATAGTAAGTTTCTTCAATACATAGGTAGCATTCAGCTTATCCGAAATAGGGGGCGCATTCCGCATATATTATACGCTCCGTCATGTGGCTGGGGAATTTCTGGAGGATCATAGAGTACAACTTACCTCTTACGACTTTTCCGGTGAGTACTACTATCTTGCATGGAAACCAATCAGGGTCTACGTTGCGAGCACGGTAGCTCCTCGAAGGAAGTAGAAAGGTAGCATATAGATACGTAGTAGGCGGTGGTGAGGCGTAGGTACACCTTCGACTGTAACCCAACCCAGATCCTACCAGCCACTCCCAACCAAACAACGCTCAGGGGTCTTGGCCAATAGCTGCTACCATATAAATGAAGTTCCCACGACGGCTGATTTTCAAATCATAAATTTTCGACAGCCTCGTGGGTTTCAGATTTGGTTGGCCTGGATTTATTCTAACTCTTTATTTATAAAGATGCGAAACGCGACCCCAAATTCCTGGCATAGGTAATTTATTTCACTGCGGCCCTCCTCCAAGTCACCTTTATCAGCTCTACACAAACTTTGGTTGTATGTAGCAGCAGCAGCAGTAGTAGTAGTAAATATCCTCCTTTCCTCGTAAGATAGTTTTGAAATGTGTGCTTCTCACCTCGAGCAATTTGCCTCTTTGTAAGCTTAAATTACCAGCCTTCTAAAATATGATATCACGCTTATTTCGAGAGATTCAAGCGTTGTACTGCAATGTGGATAGAGATGAGATTATTTATAGTAGCATAGAGCAGCTAGCTTATGATTGCAAATCCTACTTAATTTTTCGGTGAGTGTCCGAGCAGGAGAAGGTAAATGATAGTATCTATCAATATTGCATTGGGTGCTATGATAACTACCTGAGTATTAAGAAAGCTCGCGACGTAATCAATACGAACAAAGATGTAAAGCCAAGACCTAGAAATTTCATTTAGAATCGGAGGGACGTAGCCTTACCCATTAGGACTTTAAAGGGCAAAAATAATTTCGGGAAATACAGAGGTTGGGACGGGGACAAAATGAGTTAGCTGGATTGAATATAATAGGTAAAACGGCTGTACAATTAATTATTGATATGATCCATCCTATTACCTCGGATGGCTACTCAAAGATACCTGGTCTACCTACTATGAGAGCTCAACATGTTACATGGTTACGGGTGACCAACTTACATCCCCTAATTTGCCCAACGTTGGGCATTTTGACAGTATTTTCACTTCACCAAAGTTGGTATCGCTTAATTGGCCCCCCAGCCACGTTGCTACGGTATTGCTATCCGTTTCTAGTACACCTACTAAGGACATTTTGTTTATGGGATATTATATAAGCAATGAATAATCGCGGTTTTCTTTCATTACCTCTCTAGGTCAGTTAGCTTGGAAGATACTATTAAGGACTCTATTTACTACCATTGAGTAAAAATATAAGATATCATTGTCATTCTTAGTTTATTGGCCTCATGATCTAATACGGGATAAGATTCGTTCGGATCGGTATTACCGATATTAACTCTGTAAAAACGTTCCGGCGCTTGTTCCGTTGTAGCAATCTTTGTGACCCGAAAGTGTAGAAACTCCTCACAGCCTCGTCAAGCCATCACACGCATGACTCACGTACATAAATATCCCGAAGATTTCGATAGTTTGGAAATAATGGGTTAGTTGGTTAGTGGGTTGAGTCCCGGAAAGAGATAAGGACACATAATTCGAATTGTCCTGCCAAAGCTTGTACTTCAGTAGCATTGTCCTTGGCTACCTCATAGCCATAAACTGCTCGAAAAGAGGGACGGGATCATGTTGTGTAACTGACGATCAGGGTTAATTTTAATATTTTTACATTGACTGCAACTGACATCCTTACTGCCAGCGCGTTAAGCCAGTGGCTGGTAAAACCAGGCATTCACTATTCACCATATCCTTAGTATATTCGTATAGGGTTATGTTTTCTCTCCACACCTTTAACGATTACCACCTAATGCTACCCACTAAGAAATAAGACGTCCGTGGCCTGAACTTGTTCTTGAAAATCAAATAAAAACGCGAGACGTGTCTCCAGTTTCTTGTTTACAAAGTCAGCACCTTACCGCCATGGGAGTTCATACACACGGGAAAACTAGTAAATTCAAAAAGGTTAGTTAGAAAGTCAGCTACTTAAGCATGTTCGATACACTACAATATTTATTCATCTATATCTAAAGCCGACATGTAAAGCATTGACAGTCTACCCGTTAGAAGAGGTGGCACCCACCTTTTTCCTGGTCACCAACGGTACTATTTCTTATCAAGTCTTCCTATCTAGGTAATCAAGTAAGTCCTAGAACTCATAATAAGGTACAATCGAAGCATCTACGGAGTTGCCTATTTTCCCCCTATTGATGTTTCTTAGTTGCTTGCCTCAGGGGGGTACCGGCTATCCTACCTAAGGCATCAATAATCTTAATGTCGTTTAAAACATACAAACCAATAACCTAGTAGATTGCCACATGGTGTAATGTTTAAATTACTCGGAGAGAAAGGCAAGTTTTTCTTGTCTAGACCTGGGCGCATTCACAAACACGTATGTTGATACAGCCCGACATATTACTCAATATTACTGCGGAAATGCCTCCATACTGCGGCAACTTGCGCACAAGTCGGAGAGGATGTACCATGTAGCCCAAGTAAATTATACTACGAGTCATTTTTCACTTACTCAACGATGATTATGTAAATCCAAAACCTTCTATGCGTTATTGAGTTGGAATTGGTCCAGTATGAGTCCTCGAGGAGGATGATCCGAACATTCAAACTAGGATAGTGACACGACTCTTCGTCACAGACTCTCCCAGCGCCATAACGAGGAAGATCCCATTGCAATGACTCCAAAAAGTCACATGCAGCCACGTCAGTCATTAAGACTTACAACACTATCACTTTTGTCCACCCTGTAAGGATACATATGGTGACCCTTGGCGATCCGTACACGTAGCCTACCCCAGAGGTAGGTAGGCTCTGATTCATCGGGCCGGAAAATGAAATTTTATTTCTATTATGCCTTCGAAGGATTTGTGGCGGCCAAGATCTAGCCCATGGACCACAAAGGTGGGATAGTTGGAAGATTAACCCTTTTCCCTCCCCCTCCCCCTTACCCTTCCCTGCCTAGGTTATTTGACTGCTACGTTAATATCATATACAATGTAGACCATCATTAAGCGGGTTTGTACCTACTGTAACCAAATGATGAATAATACGAATAGGTAGTGAGCTAAGACACTCTGACAGTTGGAAAGAAGCCCTACCTAGCCCCAAGGCCGATAGCTGTTTCGTCGGCTTGCAAAGAAAATATGTCTACTAACGACCAATTAAATCATATAGCGTATCCAAACAATGTACATAACACATCAATATGAGGCCAATTCGGAATCAAAGGTCGAGAGCTTGACTTGGTATGTCTGCTCATAGGAAATTTTAGGTATAACATTGACACCTGTCACGCATGCATGTAAGGACCTCATTCGTTAGCATCGCAATAATGTGAACGGGTAGTTGCATACGTTAAATGTGACGATAAATCTATAGCTACCAACGAAAATCGGCGCGAGTTCCAATAACTTCCATACTTTGCTGCATGGATGTAAGTACCTACTTACAGGTAGTCAGTTTATAATTATTCCACCTTCTTCTTTGGCCAGGGTGGAAATTAATCAGCAGCTGACCTTAGCTGCATGGAACAAATCATCTTAGGCCCAGAAACATGCTCTGCTAGTGTTTAATATTTTTTTAATAGGGGGTTGCGAGAGCTTAGAGCAAAAGCCCGCAGGGACAATGGCGTCGAAAAGACACGCCACACATCCTTCGAAGATAGCCGAATCGGATATTACTACGTGAGATATGACTTATCACACTTCTCGCATCGTAACTGTGGGAGGGTACATTGATGAAGAATTTCCTAGGCCGGCCGATGTACCCAGGAGATTACTGACCTTAAATATGCCCACAAACCATGCCAGAAGGACGATACTTAAGCAGGAATAACTGCAATCTGAAGAACGAAGACGCAGACATCATGAGCTGAGGAGAGCTCTAATACGATCACCTAGATATGCCTGATCAAGCAGTAAGTTTAAGAAACTGATGCCAAAACCTCTCGATCTGGGCTAATTCTCTCAAGGAGATTCGTCCCGGTAGAAGAAACCGAGAAGGTTGTAGCATACAGGGAAGACATGGACAGCCCACCCAAGCCGACACCAGCATGACCCCAGCAATTAACGGGAGAGGACAACTTACTGTCGACACATCAATCCAAGACGCCCTAGAAAGGGAAATCGTCCTTGATAGTACGGATTATAGCTCGGATGAACACAAACTACCGTCTGAGCAGATGCACGAACCCGACAATCATGGAGCACTTCACGGTGGCGATAGCGAACGGCTGGTCCACGATAGACATCCACACCTTGCTTGCTCCTCCTTCACACAGGCCTTCTCCATCCAACAGCCTGCGAACGGTTCCAATTACGCTATTTCAGAGGGTATTAATATTGATACCGAAAAACAACCTGAAGGAATTGAAATCCATAGGCCGACACCCACGTGTATAAACTTGGAGCAATACCTAGCTCAGCAGCAGGTTGTCGGGAACCACGCGTTGGAATCCTGGGAGGCTGAGACTTTATACGATGGCCCTCTTCGACTAATTCCTCAACTCGCTAATCCCGGTGACTGGCTTCTTCAAGTAAGAGCCGACAACGATCATTATCGGGAAAGCGACCTGGAGACAGTAAGGGATGAAACTCGTAACGGGATTTACGATTAGGGGTATCGACTGGCTGAGCATTATCTACTATAAGAATTTAAGCTAATTCAAAGGTTCTTTGGGGTAATGGTAACTGGGTACTAAGAAATCGCTTCCAGGAGAAGTCTTTAAACTAGGTAGCTCATGTATAGTTCGTGTTTAGCTCGTGTATAGTTCATGTATAGGTGGGAGGGCAAGTCAGTAGTTAGGTAATAAGAGCTCGTGACCCTTTTGAGGCTTTGCAAATCTCCGAAGAGCCCCGTTGATAATTTGAAGCTAGATGCTAACCTAATAAAATGTAGTTATTATTTTACTACATGCATCCTTTATTTCGCCGCAACCCACTTCGTCGTTGTGGTACTTCCCAGCACTCCAGTTTTCTTGACCACATGTTCGCCCTACTTACTAGTAATCGCCTCAGCCCTTCTACCGTACAGTGCAAAAATAATAGTAGCGAGGTGGGTATTGAATTATCAAATTCAAAAGATTTCTAGAGAATGTACCGCAAAATTAACTAGGTTAGGTACTGTTGATATGTGCAAATTATAATTAACTTATGTCTAGGTAGTCTATGCTATTCCTACAATCTTTATTTCATTCTTTATTTCATTCTTGGTTTTAGACCTCGGCGTGTTCCTCGTGAGATGGCTCCTCAGTAACACCTTCCGGCACTTTGCTGCCGTCCCAAGAGCTGGACTTGATAGGGTTGACGTGAAGTAGATACATGGTATCAACCTCTTCTAGACTTCGGTCCTTTGTCTCGATCACGAAGAAGTAGACGATAACAATGAGAGCCGCACAGCAACCGGCAAACACAAAGCCATAGAAATAGTCGATCGCGTCGGTGATAAATCGGGTGAAGAACGAAATCATGCTGTGCCATTTGTTAGCGTCTTATATATATAAGATCGTAGACGGGTTTATACTCACAAGTTCCAGAACCAATTGGAAGCGGTGGCCAAAGCCATACAAGGAGCCCTGTATCGAGAAGGGTAGAGTTCGGCGACGACAGCCCATACAAGTGGTCCCCAGGTAGTGGCGAATGCAGCGATTGCAAGACAAGAGAATACAATCAGAGCTGAGCCGGCTTTGGGGGTGTTCAGGGGGTTGGTCGAATCTAAAGCGTAGTGACCGACGAAGGCATAGATGCTATCACAATAAGAATTAGTTTCAAGAAAGATACCACCAAGCTTCTGTGACGAAGGGAAAAAAACTTACAAGAAGCACACCATCATGCCAGCGGCACCGGCGATGAGCGCCTTTCTGCGTCCAACCTTCTGCACAACGTATAGACCGGCGATTGTAGTTGCGACGTTGACCGTTCCGAGGATAATTTGCGTGACGTAGCTGTCGCTGAGACCGGTGGACTTGAAAACCGTTGTACCGTAGTAGAAGAAGAAGTTGGCGCCCGTTAGCTGCTGGCCAGCTTGGAGTACCATACCCAAGATTGTTCTGTAAAGCATCCTGGGCCCGGTAAAGATTTCGAACCAGCTAGCCTTACCACTGGCCTTCTCCTCGTCCAGCTTCACCCGAATCTCAGTGATCTGATCGTGGACGCTGCGGTGTTGGGGGTCGACACCAGCCAACCTTGCGATCGTATTGCGTGCCTGCTCTTCTTGACCCTTGCGGTACGCGTGTCGGGGACTCTCGGGGAGAACGAGGATTCCGAGACACAGAACCAAGGACCAGAGAAAGCCGATACCGTTAGGGATACGCCACGACGCGCTGGATTGCATGTCAGCAGTACCCCAGTCGACCATGTAACTGGTCCAGATGCCGAGGGTGATGAAAAGTTGGTATGTCGATACTAGGATACCACGGATGATGGCCGGGCTACTCTCGGACTGATACATAGGGACGAGGACGGAAAGGGCACCGATTGAGCCACCGGTTACAAAACGACCGATGGCAAACTGTACCCAGACCGTCTCCGAGGATATCTCGATAACGATTCCGACGCAGGACCACAGAGCCGCAAGCGATATAGCCAAGCGACGGCCGAGGATGTCGGCGAGTTGTCCGGCAATCAGGGCACCAATCAAGCACCCGACGGGGAGAAGACCGACAATGGTTCCTTGTCTCGCTGCATCGAATATGTATTCTCCACTCTCCGTCCTTTGGCCGAAGCGTCGGGCGAAATCCTCCATGTTGAAGAAACCTGAGATCTGACCGCTGACATATCCGAACATGAACCCTCCTATACTAGCAACGACGCCGAGGAAGACTGCGATGAAGGTGACCTTTTGCTGCTCTACTGGAGAGGGTTCTGAACCCTGCTCCTGTTTAGTAGCAGGGCTTGCCGTACTTGAAGTTCCGGCATTTGGTGCTTCCACCTGATCGGTGTGATGTTTAAGGAAAGGCATACTGTACAGTATACTGATAGGTATGCCTTCCTATCGACGATATGAATTATTGTTAAAGATGAGTGTGGGTGACTTATTGCAAGCTGATGACGAGCTTGGGATGTGAGGACTCTCTTTTTAATAGAGATGGCCCATGGTCTTATTTTAAAAGTATTTCTAAACCTTGAACAAAACTCTACATAGTATGTACTTACTATACGGAAGAAACTAAGACCAAAACTACTTTTTTTTTTTTTCTTTTCTTCCTTCCCCCTGACCTCGCCCACTGCGTCATCACCCCATCGGACTCGTGACGGCGTGTCGCGCGAGTACTTACATAGTGGAGTGTACGTCGGAATAGGTACCAAGGTTGATCGGCGGTCCCGATGGAACCATAGGGAACCACATATATGGGCCCATCTCATGAGCAAGCAACCTCATGTACTGAAGAGCTCCGCTGCGGTTAGTCCCGACAGAGCCGCTCTCCGGCGGACCCGACTTTCTAGTTTCTTATTAGTCTTTGACGAGCGCCGGATTGCCGAAGCCACTTCGCTTCCCTTAGAAGAAATCGGAAGACTTATTCGCGAGTTCGGTAGCAAAGTGCACGAGCTCATATAGAATGCGGAGCATGCATGGTTTTAGATATCCCCAGTTTGATGAATTGATGAATTGATAAACTTATGCCAAAGAATTAAAATAAAGTTAATTATTTCCACTAAATTTAATTCTCGCTCATACGAGCATAACATAATGCGTCATTGGATAAGAAATCATAAGGGGACTTTTTAGGGTGGCCGAGCAAGTACCGAGTCGGTCCTGTTGTGGAGCCCAAAGCGGCTCTGCCCTGGGTCTCTAGTTCAACAAAACTTCTTATTTTCTTTTTTTTTTCTTGCACCGTCGCCGAGAGAGAGGAAAAAAAATAATAATTTATCTCCTGTTGCCCCATACGATAGAACGGTGATATTGAAACACCGGTGGTACGGCATTATTACTATGTATACTACACTATGTATGGAGAAACCGGAGAACCCCCGCGCTATACCATAGTATTTTTCTAGTCACATGGGGTTTTGTTTTACCAACGAGACTTTTTAAAATGGAAAGTAGTAATTTTCTTAATTTCATCTTTCCACTTTTTTGTTCTCTGCTTTGGTCCTCGTATCGTCTTCTACCACTGCCATTTCAAAAACCCCCCCCTGGCTTGGTCACGGGATATATACAAAGTATCCAAGCGCGCTCTGGTGGTGAGATAAGGAGAGAGTCTCTGTTTAGAATGATTCCACCGTACATACATAGTCCATCGCGCCGTTGAAAAGTCGGGGCTGTCATATCGCTAGTAAAGGGGAAAAATATATCCCCTCGTGGATCCTAACCTTATATTCGGGCCTTTCATAGCAATAAAGCTGGGGATCACATCATGTCTCCTCATTAGTGTAACAACCCCAATTTAGATCTCATCTCTGGGGGATAAGATACAATTCAATGTAAAGGCATAGAGGGTACTATCGTCAACAACTTCATCTAGCGTATATCTCGGCGGCCTAATCTTTTCGTTCGTAATCTCACCCGCTTCCTTCTCAGGTGACCCCCGACGTTACCCACCGCAAACCCAGTTTCGACAAGTGTGGACGTGGCAGTATTATCTCCCTGCCAGTCCATTTTCTGCTTCTCCTAAATGAAAGCCTCACTCTTGGTCCCCGTTTCATCTCTTACACCCCGTATTTTCTCCATTGCCTTGGAGCATGGCCTGGAGCAATTGCTTCTACGTAATGGCAAAGGCACTTACGGGGATATTCCTACTCTTCGTCTTCTTTAGATTCTCTTAGGCCCTGATCGCGGCCGAAGTCGTATTTCCCTCAGTAGTAGTAGCGCAGAAGAAATAACCACCCCCCCATCGTTCCAGAAAACAAATTTCCGCTCTTACACGTGCATTCCCCACGGAGTCGTGCCCCTTACCCCCATTAAAAACAACATCTCGCAGGAGATGCTCATGCAATCGATAGTCCCATCAACACCCTCCTCTCAGGGGTATTAATGGAGCTTACCCTTGTCGTGGAAAGCTAACAAAGCTACGACGATGGTCTAGACTTCCGGTCTCACGTTGTTGAGGCCATATTCACTCGGGCCATATCGTCGTACCTAAGCAGCTATAGCAGCATCTGACATTTAGAATTCGTCTGTAAAGGAGAGCGTGGCCATATAGTTGACTAAAATATCTCATCCTCTAAGTGCAGCTCGGAAATCATCGCTTAAGCCAGAGTTAGGAATGTCGGTGACCCTCATACGTGCAGGCGGCCGTAATTCGGACGATACCTACTCGCTATAGGATCGTCCATATGAGGCCGGACTCTCTCCGAAACTGGCCGGTAAACCGGCTCCAATCGCACTACGGAATACTAGCCCCGATGTTTGATAAACCTATGAGAGTAGTTATCACAGCTTGATTAAGTTAGTCGACGTCGTTGTATCGATTAAATCCGTTTCCAAGGCCCGCTAATCTAATTTGGCTCCTTATCTTGAATCCTCTGCGAATAAAAAATGCCAGAATTTCATGCCACGCCATCAGCCAGCTTTATATCATCGAGGGCTATTCCGCTTTATAATCTTGGAGTCTAGAAAGCGGCATCATATCCCGTCGATCAGCCCCTAGTTGTTCTGCATCGCTCGTAGTTGACGAATTGCATTCGATCATATTAGTTCGTAGTCGAATAATTATCCAAGAAATCAACATATATCGAAGGGAGTAGATGTACCAAATAGGAGAAGGAATGAAGATCGTTCCATCTAGCTGTACATAGTCTATCTACTTATCTCTAGGTATCTTCGGCATTTACATCTTCAAACATGGTACAAGACGCCGATGATCCATTGCTATCCTTTATCTTACTAGGGTAATATAGGTCGATCTACGACATCTCAAACACTAGCATTTAAGCCACGCAGATCGTCAAGATCAAGATAAAGGCATCTCATGTAAGGGTTTACAACCCAGCTAGTTCTCTATGAAATTCTAGAACGATGATTTTTGGTAATGTTTTAATAAACCTATTAATACGTACTGAAACTTTAACGGATGAATAGGGGGTAGGTTACGTAATCTGACGATGAGCTGAGACTACACACACTTATAAGTCAAAAAAGCAGACAAGTCCTTCACGTACGACCATAGGATCTGGAAAATTCGGGATCCCGTCCGCTCTCCCCTAGACAAGCCGGATACCGCCGGATTAGTAGTTGGGTCGGTGACGACCAGCGAATCCCCGGTGTTGTACGTTTTATTTTTGTCAGTGTCTTTTTTTTTTAATTTTTTCTTAGCCCTTCCCCAACCCCCTTTCGTCATGATTATGCTATACCCCGCCATAGATCCCGTTTACCTACTAGACTATAGCATGGGATTGTATCCCATATAACTTTTGTAAAGAATCTGCCAATTATTCCAACCCCATGTTCCTCTCCTGTTGTGATTATTGGCAAAGTCCGGGACATGCCGAGGACTTGACTTCACTTGTATAGACGGGCGTTTCCTTTGGCTGGCCAATTTATTGGTAAGTAGTATATTATGTATGTACAAGTATATATTATGAACTGACTTTAGTGGATATATCAGACGGCAAATACTGTTAGTTTTCTTAATAGGGGCTTAGTATTATATCCGACACCCTCGGAATGCTCCGGTAGATGAACTTTCACTGGATCGGTGGTTACCGGAGGCAAGGTTCGATCATCACTCACCACTTAAGTTATTGATTTCGGAGACGTCTCCGTACGCTAGCTGACTAAAAATTGCCACTACGTCCGGAGCCGGTAGAGGGATGACGGATGACGGGCTCGCCGTGGTTGCCGTGGCTTAACCGGAGCTTAGCCGGAGCTCCGGCTTCTAATTTGGAAAGTTCATGAATCAATTCATATCAGTTGATTCCTTACTAAGTACCTAATTTGAAGGGCAATTTATTAGGCACTCGTATAACTCTTGACATATCCCGAAATCATAGCGGAAAGGGGTATAATAAACCACCGTTAGCCGAACTCCGTATGCAAACAACGCCCCCTAAAACAGAACATAATATGCTTGTCATCCCTCATATTCAGATCTCATACGGACCCCTCAGCTCATCCACGCCCAGTTTCCAACCACTCTTCCGGTGCCAGGTAACGCCAGTTGCTCAAACACGGCAATACTTAGATCTAGATCTGTAGCCGCACAACCGACACATCGGTCTACCACGGTAACGTCTACACTCCGGTTCCCCACGCCGGCTTCGACAAAGTCTCTTGTAACTCTGATCTTCATCCCACAAAGTGGATTCGCGTTCGGATCAGACCCTTGGCTCGCAGCATCGAAGATAATGTGAGATACGGAGACAATATTCTCACCGCTGTTCGACTGCACGCCGCACGCACCCAGAGATGGTTCGTAGTATGTTAAGTCGCCGGTAAACACGCTTTTGTTGCTAGGAAGAGGCAAGTTTTGAGCCTTAGACGAGCGACGCGATAGACCAACGCCAAGGCCGATAGCCAGAGGGGTAATGACGAAGAGGAAGATGGCGGCAGGAAGGAAAATGCAGAGAAACAGAAAACGTCGCGAGCGTCCGAAGTAGGTTCGATGTGGCGGAAATACCAGATCTAGACGCTTGCGCAACGAAGAAACAAGCCTAGATTGTGTCGTGTCATTCTCAGCAGTCGAAGGAGGATATGTTGGGAGCGTAGACGCTCGACCAGATTCTTCTTTGGCTTGCTCAAGGTCCGCGGTTGTTGAGCGTTGAACCGAAACAGATAATGGTTCATCCAGAGCATCCCTCGAAGGAAGGATACGGCCTAGCAGAGACTGACGAGGTCTAGGAGGGTGAGTTATCGTCTCCCATTCTGGAAGTTGATAGATTGGCGAAGGTACAGTCGGGACATCTCCACCATGGTTTGCCATTCTCACAAAAGCATTGATAATCTAGAACGACGTGATAACGAGAGATGGACGAATAACGTAGTCGTGATGCTAAAACGATTGTTTAACGAAGATTATCGCGGACTCCCTTCAACACATTCCGTTAGGGAATCGGAAAGGATAATATTCGGGCAGAAAACTAAAGAAGCAGGTCGAAAGCGATTATGGATGAGGGCATCTTCATCCTCTGGACGAGACGCATTGAGAGGATATCGGACTTGTAAAGAGTAAATGCTAACACGGAAAATGATGCGAACTGATAAAATAAAGGAGAAGGGAAGGGGAAAACAAGATGACTTCGAGTAGGTAACGTGAAGTCGAAAACAAGCTTTTGCTTCCTTTTTCTAACCCTCTTCTCGTTTTTTGGCGGGGTTGGGGTTTTGGTAGATGGCGAAAAAAAAAGATGCGGGGAATTGACAGGGCACCTTATCACAAGTACCGAGAAGAAAAGGTACGATTGCAGGGGTGCTTTAGTGTACTTGTTTGTGTAAGGTCGTAAGCTTGTGAGCCTGTGAGCCTGTAAGCCTGTAAGGGGTATTTGAATCTTTAAGGCAAGGGGGGGCTTCAATTCTCAATCTATCTCAATACAACATCTTTGTATTGTTTGACCTAGATTGGATTTTAGCATTCTCTTGTAGGTATACAGATACCTACATTAATCCTTATATTATCTTTATTTATATAAATTAAAGACTCGCAGGTCTCGACTATAGAGATCGGTATAAATAGGGGCAATAAATTAGGTAAGATACCTCGTATGAGTATAAGTATCGGACGAGGGATAATAATTTTTGCAGCAAAGCAATAAATACTACCTAATACCCCCAGAATCACCACATGATTACAATTACAAGATATAACAAGTCTTTTCGACCCTAAGACAGCTGAACCCATAATCCATCGAAATTTGCTGGCCTACCTACTGGCCTCGGCATTGACTCTAGAGAAGGGTTCGAACTTCCTATTAAACTGCGCGACTTCGGTGTAGGACGATCGGGCAAGATGCTGTGGCGAGAGTCCTTCATCATAGGCTGCTGTATACCTAGTGTTCCTGATGTAGAGGAATAAGGACTACCGCTGAGCAGTGGCGTGGCCACCGTCCCGCTAGAGTTCATGCTTCCTCCCCAAGGCGATTGGTTCTCAAAGCTAACTTGAGGTGGTAAGCTGTCCGCGCTTACTTCCATCGACCTATAGTGCATTGCCTTATATTTTTCTGGGACCGACTGAGGTACCATGTTGTACCTAGACGAACCGAAATATTCGACTGTGCCAACTTGCGAGGGCATCTCTTCGTCGCTATGCTTACGGTCATTGTGTTTCCTGCATTTCTCTAAAGGTAAAGAAACCGAGTGAGCATGAGCTGAGGAGACCACATACAATAAGTAGAGGAAGGATAACGTACCACTTACGATCTGAGCGAAGCTAAAGACGATTAACGCACTAGAGAGTATAGGAACCATCTGACCAAAGCTTTTGGCATCATTTTCTGGGTTCTCGTTGTTTTGTAGGGCAATCCATCCTGACCTATCAACCCATTTTCGAAGTTCGAATATATAACGTGCTGATATGACGGTGACACCATAGCTCAAGATTATGCCTGCCAGAAGATATATCGTGGATACCCACTGCGAGATCTTCCTTGCGGTTGTTCCGAGGCTACCGCACTTTCGAAATTGATTGCCGACGCGGCCTCTCCAGCCGGGTCTGCTTTTGCTGCGTCGAATTAACCTAACCAACTCGGCAATTATGGCGGCCCCATAGAAGAGAAGGATGATGATGTATAGATTCCAGCCTTGGATTTTAATGCGTGATGTCGACTGAGAGATATTGTTCTTAAAGAAGGCATGGGCGTTCGAAGTCGTCTCCTCTATCGTATCTATGATCGTATCGTTTCCGCCCTGAAAGCAGGCGGCTGGGAGGAAGATGGGACTTTCAGTCTCATTTGCGTATGGTATGCTAGTGGGAAATGGCATTTTCACGTCTGCATTCTGGTTGGTCATAAGCAATCCTGTGACTGCGAAAACAGCTGTTATCGAGAGGACACGAAGGGCGGCTAGCCATGGGAACTTCCAATAGTTTCGGACGATAGTTACCGATATTAGGTGCGTGGCGCAGGTGAGAAGCATCATGTTCGCGACGATGTTATAGTGATAGGCTGAGATCGTACAGCCTCTCCAGTACCGAAGTGTGAGCGCAAACGCAGCTCCCGTGAAGACCTGCTGGTCGCTACAAGCAAGGACCAGAGTTTCCAAGACATCAGAGAAACTCGTATTATGTTGTCTTTGTTTCTTTTGTCTGAGAAAGAAATGCTGTTAGTTAAATCATACACACCCCTCAAGTCACAGAAGCCTGTGTTCCTCTTACTTTTCACTATAGGTCGTCTTCCAGTGGAACCTTTTGGCCAGTTTCCAAATAATCGACACGGTACCGGTGATTATCGCAAGCGAGGTAACGGCAACGAAAACAGCAAGAATCTATATTCCATAAGCTTTAGAGCATTGCAAGGGTCAGGTGTAGAACGCACTCCTATGCCAGCAATATCTGGATCTCCGGGAAATTGTCCTTTAGTATAGCTCCCGATTCTTGTAATCGGTATTTCGCCCATGGTGGTGTTTCCACCCTCAATAGAGCAATCTAAGGTGACGTTGTAGTCTGCCTTGCAGTCAACAACTGAAATATACGAGCCCATCGTGCCCAAAAGATATTATAGCGGCGGTCGATTATACGAGATGAGTTAGTTCGAGCGATGCGTTATGAAAGCATACTCGTTTTCAATAGGATGTACCTTTCATCCAGTTGGGGGGGATCCGGCATAATAAAGTGCAGAAGCCCTATCCTGTGTCAGCTTATCAAGTATTATATTTATACGTATAGTTAGCACGAGAGCGAGGCGGTACTTCTGCTGTATGCCGTGTAATGTCTTCCCAAAGCCTCGTACTAATTAATGAAACGATTTACTACAACATTTACGCCAGCGGGCTCCGATGCCATACGGGGGTATGCAATGGTGATTCTTCAGGTTAGAAGCTGACCATATTTTTCTCTTGCTTGACGAGCCTGAGAATAATGATATAACTAGAAAAAGAGAAAAAGGGGTTGCATTTTTACTATCAACGCTCGTGAGTGTGTAAAGCTATGCAGGATAGCAATCCGTCCCTTGCAGCAAAAGAATAGCTGACTTAATTATTCAAGATAAGGTGTCTGCTGTTCAACTAGCTCTACCACACCTAACCTACCTGTTCCCCTAAGGTAGGTAGGTATCTATAGAAGTACTCTACAGATATTGCGGATGCATATCGGCATCAAACAGCTGAAAAGCCATGTGCCACCGGCAACGCGCATGGTCTAAATATGAAACACGGCTATGGTGATGGTAAGCTTGGGGGCTCCAATCATCGTTAGTGGGCGGTGCAAGAGGGGATGGTTCAAGAGAGATATATTCTAAACTAGACAATAGCTTGGATAGATATCAATAGTAAGGGGTTTCGAAAGATATCAGCCCTTATATATATGTATTGGCCCTGGTAGGTTAGCCCTATATATCGCTACAATGAGCTATTAGTTCAAGCTTCATAAGCACAAATAATAGAGACACAAGTAACGAGAAGAATTGAGATAATAGAAACTGAGTTGGCAAGTGTGCTCTTTCGCACCTTAATTGCCAATCCGCCAAATACATGGACGGACGGCAACTCCTCCGTAAGGGGGAGTATCCAACTACCACTAGAACTGATTAAAGACATTACAATGCAATCGAGGACGTCAAAAGAGAAAAAAAAAAGGTGGAAGAACAGGTAAAACCCAGCCAGCACGCCCATCCCATATCTAATGCACTCCTTTTCAACCGATGGCCAACATCGCAACCCCCGTGCCGAGCTCAGGGGCACTGAAAGCTTTGTCCTCATGACCGCTCCCACGCAACAGGATTATCCAGGAGACCAAGATGGAGAGAAAACAACATCAAAAATCCCGTCTCCTTTTATCAATTGCCGTGGCCCGCCGCCGTTTCGTGCTTGCTATAGCTTCCCCAACTCCGCGCTAAGCCAAAATGTCAAAAGTTGGGTCCGGGCCCCTTTCCATACCGTCTACCCGCCTAGGTGACAAGTATATACACAGGCAAACACCAGGGGATGACGATTCCCCAGAGGACCTCCCCCAACTCGTCCCACAAAGCAAAAAAAAGAAAAAGAGGATTGTTTCTAAACGCTAGAACTGCGTCTTGGCGACGAGAATCGAAATGATTAAAGCGAGGCGCTGCCTCTAGGTCGCCGGGACGCCTTGTAATTACCCTATCGGGAACCGTATTTACAAGTAACGACGGCCACACCATTGGGGCGGTATGGTTCACTAGGGGAGCGGGTGCGTATAACCGAAACTTAACACGCCCAAGGTAAAATACTATGTTCGTATGCGGTTCTGGTATAAGTTCGGCACCGTGCTGATACCCCTCCATGAAACCTAGGAGGTGGACAATTACCATAGCGTAGCTGAGCCGGCGACGAATACGTGGCCATATGGCCCGTTGCAATAAATGTAATTCGAAACGAAATAATAATGTATGTACGGCTTATGTACGGCTTAAATAATAAGTGAAGAATGCCGTGTGGGAAACAACAGCGTAAAAAGCGACTAGAAGCGCAACTTGACTGGGATAAGGGGCTTAGCAGATTCGGATATCCCGGACGGAGGGGATCACTGAGGGTAAACCATGTTGAAGTCAAAGTCGTCCACGTGCGGTACCTCGTGGTAAGCCGTCATAGGAGTGACGGTTGCAGACGACGAAAGTGCCGAGTTATACTGGTTCATGTGGTCGTGAGGAGTTATGGCTGAAAGATCCGAGTTGAAGTTGGGCGACATGGTGGCGGACGATATGCCGTTATTGAAGTTGAAATCAGCGGACGAGAGCGGCATCCCATTCATGTAGCCGACGTCGGTGTTGACGACTAGGTTGCCGTAGTTTACTTCGAACACATCGTGATTCGATACCTTGTGTGGCATATTGAAATCGGTAGGATATGATTCCATACCCCCAGCTTCAACATCTACAACCTGGTGGGCCATGTCTTCGTCGGCGTCATCGTCGTCGTCCTGCTCGTATTTGCTGACCCAGATCTCTTTCATCCAGTTCTTCAACTCGCTCATGGGAGGCCAATCGCCACCGCCCTTGCCTCCGCGCTTATCTTCGTCGCCGCGGTTATTACCGTTGCCCTTATTTTTCTGCCGCGACGGCTTCTCTTTGAAGTGAGTGCGGCGGAGATGTGCGGCAGCGTTGTAGTACGCACCATACTTCTTCTGCGCCTTGCAGGCTTTGCACTTACTAAGAGGATTAACAGCTGGTACACTTATCGCGAGGCCATGCACCACTGGATCGACACATATCCATTTCTTGACAGTAGCTTGGTGTTTTGCATCCCTATGGCGACGGAGCTCATGCTCGCCACGGAATCCGTCTTTATGCTCGTCACACTGGTCGCAATAGACCTTGGGCTGCTTCGGTCTTACGTATTTAGTCTTCGTGATGGCCGTCTTGCCATCCTTCTTAGCACTGGCCTGCGATTCTGCCGGATCTTGCTCCATGCTCGGTTTGGGCTTCAATGGTGCGTTTAAAGCACGCTGGCATTGCTGCTTTAGCGTATCTTTGGCCCGGGCCTTGAGAGACGAGCTTGACCGAGTACTAGCCATGCTCGCACTGGATACCGATCGCTCCATATCCGACGCCAGGAACGCGTCGGTAGGTGCCGAAGGGGCATATTGATGAGCGAATGGGGGAGCGAGGCTCGACCCTACAGCAATAAGAGCGTCTTCGCTGCAATAAGGTCTCTTCCCTAGCGGCGAATTATCGCTGCTGCTGCTATTCTGTTGAGAAGCTTCGTGATAATGTACTTCGCCGCCTTGCGACATCTGCGATCCGAGGCTCATCATCCGTACGCCGCCGGACACGGACTGATTATCGAATAAACTATTCTGTCGGGTCATTGGCGCAGTATCATATGTGGGCGCCGTAGTCATGGAACCGCAGACCGACACATTGGTAATATTGAACTGGGGCACATCAACATCTTGATTCTGCGATGGTACGGATGAACCATACGATTCTACGGTACAGTGAGGTTCTTCATGGAACGGGTGCTGCGCAAAATAGACTTCGGGGTCGAGCATCACGCCAGTCATAGGCCCTAACTCGGAAAGAGTAGGCATCTCATGTCGATGTCTTGACGACTGAGACGGCCGCATAGATTGCGAGTGAGCAAGGGCATATGATGATATAGATTCGTCTCTGTCTACGAAATCCGTTGTGCTAGCACTTCTCATCTGCATACCGCCGTTGTGAATCCGTGATTGGGGGGATATCGGAACGTTGCCGGTGAAGGGACCAGCGGATTGAGTAGATATATTCGAACCGACGCGATCCATCCTCTGCGATGTTGGTGTTTGTTGGGACATAGTTCTGGCACGCTTGATGGCGTGGGCATTACTACTGCTATGCCGGTTCTAATAAACGTCCGTCAGTATGGAGCTAACCAGTCACACACGAGGACGTGGTCAGAAGTAATCTTACAGATTGTCGTGCAACACCTTCATGACGATTATGCACATGGATACCATTGCTGCGAGGAACTGTATTACTTCTTGACATACCATCCTGATGGAAGGGTGTGGCAGGCGTAGCAGTACTCGACAGTTGAAACTCATTATGAACAGCAGAAGTATCAGGTACGCTCGGGCTCGAGGATTGTGTTATTTGCGATTGATAAACAGAATTCTGTAGCTGCGATATTTCTTGCTTCGCTCTGCGAAGATCCTCGTCCTTATTCCTCATCGCCTCCCGATGTGCGACATCCTTCTGCTGCAGCAGAGCCCGGAGCTTCTTAATCTCAAGATCCGGATCTGAGCAATGACTCATGATGCTAAGATCGGGTTCGCACGACGACTGGTCAATGGTGGTGGATATAATTCAACGATGCCGAAAGGAAGGCAATAGATGAGGCGAAATTGGCCGCCTTGAACGCTTCACTCTTCCTTCTCCCCCTTTTTCACACTAATACAAACAGCCTCGCTGGGTAGACCCTCGACGAGAGAGAGCCCAACAAGGATGATTGATGCTATGTTTGTCTCGTCGACACGAGATCTATCAGGCGAGAACAATACCTATTGACGGACTGGAATCCGATCTGGGAAAAGTATGGGGAAAAAGGAAGGACGAAACACAGACTCGGATACCCAGAGACCAGAAAACCAAAAGGACGTTGCTTAATTATGTACCAGTCAGTCAAGACGAGGCTTTGGACCATGCGCGGCAGCGGGTCTGTAATCCTCGCCCGCTCTCTCCCACGCACGATACGCTTGCCCAATCTGCATGTACCGGTATGTAGGTATGTAAGTATGTAGGTATTTAATTTACGAGGATCCCGCGGGCTTAGATCGACTCTTGGCCTTGCAACCTGGCCGGGTTTGGCTCCAAACCCTTCAGACCCTTGCAACGTTGAATGGGTGCCAAACAAGCTAGCGTCCCAGGAACTTGTGTGATTTGACAGGGCGCTTGGGGATGAGAGCGATGTCAGTCGATACTACATAGTAGCTCGCTGGGGAGGGATTTCCGGAGGGTATGATGGACCGTCGTGGCCTGTCAGACTTGTGTATTCTGCTGCAAGAGATGCCCACTTGGACTTTTGGTCTTGGACTTGTTCAAGACGTGCTGACAGGACCGATGGAAAAACTTGCACCATCCGGATCGTCTCGTTCTGCAGCGCCTGGCTAACTAACAGACAAACATGTACGTACAAGCTGCAAGTACTGACGGTCTTAATGTGATGTAACCTTGCAAAATGCAGAGCGAGTTCAACGCTGGAACCTCTGCTACGGGATCTTACAGGTCAGTTTTGCCAGCACCCTTACAAGGGGGGCCCCTCGCCCGAGTGACGCAGTCAGCCAATTCAGCGATCGACCATTTTACTATTACATATTGTACCCAACACGGTTGTTTCTGCAAACTCATCAAGGCAATCTGGTGTTGAAGAAACACGTAGACAGGGCACTGTAAGCACCAGTGTATGACATGTTACCGAGCCATGCTACCGTAACTAGCACATGTGATTGCAATTTACAGAGAATTATCGGAATCCGAAAGTGTCATAGTAGGTGAAGCGGGTGGTTAGATAGACAAGTGGTAGCTTTGCTTAGATACATCGTCTAACGAGTAGCTAAGATTGTAGCGCCGTTATCAGTTCCAATTTTTGTAATGACGACTTGTCGAATTCGGTCATGGAGAGGGGACTGAGGTCCACTTGGATCTCTAGATGATAATACATAAATAGCAGAAATAGTAGTGTAGACGGGCTAAGACTTAGGTCCAGCTATGGACCTAAAAACGATGGAAGAAATGTGAATCCCATCTTTCAAAGCATTGGCAAATCCTCGGAGCCCGATGGTTCCTCAAAGTATGTAGTAGTAGTAAGTAAGGCCTGACTGCATAGGTAGGGGTTGGAGAATAAGTTGTTGTAATTTTGCATACTCGGTAGAATGTCGACGATGTGAAAAACATCAATTCTCTGAGTGTTCGGGCGCCTTTCCGGATCTTTCTCGTTTCGCTGTGAAGCCACGCATGCACACACCTGGTCATGCATGTTTCCCTTATCCGTTCTCTGCTCATCGTCATCCAAAACGTGGGGTTGCATACAGAGATATTATGGTAGTTAGGGAGAGAATAACTCATACCTCCTAGTATATTAAGTACTACCCAAGCCAGTACCCAGGTATGGAGAACTGGGAGATAGAATCTCGCCGGTTGCATCTTGCATTTCGATAGGATCGACTTATCGGGTCGGTCGTGCGTAAGCTGTGTACATATCCGTATGTGGTAGAGTGTTGTGTGTACTACTGCATACATAGTTGTAGTATGAGTATGAGTATGCATATACTATGTATGTGTATGTACGAATAGAACGGCCGCTCTTCTCGCTTGTGGGAAATCTTGCTTATTGAGGTCCACTTGAAAGTCT